ACCATATGATTTAAGTAAAGCTTTATGAATAACCAATGTCTTCTCAGAGTTTCTCAGAGTCTGCTGAGCCTAACTGCTCAGATAAAAATCTTCCATCACAGAAAGCTACTTCTCAGCAAAAGTCACTGCTCATTAGACAGTTTGTTTTTAATGCTGCATTAATTCATTCTATGGTGTATCCTTGTTCTAGTTATCATTTTCATATCTCTACCAGGAATATCCATTTTACATCAGTCAAGTAACTTGAGGGAAATTTTTGCTCTTTTTCATAGTATATACCAAGGGCTGTTCGTTGATTAGGAGAGATTTTTATTAGATGAGGCCTCCAATTCAAGGAGTCTCGGGGTTTTCTAGAAAGGTAGTGGCTGTCTTCCACTTGCAGTGACAGTTTGGAAAACACTGACATCTTTCTCTGTTTGTCTGCAGTCAAGTTGCACTGTACATGGTAAAGATACCATGGCACTGCCTTCTCGCGCAATGCAGCTGGTGAATGCATACCCCTTCTGTGATATGACCTCATCTGCTAAAGGGCATCATTGCTTTTAGATCCCCAAACTTTTCAAAACATGAGCTATGAGACATCAGTGGTGATATTTTGGGTAAGGCTTTGCAGAGTTACACCCAATTTAAGTTTCTCTATTTGTGTCCACATTGCTGAGAGTGATCACAAGGGAACCAGCAAGCAAACCAGAAACACTTTAGTCCAAAAAAAAACCAGAACACAGAACAGTTGTCTGACCAAATTTTTTTCATTAGCAAATATTTGAAAATTTGTGAGCTAATTCAGTTAGCAGACAGGGATGAGGCAAGATGAATAAATTTGATGTAATCTGGGTTATTTACAAGGTTTATATACAAGGGCAAATGCCTTGCAGCAGAAAAGAAAATGGAGGTGACAGTCCACTTGTAATCAGATGTTTTTGCAGTCAATATCTCCTTCTGATCAGCTCTCTGTCATGTCAAATTTGTCCCCAGGTGATTAAATGCCAGCACATCTATGCAGATCTCATACTTTTCTGGTACATCAATGTCCTGTCTGCTGTGGTTTGTTGCTGAGGCCCCTGTAGTCCCACCAGCATGTGTTTTTGATGTTTGCTTCTTAAAATTCAGGCGTTCATAGTTGTACCAGAGCACTCTTCATTTTCTTTCTGATCAGAGGACTCCTATTCATTAGCCGGCCTTCAGCAAAAAGCTAGGAAAGTCTTTTTTCCCCTATGCTATTTGGGAATTCGTTTTCTCCTAACTTTTCCATCCTTACATTTTAGATCTGTATTTCAGATGCTGGAGGCATCCTGGCTAAACACCTGTGCCCAATAGTTGTGAAGACTGTTAGGAGAGTAACTTTGACTTTGCTTGGAAACTCCGGGTATTTCATGTATCACATTCTTCTTTAAAACATTATTCACATCTGACTTTTAGTGCCTGCCAAAGGCAGCCTGCTACCAGTTCCCCGCAGCCAGAGAGCTGGGCCTTGCTGTCACCACAGGCCAGAAGCTGCCTGCAGAGCCAACTTCTCTGCACACTTCCCAGGCATTCCCCACACAGGGCTGCCTTCAGCACAGCCCGCTCAGCCCCTTTGGCTTCCAGGGGCTCCAGCATGTCGCATCCATGGTGCAATGCCATTGGCAGCACACACGCTTTTACAAGTCATTCTTCAGAGAGACTCAGTGTCCTCTCTGAACGTCTTCTCTAGATTGTAGGCTAGTCAGTAACATCAGCTGCATCGCATTGAATTTCAAGCCACTTTGCAGGTTTTCTTGATAACTTGGCAGCCTACAGTGGTGCAGGTGCTGTGGGTGTTCTGAAGCAGTGCCTACTTCACTGTTCGGGGCAGCACAAGGTGCCCCTGCTCCCGCTGCCATGCAGAGCTGTGGCTGTCACTGTGACCCTGAGCAGAGGAGTACCAGCACTTAAGGCAATGGCTGTGTGTGGACACTGGGTTTCCTTCCTCCTGTGCTCAGCTTACTCTCATTAGTATGTGTGCCTGCATCCTTCTGCCCCCCCGGGGCTGCTGTAGGAACTATTCTGCTCATAGATGCCTGTCATAGCTGCAGTCTCCAGTCACTGAGCTGTGACCTGCAGCCCCCATGTTTCTCCAGAGATCTGGCAGGGATGGAGATCCCCAGATACTCACTGCTCTTCTAGGTCTGCTCTGAACAATAAATGGCTCTGAACTTGCTTCTGTTCCTAATGCCTTTTTCATGTGACTGTTTAGAACTTCCCAGGTGAACCTGTGTTTATGTACGAGGTGAAAGGACATTTCTCCTTCTCTGCCTGCCTCTATCTGTGAGTGGGCATTCTTTATTTTCCTTTCCAGTTCTCAGTTCGGCAAGCAGGTGAAGCACCAGCTGCCTGATGCTGAAGGTATTGGACTCAGTGATCTGAAAAACTTCTTGAGCCATGCTCGCTGCACCTAGGGATGCAGAATTCAGTACAGAGCCCTTCCTGTGGGCTGGGGATTGCAGCTGCTGCAGTGGGAAGTCATGGAGTGCATACTGGAGGTGTGAAGCAGGGCAGCCTTACATAACGCTGTGATCTGCTTCTGCTCTAGGGCATTTCCTTCTTCATCTTGCACCCAGAGCCAGGGCCCCACATCTGCTTTAACCTTTCTGCTTCAGAAATTGCCTGGAAGAGAAGGGCAGATGAGGCCCCTAGTGGAGGCATCTCCTCACCTTACTTTGTGTGGCTGTGCAGGAGATCAACTCGCTGAGTGCAGCAAGAGGGCTGACTCTGTGTGGGCGAGCTGCTGGGTGTTCAGGCCTCACAGTGTTAGTGAACACAACTGCAGTGTGCCACACACCCACACTGGCACTGCCAGAACTAAATGCTACCAGAGGCACGGGTGCCAGAGCCCCTCTATGCCCTTAGAGCTGCCTGGCTGTAACTGCTGCACTGCACGAGAGTGATGCTGGGCATTTTGCTCACTGGCCATCTGCTCAGTTTAGCACTGGCGCCTGAACTGTACTTGGCATGTGGACGCTGGCTTTCCAGGCATAGCTACTCTCATGTGTACTGAGTACTGTTCCCTCCTGCTAACTTATTTTCCTGTAACCTACAGTGCTATGGATTCTGCAATGATTCATTGCTGTAAGCACTTTCATGCTCAGCCAGTGCAGGAAAGCAGCTGGTGGTGATTTTCCTATCTCCTGGACACCACTGTGTGATGCATGGTGGGCTGTGCAGCCCATTCTCCCTCTGGCACCTGGCCCAGGCTTCATCCCCTGGCTCTACTTTGTGCCTTATTCTGCTGCCAGGACTGACATTTGGAAGGAATTGCACAATTTTTCTTGCAAAGTGCTGCACCTCCACATGTAATTTCCTGCAGGTTTGTCTTAGTATCAGCTGGGATGGAATTGTTTTCTTCAAGTGCCTGGTTGATGCTGTGTTTTGGCTCTAGGAGAAAACCAATCCTGATAACACACCAAAGTTTACAGCTGTTGCTGAGCAGTGCTGCACAGAGCCAAGGCCATTTGCAGCAAAGAGCCCAAGGAGCTGGGAGGGAACAGGGTGAGGACAGCTGACTTCCACTGGCCAAGGGGATATTCCATGCCATACGACATCATGTGGAAGGGATTTTGAAGGGGGTGCGAGTTCATTTATCTTCTGTTGCTCAAGGGCTAGCTGGGCATCAGATGGGGGGTGGTGAGCAATTGCTTATGCATCACTTGTTACATATATTCATATCTGTTTATTGTCATAACTATTTTCCTTTTCTCTGTCTTAGTTGATAGTTTCATCTCAACTCTCAAGTTCTACTGTTCTTTCTTCTGATTCTCTCCCCCATCCCACTGGAAAGGGGCAGTGAGCGAATAGCTGCATGGTGCTCAGCCACCTGCCAGCTTAAACCACAGCAGTCATGTCTTGATGCACAGTGTGGGACTAAATGGGTTGTGATAACAGCAGATCTGACCAGACTGTGTTAACTAACACAGGATATTGTGCTAGTTTGATACTTGCTGGTCACATTGTCAATTTCTTTCCCTATTTGTGGAACTCTCTGAGATTTTTCTCATAGGTCCCTATTGTGTAGCACCTTGTTTGGAATTTATTTTCCCTGCTGCGGCTTTTGTCATCTCCGGGGATTGGATTAAGGTTTTATTTTGCTCTGCTGTGTGGCCTTGTATTATAATCATGATAAAACCAGCAGCTGAGAAACTGCTGTTCTATGTGTATTCAGCTTTGCAGTCATCTTCGGGCTATCGAAGCCATATTTTTGGCAAAAATAATAATGTCACTCTTTGCTTTCTCTCCTTGGGGAGAGAAATAAAGGAATGAAGGAAATAAAGCTATGAAGGAAATAAAAGAGGACACTTTCATCTATTCCTCAGCCTCCCTCTCACTTTTTTTCTTTATAAATTGTATTTATTTTTCAATTCAAGCTTCCAAAGAATACACTGGCCTTATCTGAAATCTGTCACTTGTATGAATAATTTGTACAGATAACAAAATGATGTTAACTCATCCTTGGTTTCCAGATTGCCTCACTTGTTGCAATGGAAACTGAACAAAAAGTAGTTAGGAGAAAACTGGTAGGGCTTTCAGTCGGGGTTGTTAGTTGTAGGAATGCATAAACTCAGAATTCCACTGAGGAGCAGCACTTTGTCACTGAAAATGTAGTTGTGTGCAGGTGATAACCCTGAGTGCCGGGTAGAAGGAAGATGGCTGAAGCCTGGTGGTAATTAATGAAATGAGTTGTTCTTGGGCTAAATTGCAGCCAAATCATAAAACACATGAAATTGAGTCTATACTTCAACCTCCCATGGCATTTGCAACAGGAGAACTTGTGTTGACGTTTTTTTCTGACATTGTTTGAAAAACTGCAAAAGATTCAGTTAAAATTGTGATTCCCAGTGGGTTCCAATCTCAGTGCTCTTCACTGATTTTTGTAAGCAGCTCCCAGTGCGCTGCTGCCGTATCTTTTGCTTTCTCCACTGGCAGTAAAGGTAAGTGCCTCACACATAGGAAATAATTTATTTTCAAAGGTAAAACAGGCAGCAACCTCAAAGGCAATAGGAACCTTTATTTTGATTATTTCCAACATACTGGCAATGTACTTCTTATGAAAACTTAACTGTAAAACACTCTTGAGATACTGCATAGAAAATAAACATAGAAAAAACATATATACACTTCCATAAAAATAGAATACATCTTGGCAAAATTACTTGTGTACAGTGTATTGACATTATTGAAGCAAACTTACTATGTATTTTGGAAGAAAGCTTTGCAAAAACAAGCAAACAAAAAAATTTAACTGATTTGGAAGTACTGAAATGGACATTTTGAGCTAAACAAATGGCTATACCAGAATGTCAGGTAAAAAAAAAAAAAAAAAAAAAAAAAAAAGAAAGAAAAAGAAAAGTTATAGAATACCTGCTTATAAAATAGAAGAAACCATGTCGTTTGTTTTTTCTTCCAAGCCACACTGACATCCCTAAAATTGCACAGAGAACAATTTCCAAATTCTATGGTAGATTCTTCAGCTGAAAAGAAACTACTATCGTGTTTCAGCACTGGCACCATGATAGTGGTGTTTGTTTTTTTTCTGAGCACGTGACATAATATATGTACAGTCCTAATTCTATCAGGTATTTGATACAAAAAAATCTAATACATCTAAAACAGTAACACATTTAGCAACCTTTAAGATACACAGAACACTCAAAACTAGTATTTCTTCTAGTTAGCATTTCTTCAGTTGCTTTTAACTGAGGCTGAAAATTGCTTTTGACTATACTTTCATCAGCTCATACTTTACTTTGTTCGGCTGTGGAAAATGACTGCTCTGGTGTAATAAATACAGGAAGTAGTAGCAGATCCTCAAAGCCAAGGATTTTCCTCTAGAATTGGAATAATATAACTGTATGAGTAGCCCCAGGGAAAGAAAAAAAAAAGCATAGCACCATTTTCAAGATACATGGTTCACAACCATAGGCAGACAGTAGGATCTGTCTGAAGTGGTAAAACCCATCAACATGTATGAATGTGGTTAAAATACTGCGATTACTCTGAAGTAGCTTGTGTGTTTAATAAGGATAGGCTGACACTGCTATATAAACAATGAAAGTTGTCTGATACTCGATGTTTCCATCAACACCATAGGATAGGGCTCTGATTCTCACACGGTAAGTCTTCGGCTCTTGCAGTGGTCTGGTGGTAAACACAACTCCTTTCAAGTTCTCATCTCGCAGGGCAAATGGGATTGTTGGCTCCTCATCTGCCATTAAGAAAGTTGTCCTTGGATGCATGACTTGATCTTGTGTAAAGGCAACCAGCCGGATTAAGTCCTGACCAGAAGCTATGCCAAAGGGGAGGGAGACAAATTTGTATTCCAAGGCATAGGTACTCAGGGCACACTCCAAATCATTGGCTGGGCAGTTTTTGAGACAGAACCTGGGAAAAAACAGAGCACGTCAAGTTGTGTTCCCATACTTGCTGAAGTTGTTCCCTATTTATCATGCTGCAGTATGCAAACTTGGGCTTCTCAAAGGAGCTAATCCAGTGCAGTCTTTATTGATCCTTTACAGAAGTAAGCTGGAGAACAGATGTAAAATTAGTCCCCACAGCTGAGAAAGGAATTATGCTGAATCAGCAGGAAGGATCAAAGCCTGCTGGGGCTCATTCAAAAGAAGCCATTCTGGAACTATTTCCATTTGAATTAATAAAAAGATTCTACCCAGACCCACCAGACCCGCCTGTTTTGTTTTGTTAGGAAGCACAAAATATGGCTGCTCTCTGTAAACCAATTATAATCATCCATTTTAATGCTTTACTTTTTTTGCAAGAATAAGCGTAACTGATATCGCTTAGACTTAGATAAAGTTCCTTGTTATGATGCTAAGCATGTGAGCTTGGGGTGTGAGGGAAAACAAGACCAAAAGGGCTGAAAAATCAGCATACCCAGAAAGAGGCTCCCGCTGGTAGTTTGGTGGGCAAGGTGTCTCTATGCACTGGTAGCTCCCTCTCGTGTTGAAGCACATCTGGCTTGCTCCACAGTCAGTGTCCTGCTCGAGGCACTCATCAATGTCTGGGGGAAAGAAAACAGGTACATGATCAGTAGCTGGCTCTGGGTGGAATTTAAGAAAGATAAGAAGTGGCTGGATCAGCAAAATGAGTAGATGGCAGAGGGAGTGCGGGTACCTCTACACACAGATGAGAACAGAACCCTTCAGAGCCCTGCCTGGCTCCTGGAAGCAGTGAAGCTACTAGTTGCAATGACTTGCATTTATTGGCTTGGGTAATTCATTTCTGTGTAGGACAGTGTATTGTGCTAGCTGCCCTATAACCACTACACAACATCAAATACAGTTGTCTTTCCAACAGAGGTAAATTAGTAGATGTTTTTGGTACATCAAAAGTCTAACTTTATCTATCTATCTATCTATCTATCTATCTATCTATCTATCTACCTGTTTGTTTATTTATTTATTTACCAGAACAGATAGAGTTGGTTTTGACTACAGAGCTGTTGTGTGCTTGTATGGAGTTAAAGGTGCTTGTGAGGAAACATCAGAGAATATTAAGTTGCAGTTGTCTAATTTGTTGATGTTTTATTAAGTGTTGAAGTGTAAGATACAAAAACATGACATATTGAACACTGTAACTTAGAAAAGAAGTTCAGCAAGTGCTTAATACAAACACCAAACATGATTTCTAACTCGTTTGCTTACAAATACATTTGTGCACTCTCAAAGAGATTTCTGTACCTTGGCAAGTTTTGCCGTTGGGCATAAGATGATAACCAGAAGGACAAGCACACTGGTAACTTCCCAGGGTGTTCCTGCACTCGTGCTGGCATGTATCTCTGGCATCACATTCATCAATGTCTGTCAGAAAGAAACATGAAAACATAAACGGGATTGCTGATGTTCTATCTCTGTACAAAAGCACGTGAGAAGAGGCGGTGCAACTCATGGGAATCTTTTTTTTTTTTTGTTTTTGGTAATGAGCTTGAATGTTTAAAACTAGCAAACCTTTCCTAACTTACCTGATTCTGTTGCCTGTAGCTTTTATGGAATTAAAAGCTTTGCCTCTTTTGTTGGCAGCCTTAACAGGTCTCTCTCCCTCAGATATGGAGCTCAAGCAACAAGGGGATGAGCGAGCTGCACAAACCCACAAAGGACACAGGGGTACAGTCTTGCCCCAGGATGCCGAGCTGCCTGATAATTACATTTTAGGTAACATGCTTGGGAAGAGCCAGGATCAGTTCTTACTTTAGAACAGGCCCTCAATCAGGGAATTGCTCTCACAGTTCATCCCTCCTAGGGCAAAGCTTTTTTCTTTCCAAACTGTTCACTCTCATGCTGAATTAAGCTCACTATCCACAAAGGCCATTCATAAATGCTCTTAAAATGCTCTTTTACTCTTTTTTTTTTTTTTAAATCTCCCTCTCAAACACATAAATAGCAGATCGCTATTTAAAATTTTCAAAGCAGACTAACATGATTCAGATAGAGATCACATCTAATCAGTACTTCTTTTGAAATGTCTGTTTACTTCAGGAGAGCAGCAGAACTCCCCTGCAAGTTACTGCCATGTGCAAGCATTCAGACTTGCATAACTGAAACAGAGTGAATCAGGTCTTTGCTTCTTCCTTCTCTGTCAGATTTATAGGGGTTGCACTCGATAAAAATGCAAAAAGAAAAAAGAAACAGATGTGACTGAAGAAATTTTAAGTGTGTTATCAAGTCGTTATGGTTCTCTACTCAAAAATCCTTCTTGGAAATGAAAGCATTCTGCGGGTGTCTTATTCACATTAAACAGTAAATTATAAATCTCCACTTTTATTCCAATGAAGCAGAGTTACAGCAGTGCTCACTAACTCGAACTGGAAGCTGGGCTGTGGACCATAGATTTTTGGCAGTAGTGGCTGCAGTCCAAGTTCTTCCATTTAACAGCTATACCCATAACATGCTGTACTCATAAGCATACTGAAAAGTTATTACAACGTAAATACAAAATTAATCTGATCTCTGCCTATCTGTAATTATTATTTATAAAAATGCATTCACATTTTTCAACGTTGTATATTGCTGTATAATTATAGGAATAGCTCCAATGGCTAGAACCCAGCTTCAGCTCACTGTTTTATCCGGGAAGCACACTGCACTTCTCTATGATGGCATACATGTCAGATTTAGGCACTTATAACACCACAAGCTGCTGTTAAACATGCTGGAAAAAGTTCTCCTAAGACCTAAACCATGCTACACTTAATCTTGAACTCAACTATATTATCAAAAAATTGTTGAGTAATTTTATTTATCTATCTTTAAGATACTCACAATATGAGTTACGGTGGAAAGAAAAAGATTTTTCTTGAACTTCATTTCTGAACAGCTAGTGCAGAGCAGTTAATGAACAAACAGTGCAGGACATTATTCCTTTTACCTTTCCAGAGGAGCTGAATTAGCGTTCCAGTACTGGTGAAAAACCTCAGAGATGCTCACATAGCAAGAAGTAAGCTCAGTGAACAAGAGAGGTTCCATACACCTTTGTTTCCTGTTGGTCTTACGAGTACTTAAGAGTTCACATCTCTTAAGTAAATAAATAAAAGCTGGGGCAGAATGTGCCTCTTACCTCAACTGCTCTGCCCTCCTCATCATGCACACAGAAACGGCACTGCTCTTGCTGACTAGATGAACTCCTGGTCTGTTTATATACAATCTGTCTCTGCTGTTCAGTGAATTGTATTATGACTGGCTCTATCCACTAGTTGCTTCTGCTTATGCAACCCACATTGCAGTTACTAACCTCAGCGCTGTCTCAGTACGTTCAATTCTACACTCTTTATTCTAAGCCTTTTTGATCCAGACTACTACTGCCACAAGTGGGAGCCTGACATGAGTAGCATCCCCAAGGTGGAGGCCCTACTGGTGCTTTTTAAGTGAGAGAAAATTTGCAAAGGTGAGCTAGCATCATCAGGATAAAGAGAACAGGACAAGCAGCACAATTAAAACATGAGGTTAAAGGAGGAGGTTTGAAAACATTTTTGCTACAACCTGCCCAAGAAACAAAGACATGCATAACTTGCTGAGTAGTTAATATGGTAATATGAAATAACAGAGCACCACAGACCATAGGCCTCTAACAGATATGAAAAGGCAGCCTAAGAATAAGTACCAAAGCAAGAGAATTGCATAGACATGACTGACATTTACCTACACATCTGTCATTTCTTGCCTCATAGCCTTCAGGACAAGTTTCTCTAATGTTCCTTTTAGTTCTGGAGACAGGTATTCTGCTGTTCCTATACTCTGAGAAGGAGCTGTAGAGGTTTGAGGAGTGCCTGTAATACTGTTGAGGTTGATAGTTGTCTCTCATAGGGGAGAATTGAGCATAGTTATAGACATTGTAATAGGCACCAGAATGTGGCAATCTCTCCAATCCAGCACAAGATTTCCCATCACCTAATAAATGTTGTCCAGGTGGACAGATACACTTGAAGCTGCCGGGGGTGTTGGTGCACCAAAATGCACAGGGCTTAGGCACTTGTTCACATTCATTAATGTCTGCTCATGTGCCATGATCCAGAGCAACAAACCATGTGGGAAGGAAAAAAACAAGATAAAACAACATGACAATATGTGTGTGTATATACATACATACATATATATATATATATACACATATACATATATACATATACATATATATATATATATATATACATACATAATATCTCAGTCTGTGGAGCAAAAGTGAGATCCTGGAGGTAGTAAAATACAAAAGAACACAAATGCCAAGCAGGCAGGTTTTCTATCCTGTCCATGAACACAACTTCATTCTTCCTATACTGCTACCTGTGACATAAAACAGGTCACACAGGACATAAAAATCCAATGAGGGCCTTGCCTTGTGTGCTCTGAAGGTAAGATGTGACTGCAGGGAAAGGAGCCAGATCAGTTCCCTTGCTACTGCAGCAGCAGAGCTGTGTGACATCCTGACTGCTGATGACTGCAGAGAGAAATACCCATTGGGTACCAGAGATGTACTCTGAGAAGCAAGTGACCCCTTGGTCCCAAGCTGCTCAGTGTTTAAATATTAAGGGTTTGCAACTACTACAGAACTACTTTTGTTCTTAGGCTGAGTGGGAGAAGCTCCTTTTTCAAAGGAGGACACTTAACACAAGGCCGTCCTGAGAAGCACAAACTCCCAGGTCATTCAGACTGGGATTGAGAAGCTCCAGATGCACTGCTGGGGTTGTGGTCCTGCTGGGGAAAAGCACGGCCTGGAGGGCACACTGCGGGGCTGCCTAGGGAGCAGCTGGCTGCGTGCTAACTGCCACGCTGCTGCTGCTCCTTCCAGCTGTGAGTCTGGAGACTTAGAATGTATTAAGGTACTTATGAATTTCATACCATTCAAAAAACAAAGTTATTTCTCTTTCTCTTGGGAATCATTTATCCCTGTTCAGTTCAGTTTCCCTCATGCTGTAACCCAAAATAAGGTGAGCAACCTGAGCAGTAAATCTCCAAAACCAAAGCAGGAACATGCAACTCCACAGTGATCAGAAATAACCCTATATGAGGATACATGTCTATTAATTAGCATGTATTTTTTTTAACTAGAATTTAAAGCTTATTTTAACAGTCACTCAGTAACAGTTCAACTATCTCATATTACTGGAAATTGCCTACGTCTAAATTATTGCTGCAGAAACATCATTAAACTAGCATTATCATTTCATATGCTCTCTGAGCATATTTTGAGCACTGCTTGTAAACCACATGCTAACAGTATTTTAAAAGTAATGCTGTTTAGAAACATAGGAGAATATTAGAATGCATTTTTATTAAGTGTTTATATATTTAATTTTTTTTTAATATTAACAACTAAATGCTTTGAGAATCAGAAATTCGGGATAACCACTGCAGAGCATTGCAGTATTACCCAACGTCATTAACTCATAACTGGAACATTATATATCTGTTACATTGTCAGTGGTATAATAGTCAAGTAAAGAAAAAAGCTTCATTTTTAATAAGGCAACAACTAATAGGTAAAAAAAAAAAACAAACTAGAGCAATTTATTTTGTAGGAGCAACCTATGCAATATCAACAAAACTGAATGCAGCCAGCCATCTGAATTCATGGCACCACCATCCTTGTGAAAAGAGATCACTTATGGACTGGTAAGCCAAAGCTTCCTGGGACAGGATCCCTCTGATCGTGCATCATAAATACCAGACATTTACAAGAACAAGTGAAATATGGTTTTGAAACTAACAGCTAAATTCTCTAGCTTTCTTTATGAATATTATTTGATTTTCAATTCTGGATAGTCCTGCATGTCCTGTATGCATAACAGCTTTTGATGATGCCCTTCCATCTACGATACAGGTACAATACAGTTCACAGAACTGTTACGTGTGGATAATTGGGCACATTCTGCATCTCTGTGTGTGTTTTCCCCATTCAACTGTGATCAGTTGCACAAATGACTCTATGTACAGCAGAAATGGAACAGGAAGGAGTCACGTGCAAATCACCTGTTTCAGTCTGGGACTTTCCAGCTCCTCTGTGTGTTCTGTGTGCTGGAAGCATTACAATAAAACCTGCTTTTCATTAACACGTGAACTAATATTTTCACATACATATTTCAAACATACTTTAAACAGATAAAGAAATAAATCAAAGGAGCATAAACATTATATTTAATTTAATTTAAGAGAGAGCTTTCAGTGGTTGCTGCTTAGAAGAAGGCTTTAGGACAGCTGTTGGAGTTTTGTGAAAACCTGTAACCTAAACCTTATGCAACTTATTACTGTAAGAAATTTAAATACTTTTAATATACATTAAAGAGTTTGGGATTGATTTTTATTTTAGTAGAGACAACTGTCTGGTCTGCAGCCAAACAGTTTCCGTCTACAATTTAATCTTTAAAAAAAGCCTGGCTTTTGGTGGTCCAAAATCTTAGGCACTTAAAAAGAAAAAAAAATCCCAGCTTCCAGACCAGCTATTTATCACTTATGAAAACTAATCCCAAAGAAGTCATTACAAAGGAATGTTTCTCTGATATGATATGGGAGACCAACTGGAACTGACTCCACCAAGCATCACATATCTCATTTATAAATCATTACAGTCAGACAGGATCAGCTATTGAATTTTAAATATTCTGAAAACATACATTATAAATTGAAATGCTTTTAAGAGTTGTGCTAGGGTTTGTGAAATGCCAGAGGAAGTGTTTTGTGCACTTGCACTGACATCATAGGTCAGACTCTCCTGCTGTTCACATTAGATTCATGGCAGTATCTGTGAAACTATGTTTGTGTGGGTGCACATTTTAATGCCAGGGTTCTACATAGATAGTGTAGGGGAGTAGTGACATGGTCAGCATTCCTGTGCCTGTGGGGATCCCTCCTTCTCTTGGGAGATCCACCCAAGTCAGATAGGGAGTGTGATGAGAGATAAATGAGTATCAGCCTCCTCTGCTCTGTCCGTACGGGAAAACCTAATTCCTGGAGTCAGACAGGGTATTGTGATGGCTATTTGCAGAGGGAAGCTCTGGGTATGTCATGCGTCTTGCAACAGACTTCCTCTGAGTGTTCTCCACATCGTCCCCTGCTCAACTGGCTCCAGGTGTGAATCAATGCAGTCAGTGTACAGCCAACCACATTTCTCTGATCAACTAACAAACCTGCTCTGATTTTTATAAATTAAGCCTACTGTAGAGCACTGGCTTGCCAGATCCATCCATCTGTCAGTGCCTTTGAGACCCACAGCCCTTGCACACTTTGTTTTGAAAGCACGGATATGTGGCAATCTCAGTTTGTAATCACCTAGTTTTGACTATTTAATGGGGACACTTCATTTTAGATAGCAAGTTCAAAGTCCAAAGCACAATTATCTTTGTAGCAGTCTTCAAGTGGCATAGTACTGTTGGATGCTACAGCCAAAAGTATCAGCAACAAACAGGTGACGACAACATGGCTGGGCAGCTTACCTATGCAAGGCCTTCCAGCTCCCTGTGACCGATACCCTCTTGGACATACACAGCGGTAACTCCCTTGCATGTTCTCACAGATCTGGTTGTAGTGGCACTGATGGGTTCCGTCACGGCACTCATTGATGTCTGCAAGCAACAGGGCAGCAGACATTTTCTTGAAAGTTCCTACAGCTTTAAATTCCTTAACGTGTAATGAATGCAGCTAAACCACAAGCAGTTTGGCTCTCTAGATAGATCTGGCCTCTGAACAGCCTTTTCTCACTTGGTACCATGATCAGCAATTACTCTGTAACAGCACGCTACAGATCTGTGAAACAATCTGCATTCCACAATCCGAAAGCAGATTTTGAGCAGATGTGCAAATTTTTCAACTGTATAGTGTTTACTTTTTCCATTAATTTTCAAAACTTTTAATTTAGTTTTCCAATTTTTGTAGCTGTTCTGTCCAAATAAATATAATCCAGAAAGTTTGGAAGTGGTAAGGATATGTCTATTTCTCTAGTCATCAGTTAATATAAAGAAAATTTAAATGCCTATGTCCCCACAAAGCAAAAGGTCAGTGCCTTAACATGTGCAAATTCTAGTAATTGGCAATGGACTACAAAGACTTCTTTCAGAAACCATCCGTTGTTGTCCCTGTGCTTACCAACACCATACAGTACACTAGGTTTCTACTCACCAATACAAGTTCCGTTTTCTGCTTTGGTCATTCCATTTGGACACAGCTCAATGCACTTATAGCCACCACGGGTGTTTTTGCAAAGCTGATGAGGCCTGCATACATTCTGCCTGCATTCATTTATATCTTATTTAAAAAATAAAAGTGAAGAAAGCAGGAATGGAAATGAACTCCTTATGCTCAATTCCTAAAGAACAGCATAGTCTAGTTGTGATCATACTACAGCCATGCATTTGGAAGCATTTCATGCACATTTATCAGTCAGCTCAGTTCCCTCTTCCTCTAGATTTCAGTGCTGCTTTACAAATTCAAGAATACATACTAAAAATGTCATTCTGAGTTTGAGTTACATTTACAAAGGGTTTGGATAAAGTTGCATATAGGAACAAGTAAGTGTTTAACTATTTCCATTGAGAAGAGGGAAAGAAATTTCAAAACTGATTCATACCTATGCATTTTCTGCCCTTTAGCTGGTATCCTGGATCACAACCACAGTGGAAACTTCCTATGGTATTGAAGCAATGCTGATGACAGGAGTTGGACTCTTGACACTCATTAATATCTGTTGGAAAGACAAACTATTAATGTCATCATTGTGAGTCTCCTTATCATCATTTAGATGAACTGGGTTTTGGTTCAGCTTTCAGCTTAGTTACTATGCTACATTCAGAAGTGAATTCTTGTGTCGTGTCATCATAGAAGGTGCACATTGGACACACAAGCAAGATCTTAATTTATTCCTAAAATAAGTTGCTAATACTGAAGATTTACTGAAAACACCTCAGCAGGAGATCTGTCTTTCAAAAAGTTACTTTTAGTTACATGAAAGATTCAGTTCACTTCAGCTGACAAAAAAGTCAAGGCTCTGCCATACCCTGGCAGCTGAGCCCATCCACCGCCCTCCGGAAGCCGGTCCTGCAGCGCAGCACACAGCGGTATGAGCCAGCGCTGTTCTCACAGTCCTGGTTGGTGTGGCAGCTGTGCCTGCCCAGGGCACACTCATCAACATCTGCAGGTAAAGAAAAGCTGTAAACCTCACTGTAGCACAATGACACACAGATGGAGCAACGTCTTGAACTTGAGCGACTGTGAAATACGTGACTGCAAATCTATTCATAAGTCAAATAATCAGAACACAATCATACAATGACCAAATGGTCCAGCCTGAAGAAAACATCTCTCCATGCTTGACATGCTGTGAGGCTCTTTGTATCCTGCCTGCCCACGGCATCTCCCCTTACCCTGGCACATTCTTCCATCTGCAGCAATGGTGAGGCCTTTTGGACAGGAGCAGTGGTAGGATCCCATGGCGTTGTGGCAGGTGTGGGAACAGGGATTTCGCACAGCACATTCATCTTCATCTGCAGGAGGGAAATGTTTGAAAAAATGTTTACAAGAACAAGACATAACACCAGTGACATTCAGAGGAGCTGTCTGTATGTCTGTGTGTCCCAGGCTAGAGCTAGCACTTAGGTAGCTTCACAAACAGCTCAGCATCACATTCTCCTCTATACCAGGCTGTCCTCAGCACCTTGCCACTACCACTCTGTTCCTGCACTGTGAGAGCAACATGGGAATGCTTTTGCAGCATGCCCACATTACAGCTTACGAACATCCTTTGCTTGCATGGCCAGAGTCCCAGTAGTCAGCAGAGCTACACTATTTAGCTGCCGGCACACACATCAGGAAACCATGCTGTCATCCCTGGGCACTTTGAGAAAGTGAGCAAGGCCTGAACCTGGGAATAAGAGTATGAAAGTGCTATGATAGAATTTCCAGTTATAATCACAACAACCAACCCCTTGAAGCCTCCATTATTACATCTCACTACTATACATTAGAGGGACTAGAATTCACACACAGTAGAGCCTTCATGTCTAATTTAAGATTTTGCTTCTTGCTTTTATCAGATGGCACACAATAGGCTTCTCGGGATCCTGCTTGCAGTCGATCTGCAGGATGGGTCACTGCTGTGGTAATGAAGGTTTGACACAGTCTCTTTCATACAATCTCTTTGCAACAGAACAGATGGAACTCAGTGCTCGATTTAGACTTCTTAAACAGACTTGCCAAGATTGTTACATTTTCTGTATTACAAGTTTTGAACACATACTTTTTTACTGAAAATATTGAAATTCCAAAATAGTTTAGCAGCTGTATTTTCAGCTTTCCTGATTTTAAAATTTCCATCAGGAAATTTTCCTTATTAATTCCATTAATTTTTAAACTTTTGAGGAGCAATGAATTAAGTCCGCAAAACCGTATCAAATACTGCTCCCTGAAGCAAACATGACCAGTCACCAGTCACCAACAGGAGATGGCTAAAAAGCTCATAACTTTCTTTTCACATTTGCTACCCAAGCAACAGCTGGTTTTCAGTGGGCTGCTCTCTAGGCTGTCAGCGCTCATCCCTCTCCTCACAGAGTGCTCCATTGCACAGCTGCTCAGCAGTCCCACTTTGCATCACAATGCCGATGGAAGGCTGCCTGGGAACTGCTTCTGAGCTCTGGGCCCACACCTGTCTGTTGGTGGCAGCTTCCACTTCCTGGAATGTGCACTGAACGCACAGGAGCTCTGAATAAAAGGAAAGAAGATGCTGCTGCCCGATTACATATTAAACTTGTCACATCATTACCTGTACAGTAAGGCCCAGATGAGTCCAACTCAAATCCAGCAGGACACTGGTTGCTATGATCTCCTGTAAGGTAAAAGAAGCACATGTTACTTGTGGATGAAAATAAAGCTGTATTATGAAGAAAATCCTTTAATATTAGGAATTGCAGCCCAGCTGTTACGAATAAAGGATCCTCAAACCTTCAGGATAGCTTGTTCTTCTTGGACATTAAAATTCACTGTGAAGGAACACAAGTACATACTCTTATCAACAGGAAAAATCTTACCAATGGAAAATTCTCATAGAGCCTGCTGGAAATCCACACGTGTTTTACTCTACACTTGTACCTTGAAAAAATGATGCAATAAAGATGACATTCTTTAAAATGCAGCATATTAATTGTTGGAGAAAATAAATACAATGTCAGTTTCTAAAAGCAGGACCAGATTTAGACATAGACATAACTTGCTTTGGAGACCTCCTTTTATCAGGCCTATTTGTTTTTAATGGAAAAGAAAATCTCATTTGACTTTCAAACTCCTCAGTGAATTCATAGCCAGGCAACAGGGAAAAAACCTTATTTTACTGTGTTTGAAAGACTGAAATAGGCAGTCCCACTGCCTTGTTTACTTTCAAACAAGGCAGTTATTTCATTTGAAAAATACTGGGCTGAAATAAAAAACATGCTTAAGTACTGTACAAGAAGAACATGGGTCACTCTACTGACTAATGACTTCTCTAAGGAAGACTCACCCACATGAATATGCTCTGTTCCTTCAAATCTTGTAGGTAAAAGGCCAACGGAAGCCAGCAGCTAATGGTGGGCAGCTACAAGGCTTAGTGCCTCAGGCCAAGGAGCCACGAGTTCACTACCTCTCAGGCAGCAGCAGGGTTAGTAAATTATGTAAGCAGTGTCCACCCAGCACTGCATAACCACACACCAGGCACAGTATCTCATCCATCTTTAAGAACTTTCACAGAGTATCAAGAAAGTTTTCAAGCTGAGCTCAGCATCGTGTTTTCTGTATGTTTTAAATACTTCTCTAGAAGAACAATCTTCAGACTTGCAAAACTCCACACTAAAGGGGTTAAAATATCCCATGTTCTTCTGCCTCTGTAGCCTTGTTACCAAATTACATCCGTGTGGGCTTTGGAGCAAGAAGAAAATCCTCTGGAACAACTATGCAAAGTAAAACCCTACCAACACCATCCTCTACTCAAAAGGGAAATGAGAGGGACATTCTGGGGAAGGAAAGGTACACACATGGAAACAGAGAATATTGGAGGCTGCCTGTTTGAAGCTACTGCTCATGCTAGGAGTTAACATCAGCAATGGCAAACTGAGATCATCCATGGGAACTGCAGAGGAACAGAAAGTGCAAAATGCAGGAGCTTTTACATGTTAATCTATAGGCTTATTAATGAGACATACAGGTCCCAGAATCTACAGTAAAGTTAACTGAGTGAGCAGTTCCTCTTTCAAAGCCATAACCAGCTTTGAGAATAAAGGCAGGGAATGCTAGTAAATCAGTATGTTATTGCTGTTTTTTTGTAACAGACTTGAACAATACCTTTTGAAATGGAAGCGTGGATTTTAAAAGCCAAAGTTTCTTCCAGTGGATTGTACTCTGTTGTGATAGAGGAAGCCTGGAGCGTTTCCACCAAAAAAGGCATTTTTCCTTTAGTATGATCATAGGTAATAGTGTGGTTCCATGTGTAGGGAACACTAACTCCATCCACAGCAAAGAGGCGAGTGGAATGGGCATACAGCTGCCCGGGGCCGGTCTGAATGTAGTCTTCTGTGTAATCCTGAAACAGCCAATATCAGCCACTGAGTGCAGCTAACAACACTGTGCTCTTCATATTTTGAAGGAGTATATGATACATTCCGAAAATTGTTTTTCTCTTAACAGCTGAAAAAATGTATTGCACAGAACATGTCTTTTTTTTTTTTTTTTAACCCTTAATTTTCCTGCTGAATCTTACCAGCACCTGTTATTTTTCCTTTGATAAGAGACAGGCTGATGACCCTGATGATGGAAGTTACAGTAGAGAATATACTACAAAAAACTAAATAGATTGGTCAAAGAATCTTTTGAAGTCTAAATATTTTTGTATTCTAAATCAGATTATGAAAACATGCTAAATAAACAGCTCCTTACAGCAATGTATGAAAACATGGAAAACTTGATATATATTTTTTGCACTGTGGGATATGTTACCTACCAACAAAGTACCAATTATATAAAAACAACTTTAAAGAATAATCTTTCTTTCCCAGTAAAATCAGTTATCAAGCCCTTGATTCTAATTCAAAATTTTCATAGCATGCATAATAGCAAGCAAAATGTTCTTTATGCCTTATACTGAATGAACAAGGTAGAAAACCAATCCCTTTGTATTAGGAGTACAGGTCAGTGACAGAAGCTTTCGTACTATTAGAAATACCTTACTATTAGAATACCTTTTAGAAATGAGAGGTAGAACAACTCAGGAGTGAGACTGTCATGCAAACCATCCTCTCCCATCATTCCTGAGGAAGTTTGAGGATGTTCCTTTTTTAAAGCCAATTTTGAATATTCTGCCTCTTTCAGAGGAATTGTGTGAGAGTATTGTTTTGCATAAAATAGATCAGCACAAGATAAAGTTTTGATGCTATGGCAGAGAGGAGAGCATGTTGTTACCAACCTGCACCACAACAGCACACAAGATAAGGGTACACAAAATGCCCTATGATGTAATCTCTTAAAATTTTATCAGCCACAAAAGCATTCTGACAGACTATGTACAACTGCAACTGCAAACAAATAACACTCTGAAGCTTTTGCAGGGTGCCATGGCATAAAAGAGCTGATGTCATCATCCAGAAAAGCCATAAAATCAGGCAGGCATTAGACGCACACCTCTATTAAAAGACACACTCTCTTTTAGCTCTACTAAAAGCCTCACTCAACATGCCTAGCTGTGATACGTGGCCCCAAAGACAGTTCCATGCCTCCCCTTCTAACACCTAAAAATCTTGAGTGACCATTCCTACTTTTGTGATGGCATCTTTTAGCTTTTGAGGGCAATGTTAGCACCTGTCAACTAAACTAGGTATTAAATAAGTTATGCAGTAGAGCAGTTATCAGGACTTAATGCCTACCTCTTTAATACAGATGAGAGAGGAAGTGTGCAACAATGAAAGAGAAAAGGCTGGTATCTGAGAGTGGCTTTACCTTCATGTTAACATTAGCTAGTGGCTGCAGCTGCAGAACATGGCCATTCACAACAACATCCAGCAGTAAGGCTCCGTCTGAATCCAAACCCCGGGCAATGTGAGTTATTCGCAGAACCTCTCCTGTGAATTTTAAAAGCATGCAGATTTATAAAGCATCCTAGCTAGGGACTCCTGTAAGCCAAGGACTATCTGAATTGGATCGCTTGACCACTTATCTCATGCTAATATTTTTATAAAGCATACCATGCCTATAACATAAGCATTATGTGCTCTCAATTAAAACTCTGTACTGCTGTATTTAAAACTCTGAAAGCCACAGGCATTCAGAAAATAGCAGCATAAGCATTTAGAATCAAAATTCAGCACTGGTGATGAGATTCTTTTAAAGGGATGCCGTATCTATCACGTTTGCTGGAAAGAGATAGTGCATCACAGGTAACAACCTGTTGCAAATTCCACTTGGGTTTCTCTCTTGAATATCGCACCAGTGAGCGTAAATCCATTCATTGCTTCTCCAATTTCTTTTGCAGTTGTCCAATAGACTGGGCTCAGAATAGAAACAAGCTTTCTTAGTGCTGGACCTGAAAGAAATCCAATGTAATATCTGAGGGCTTTTTCCCAAGGCTAAGTGTCCCCCCCATCAGCAAGAGCTGACTATGAAGCCAAAATAAGAATATAATCTAAAATGTGAGTAACTCGTAAGATTAAAACTATGAAAAATTCAGAGGATGTACAGATATTCTTAGAATATTAATATTAATGAGTACTGAAGATTCCTTTTTCCTCTCTTGGTCTGAAAAGTTAGATCAGTTTCTCCAGTGACCCCTGATAAAATGAAGTAGTGAAAACTAGCACTGCACAGAATTCAACCGGGTTCTAGAAAAAATGAAAGTGATAAAAAGTAGTAAAAAGCCTACCAAGACTCCGAGGGATGCTTGTAATCTTTGCTTGTATTACTCTAGATTCAGAGTTCAGGCTGTCTGTTACTGTGGCATTCAGGAAAGCAATTCCAAACTCAATATTGTTAATGTTTCCAGTGATGCTGCCTTGGGCACGTGAAGGCCCACCTGTGCAGGAGAGGAAAGGAATGAAGGAAAAAAAAAAAAAAAGCACCATGGCTGATATTATGGGAGAGAGAAAAGCCAGAAACATTGCCCATGTGGGTATTTCTGCTTATATTACTACATTAATTTGCAACAGTCAAGCTCGCAACCTGCAGGTAACAGTGTGGTGTTCATATATGATCTGAGATACATGCACAGTAATATAGGAACTGCCTTATATCCACATCTCTGAAAAGCAGCAATTATTTAAGAGTATACACCAGTGCTGCATAACAGGTTGCAACAACAACAAATTTATTCAGTGGCAGTTGCAGAGGAGATGTAAGTCAAGAAAATGAGCCAGTTTAATTAGGAGTGCAGCAGTCTTTCACAACACTCCCATTACACATAGGCAGAAAATGAACTCACCAGGACATGCTTGACTATTACACCTGGATATCTGGGAGGAGTCTCCAGGACAAGGATGGCCATGATATAGCAGGGCAGGATTCCTGCACAGGCGTGTTCGGGTCTGCTCTCCTCCGCCACAAGAAGCAGAGCACTGGCTCCATGTCTGCCATGGCCCCCAGTTTCCATTCACTAAAGAAAGAGAAAATGAGGAAAGTTCACTTAAAATATTTTAGGCTGCATCAGTAATGCTTTTGTGACAAAGAAAAGAAATAGTATTATAAGAAGGGACATGTAATCACCCACTTCCCAACTTCTGCCAGCTGCCCTCTGCATGAGTTTCTGTAAAGGATTCCTTTTGCCAGCCTCTCTGTATCTGCCCCTGAGAATATCAGGCTACACAGAACTGGTGGTGAATGGAGTGAAATCCAGCTAGCAACTGGTCACAAGTGGTGTTCCCTGGGGGTCTGTACTGGGGCCTGTCCTGTTTAATATCTTTATTGGTGATCTGGATGGGGGGATTGAGTGCACCCTCAGTAAGTTTGCAGATGACACCAAGCTGGGAAAAAGCGTTGATCTGCCTGAGGGTAGAAAGGCCATATAGAGTGATCTGGACAAGGTGGATAGCTGGGCTGAGGCCAATGGGATGAAGTTCAACAAGACCAAGTGCCAGGTCCTGCACTTTGGCCACAATAACCCCAGGCATCACTACAGGCTTAAGGCAGAGTGGCAGCAGGACTGTGTGGAAGAAATTGACCTTAGAGTGTTGGTCAGCACTCAGCTGAACATGAGCCAGCAGTGTTTCCAGGTGGCCACAAAGGCCAATGGCAACCTGGCTGGTATCAGCAAAGCGCAGCCAGCAGAAGCAGGGAAGTGACCGTCCCTATGTAGTGAGGTCACACCTTCGAGTGCTGCGTTCAGTTTTGGGCCCCTTGCTACAAGAATGACTTTGACACTGTGGAGCATGTGCAGAGAAGGGCAATTAAGCTGGTGAGAAGTCTGGAGCACTAGCCTTACATGGAGCGGCTGAGGGAACTGGGATTGTTTAGGGTGGAGAAAAAGAGGGTCAGGGGAGACCTCATTGCTCTCTACAACTGCCTGAAAGGAGGTTGTGGCGAAGTGGGGGTCAGGCTCTTCTCCCATATAACTAGTAATAGGAACAGAGGAACGGCCTCATGTTGTGCCAGGGGAGGTTCAGGTTGAATGTAAAGAAAAATCTGTTCTCCGAAAGAGCGGTCAGGTGCTGAAGTTGGCTGCCCAGGTAGGCTGTGGAGTCATTGTCCCTGGAGGTGTTTAAGAAACACTTAAATGTTGTACTAAAGGACATGGTTTTGTAGAGAAATACTGTAGGTGGTTGTAACCATCCACTGGATGATCTTGGAGGTCTTTACCACCCTTGGTGATTCTATGATTTCAAGATTAAGAAGCACAGTCAAATGTATGCAGATCCATCAAAAACCAGTTCACACAGAAGAGCTGTCAATATTCAGACTCCCCTATCGTCCTTTCTGCTTGTCTCAGTAGAGGAACAACCCAACTGCTCAGAGCTTTGGGAGCACCATTCTTTAAAAAGAATTATCTGAAACTGCCCGGGTATAAAACTGATGGAAGATTAGAACAAACCAAACAAGCCACAAATCTCAAAAATAAAGAAAACATGTTCTGTTGATCCAAGCGCTCACAAGAGATCAGTTAGATTTGGCCATATTACATAGGGAGGGAAGAAGCCTCCAAAGCACAGCCTCAATAACAATGGCTGACATGCTGAGAATGTGACCGTACACATCATGAACAGAGCATCTGGAGATGGAGATCTGGACTTATCAGTTGGTGCTGACAGTTGCTCAGAACTGACAAGGAGAAGGTAACAATGAACAGTTTCACATAATCGTCAGCCAAATTAAATATTAACCAGGGAAATACCAGGAAACTTTTGAGTAAAGTGGAATCAGTTTGAAAAGTAGTATTGGATTTACATGGAAAGGTTTTGGTAGCAGGGGAGGCTGCCCTATATCAGAGCAGAGCCAGCTCCAGCTGCAGAGCAGGTCGCCCCCTGCAACCCATGGAAAAGCCCACGGTGCAGCAAGCGGATATGACCTGAAGGAGGAGCCCCAGGCCGGAGTTGAAGCCGTGGAGAGAGCTGGGCAAGCAGCCGTGGGACAGAAGGGCTGGGCGAGCTGCCGCCTGTGCGGCTGTGCTGGAGCAGCGCCCGAAGGGTGGGCCCAGTGTACAGACATGATCTGGAACAGTTTGGGAAGGACTACATCCCAAGGTACGGACCCAAGCTGGAGCAGTGCTTGAAGAGCCGCAGCCTGTGGGAAGCCCATGGGATCAGTTCGGAAAGAATGGCATCCATGGGTGGGACCCCATGTGCAACAGAGGCAGACCACAGAGGGCAGATCACAGAGATGGAGAATTACAGACTGACTGTAGAACCCCGTTCCCTGCTCCTCTGTGCTATCTGGAGGGAGGAGGTAGAAGGTGGATGGAGCTAAGATGTTTTTAGCTGGATTTAGTTTTCAGTACTCTAGTTTGCCATTACATAATTGGCAACCAACTATTTTGATCTCTCTATGCCAAGTCTGTTTGCCCACGACAGTAATTGGTGCGTGATCTTCCTGCTCTTACCTCAACCCACAAGACCCACAAGATTTTTTTTCCATCTTATTTTGTCCCTGTCTCCTTCTGAGGTGGGACAGCGTGGTGGTGAGTGCTGAGCTCCTACTGGTCCTAAGTCACCAGAGAAGTAAAAATACGCATGAAGATCTGTGGCTGTGGGAGAAACCCAGGTAAGATGAGGATAAACAGCCAAAGCAGACTAAGCTCGGTGCTGCCAGAAGTTGTCCCACTGGTCTCATCACCTCCCAGTGGAGTGTTATTCCCCTGCACACTGTGAGTAGCATGCAGCAAGCCAGAAGAGTGACTGCAGGATGCAGCAAGCCCCCGCACACCACAACCTGGGGGTGAAGTGTGGCCTGGTCAGGGGCTTTCTTACCACAGTGGCGGTCAGCAGGGTGTTGAAGTGGCACACCTACACACAAAGCTACTGCATTACCTCCATGATGAAGGTATGGAGGTATGCACAGAGGAGGGATTTAATGATTTATTATATTAAAAATATTAGTAATTTAATTAAAACCCTTTTCTAGGGTGAATTATGGAAGGAGGCTTAGACATTTGTGGGTTTAGTAAGTATCTAGCATAGTGGTTTATATCCTATATTGCCAGCACTGATCCTGAATGTGTAAGGTCACTGATTCTTGTGTTAATAAATCAGTTAACTGCTTTGATCACAATTTGATTTAAACCACGTGGACTTAGCATCCTTCCCTGCTCCTGGAATAAGTTATGGAAGTTTGCTGGGAGCCTCAAAAACTGTATTTACAAAAACAAAATTATTAGGTTTACGAGAGATTTTCATATACTTTTTCCTGTTAAGGATTATTCTAACTCATTTTGGTAAAATCTAGCATGTGAAAGAGGAAATCATGGTAAGTGATGGTCATTTAAAAAAATGAGAGTGGATTTCTACATTGTATGAAATTGCAAATAACGAAAGGAATGTTCCCCATTCCTCTTACAGCACAACCATCCCACATCCATCCTGTGTGACGTGTAGCAGCATGGAGGCACTCACCAAGGCACAAGTCAGTGCCACACCGCTGGATCTGCATGTCAGCCCCTGCGCAGGCCCTGCCGCCACTGCTGGGGCGAGGGCTGTCACAGCCCCGGTACCGCCTTGCCTGCCCGCCGTTGCACGAGCGGCTGCACGCTCCCCAGCTGCCCCAAGGGCCCCAGCTGCCATGAACTGTGAAAATAAACGTCAGATTTTATGCAACTTTCCCTTAATAGTACATAATAAAAACAGACATTCAAGGTAGGAAAATATTCCTATATTCCTATAACCTATTTTCTTTTCGTAAACAAAAAGCAAAAGCCAGACTTAAGATCAAGTTATCTTGTCCAGCATTCAGTGATTTCTTGGTGTGTAATAACCAACTCCAGAACACTACAGCTCGTTAGGTGACTAATGCAGAAAACATGCAGCACATCTCACTAACAGAGCAAGTCACCAGATCATGGTGTGAGTTGCAGAGTTCAGATTTGTAGTACTTTGTGCCTGGACAGCTGTGACTTTACAGAAGTGCACAACCAGGTCAGCTTGATGACTGATGACCTTCCAGGCCTTTTTCCAGACTATGTGATTCTCAGTTTCTGAGACCTCTGACAGTCTTGCAGGAGCTTATACACCAGCTGCTGCTGGTCTGTGTTCCCAAGAAGTGTTTAAAATGCCCCAGTCTTACTTAGAGATGGAGAGATTATCTTGCCATCTGTCTCTTCCCTGATTTTTCTGCATATATTGGGAGTACAAATGTGATTTGTGGAGGTCTTCCTTCCTCTCATCCATCCCTACAAATCCATCAAGTGGACAAGCAGCTTAACTGAAAGTACTCACCAGGACAAGGATCACTGTTACAAAAATCAACTTGTATGTCATTTCCTTCACATCTGTGACCTCCAAACTGTGGGGCTGGGTCTGAGCATTGGCGTGTTCTCTGACTGCTGCCTCCACCACAGGACACAGTGCAGGCGCTCCAGCTGCCCCACGGGGCCCACTTTCCATCCACTGATGAGAAAGGCACAGCAAGGAACAGTTACAGCCTCTGATGTTGGAGATAAAGTGAGTCAGAGTTACATCAGGGTGCCACTGATTGCTGTACATTACTGACCCTCCCTGTAGAACATATCAGATACACAGGGGTTTCTACACACGGATTTTCAGGAGTGAAAACTGGAGAACAGCACGATCTGTAGATAAGTTGTGGTCCTGCTACATACATGGTCAGGGATCACTGAGTCCTCATGCTCAGCCATTCCGTTATCTATAGATATTCATGCATAAAGTAGACCCTGAAATCACCGCATTGGGCAGACTGTAATGTAAGAGCCAAGGATTCAGGATGCTGCGTGATGGAGGAGATGCAAGGACTGGAGAAGAAATCCCACGTTAGGTCTCCAAAGGAATGCTGAAGACTGGGAGGGACCTCTGAAAATAGAAGGCTTGAATGGAATTTTTTCAGGGATTACAGTTTTAGAACTGAAAAGCATTAGATATAACTTAAGCAGAATTTGGAAACTGCCATTTCGCCTCTTTCTATCTGACATATCTTACCTGGGCAGTGCCTCTTGCTGCAGACCTGCCTTTGCACATCAGGCCCATGACAGTGGGACCCACCATGTGAGGGAGGTGGGCTGCTGCAGAGCCGCAGCCGCGTCTGGGTGCCTTTCCCACAGCTCTCACTGCATGGGCCCCATGGAAGCCAGGAGCTCCACTCACCATCAACTGCAAAGTCAGCACAGCCACACTACTGTTTAAACCATACAGCTGCTTTAACTTGACATTATAGCTACACAGCCGACGACAAAATAAATAAAAACAAACAAAAGCAAAACAAAAAATCCACTACCTTTTGAAATATCAATAAATAAAGTACTCTGCATAAACCCTTAAAAAACCTTTGCTTCAAGCAACAGCTGAACCAGATGAGAAGTTTCCAAAAGAGAGATTCTTTCCATTTCCTGAATGTATCTCCTCACTTGATTAGAACCCTTGAACAGCAGAACAGAATGATTTGATCACATATGGTGTTAAATGGATGTGATTGCCCTGTGTTAGGCCAAAGGTCTCAGCCTGGGAAGGGCATGCTAGCAAAAGCCTGGCACACTGCCTTTGGTGGGTACCAGCAAGCAGAGGTCAGAATGACTCTGTTACCAAGATCTACAGAAATGAATCTCAGGCTGTGGATGGATGCTTAACTTCGTGGCGGCAGCAAAGCCAGGAGAATGGGAAAAATCCATATAATTAAAACTCTGCAGAAGGAAACATGCCAGCAGTGACAGGCTATGAATAAACTACATCCTGTCAAATGCAGTAAGTAGTACCAAGACAGGCTGGAGCACCTCCCCTATGAGGACAGGCTGAGGGAGTTGGGCTTGTTCAGCCTGGAGAAGAGAAGGCTGCGGGGTGACCTCATTGCAGCCTATCAATACCTGAAGGGAACCTACACCCACGAGGGGAGTAAACTCTTCAAAAGGGCTGACAACAGCAGGACTAGGGGAAATGGATCGAAGTTGAAGGAGGGAAGATTTAGGTTGGATGTTAGGGGGAAGTTCTATACAAGGAGAGTGGTTAGGCCCTGGAACGGGCTGCCCAGGGAGGTTGTGGATGCCCCGTCCTTGGATGTGTTTAAGGCCAGATTGGACGGGGTCCTGGGCAACCTGATCTGAATGTGTGTGTTTGGTGGCCCTGCTAGGCAGGGGGGTTGGAACTACATGATCCTTGAGGTCCCTTCCAACCCGGGTGATTCTGTGATTCTGTGATTCTGTGACAGGAAAGAAACCATAACATGCAGCTAGCTAGGAGAAACACATGTGACTGAAAATTTTAAAAGCAGAAGTACCACTAATTTCTTAAATTCTAATTAGTGTACTTTATGTGGCCTTTATTTTTTCCATTTTAATAGGTTTTGTGGGGTAGGTTTAGAGTAGCAAATACTACTCTGTGAGCAGATGGGCTACATCAAAAAACAAAATCAGCATTTTTATTGAGTAGGGAAAAGAAAGAAATTGTTGAAAAAAAGCCCCTTACACAGCCCATTCTACAATAACGTTCTCTTACCTGGACAAGGCCCAACTTTGCACATGATGAAATCCACAGCACTGCCATTGCATGGCTTCCCACCGTGCTGGGCTGGTGGGTTACTGCAGGTTCTGGTTCTGGTCCTGTTCCCTTCTCCACAGCTCTTTGAACACTCCTCCCAAAGCCCCCATTCGGACCAGTTGCCATCAACTAAGAAACAGAAATTTTCAGCTTTAATTAAAATACTTTAAAACAAACAAACAAACAGAAAACTGTGTGTGCATATATTTCCTTTCCACAAAACTCAAGATGAATTTCAACCTGTCAGAAAAATCCATCTGTCATGAAGGTCCATGGTGAAAATGGTATATTACTGAGATACCTGACATAAGGCAAATTAAAAATATCAGTCTATTAAATGGCTTGTTGTGGCAGCTGCGCACATCTGTGTCAGGCCCCTCACATGGTCTCCCACCATTTGCTGGGAGGGGGTTGTTGCATCTACGAGCGCGCTCCTGCACACCCTGACCACATGTCACGCTGCAAGGTTGCCATTCAAGCCAATTCAAAAATCCACCATGCACTGCAGTGGGAAAAATGTGCTCTGTTGGGAACATGTACTTATGATGACAGCTCTTAGACTGAGAGAGGAAAGAACAAAATGTACATCAGAGGCCATGCTTGGAAATCCAACCTGCTTCATGCCTTCACTACTGCAGAAATTTATTAATTCAGAGATCACCCCAGATGCTCTGAAATAGTTTATGTTCCTAAATGCTTTTCTTCAGAGACATGATTATATACATTCTGAGGATGGCATCAAGTTTTTATTTATGTACAGCTAGATGAGTGCAATCAGAGGAACACAACAACATGAAGCACAAACCCACTAAGACATCTCAGAACAGGTCTAACATACAGCTAATTCGTACATGGAAGGGATAAGTCTTGTTGTTACTGTCAATTAATGCTGGAATCTACTAGTTTGAAAGTTATTGCCCTGTATTTTGTGCACCTACCCTGGACAGTCAGTGGAACTCTAACAAGCACAGATCCCATTAGATTCCTCGCTACACATTCATATTCAGATGTATCTTCCTTCTGTGCTGCAGTGATATGCAGGGAGCCATTAGGCAAGACAGTCACCCTGTCATCGCTCACAAGCGGATGACCTTGGCGGGACCATCTGATGGCTGGAGGGGGTTCTCCACTGGCCTGGCAGTTCAGCATTGCTGTACCACCAGCTTCAACAGTGGTCCATGCAGGCTCAAGGGTGATGACTGGAGGACCTGAAAGAGAAAGGCTTTAGGCAACAGCACATGGGTACGTTCTTCCATTATAGTATTAGAAGTCTGGTCAGAAAGGGCAAAACAACCTAGTCTCTTTATTTTGACAGATTATTATCATTGATCTTCTACTGTCAAATGATAGAACACACAAGTTAAAACAACACTGATAAGACTGTTTTTAATGTGTAGCAAACTGAGGGCCAAAGTTGGGACTGGGACAGAGTCTTCCTATACTACATTTTAAAAAATCTGCTGAAAGATGCTACTAAACATGGCCTGAAGGCAACTGAGATATAATGCACACATCCAGGTTGCTTGAGTCTACTACATCAGAGAAAAAATTCTATAACCAGTAGAAAAAAAAAATCCAAAATATTATTTCTGTAAAACATAAAATATTGGCATTATTCTCATGTAACTTTCCCAGTTTAAAGGTCCGGTCTAGTTTAATCCAGTTGTACATACAACTGAGAGAAATGGACCGTTTTCAGAAGGTGATTCATCCCCAGCTCATCCCCATGAATAAGCTACATCATCGTCCATGTGCTCTCCTTCCTTGATCTCAGTTGTCAGCTTCATTACTAACAGTGAAAGATGAGATTAATCAACCTAAAGAATAGTGAGGTGCTCAACCTTCAAAACCAATGGGAGCTGCAAATACTGCAGATTACTGCAGTAAGGGAGATTACTGCTCTGATTTAATGGCATGAAGCTTATCATTTAGCGCCTTACTCTGAAGGGTGAGTGTTAGACTGCGTTCCACCACACCAGCATCATTGGTTGCCACACACTTGTAGTCACCAGCATCTTCGTTCTAAAGAACAAAAGGCAAATAGTCATGTACCCACATGGATATAACAAGGGTTTCAGTTTACCTCATGCAAGTGAATCTGCAGTACAACATACATACACTGAATTCAAAGAGGCACACTGTTAGATTCTACAGTATGCAAGCATATTGCCTTTATTAATAGATGATACTGTAAATTATCTTTACTGCAATTATTCCATTTTTTTTTCTTTAATTGAGACCAGATCTCCTTTTTTTCCTAAATAGCTCCAAAGAAGCTATTGTTTCTAACTCTACTCTGAAATACAGACATGGATTTACAGCCATGGGGCATGGGGAAAGGGTCTTGTCATTTCTATTAGGAATTCGGATGTTACAAGGCTTTGTGAGAATCCTTCTTTGTTTTTTGGCTCAAAGCTTGCTTCCTGAGATATTTCTTGTGATAAGACTCCGATTGATTTGTTGAGGAGGCAACTAATGGGTGCTAACCATGTGACAATGGATATCGCTTTGGGAACATTTGAAAGCCCCTTCCTCCAGAGCTGCTTGCTCTGTAGAAGAGCAGATGAGAGTGCTCAGGAGTTTTTACTGCTTACTGGCGGAAGATCGGGCCTGTGACTAAACAGCTCCAGCTAGTTGTGGGAAAACTGGGGAATGATACCATCGTGTTCTGTGAGAAACAGGATGCAGATGAGCATCCCTGCACCCTCTTATCTGCTGGCAAGGCCCGGAAGATGGGAACAAAGGAGTGTCTGCTGAGATCCCAGAGCCAGAAGCTGCCACTCAAAGGAGAGCTGACTCAACCACTTTGGATTTGAGCTGTCACTCCAAAGACAGCTGACTCGACCACTCTGAAACTATTGAAAAGGGGCCACCATCACCATGGTCGTCTCTTGTTGTGCTTCTCGTCGTCGTTGTCAACAGAACAACTCTGCCTGACGACCCACCGCTACTGAAGATCAAAGACTGAACTACGAACCTCGCTGGATCCATGGTGGTGACTATGTCCCTCTTGCTTCCTATAAAGACTCCTTGCCTCTTCTTTCCTATCTTTTCTATCGCCCTCCTTCCCTTCCCCATTACCCTAATTCATAATAGTGTCCGTCCTCCCCTTCCCCATTTCCCTAATTAAGATTTGTAATAAACTGGTCGGACCAACATTTGAACCGTTGCTTCTTAATCTCACGCCGGGTATATAGATAATAAAAGAACCTCCTCTCCCTCCTATAAATTGGAGCGAGACAGGCTTGCAATTGCTTTTCAGCTGATCTGAATGGGCAGAACCCAAGGTCTTTTAAAGGTTCAAAACAAAATTTCCTTTTAATTGGGTATCATCAAGATCTCATACACCAAATAATGGTATGTAGAAACACTCTTTCTGACCATTAAAGGAAATGACAGTATCCTTATTTTTATTTTTGTTACAGTAATTTGAGTATGATTCTAGAGGGAATTATATGAATATTTGTTAAAGGTAAAGCAAACTGGATTAAATATCCAGTCTCACTCTTTCAAAACAGTATGATCTGGAATCATTAACTGCAACACAAAAACACATCACAACAGACCAGTGACTCACAACAGTGCCGTAGATAGCAAGAGAACCATTGTTAAGCTGTCGGATCCTCTTGCTAATCTGAATGCCCACTCCTTCTTTGCTCCACTGGATGGTTGGAGGTGGATCCCCTCTGACTTCACAGTTCAGCACAGCATTACCACCCAAGGGCTCAATTCGGCTAGGATAGTAATCCCCTCTGAAGACCGGAGGCTCTAAAAAAAACAGTTGGTAGCATACAAATAGTAGAGTCAAAATAAAATACCCTGAATGGAATGGTTCAAAGGAATTGTTTGTCCCTAACTTTAAGACAAAACGTGAATTTCAATCCGTTTCTATTTTGTTCCCATTCATCCAAAGACCAGGTATCAAATAGTATGTGACAAAAGCACAGACTGAGAGAAGAAGAGCACCCATGTGGAAAAAGAGTTTGGCATTCTGGTGGACAAATAGCTTGATGCAAATGAGCAGTGTGTGCTTGCAGCCCACAGTTGTATTTCAAAATTCTTTACTGAGAGGGTAGTGAGGCACTGCCACAAGCTGCCTGGAGAAGTTATGGATGCCCCATCCCAGGAGGTGCTGAAGGCCAGACTGGATGGACCTCTGCACAGTCTAATCTGCTGGGTGGCAACAAACCCATGGCAGGGGGTTGGAATTACATGATCTTTGTGGTCCCTCCCAACCCAAATCAAATTTTATGATTCTGTGATTCTCTGTTAATATGAACATGGCTGCAGGAAACTCTGACAGTGATCACAACTGCTGTTATTCATACATACCTTTGACATAAACAAAACCAATAGCTCTGATGGAGCCAACTTCATTTTCTGCTGTGCATGCATAGGTACCAGAGTCATCTTTAGATACTCTTCCAATAACAAGTTCACTGTGTCCACTTACATCATCATACTGTGCTGAAGGGAGAACACACAGTAAAGGATTACTTTGATGATTTTAAACATATGCATTTCAATAGCTAATATTTCTTAAGCTGATATTTCTTAAGACTGTTTGAACTAGTGAGGGGTCTGGAGCACAAGTCTTATGAGGAGCAGCTGAGGGAGCTGGGATTGTTCAGTCTGGAGAAGAGAAGGCTCAGAGGAGACCTCATTGCTCTCTACAACTTCCTGAAAGGAGGTTGTGATGAGGAGGGGTTTGGCCTCTTCTCCCAGGCAATGAACAGGACCCAAGGAAATGGCAAGTTGTACCAGAGGAGGTTTAGGTTGGACATAAGGAAGAACTTTTTCTCTCAGAGAGTGGTCAGGCAGTGGAATGGCTGCCCAGGGAGGTGGTGGAGTTGCCGTCCCTGGCAGTGTTCAAGAGGCATTCGGATGAGGAGCTGTGAGATGTGGTTTAGTGCTTGTGGTAGCAGTGGTGATGGGAGGATGGTTGGACTCAATGATCTTGCAGGTTGTTTCTAACCTTGCAATTCTATGATTCTATAATTCTATGAATTAAAGTGCTATTCAGCAGAAATGGCATCGTGCCATTTCATTTCTAAGACTCAGAATTGCACAGAAAAGTCACAGTTATAATTTCCCCTTGTGCACATATTCACAAAAGTTGTCCTTCAATTTCAAGCTTCGTGCATCTGTATTCTTTGCACTGCTGAGATTTTCTTCATACTTGAGAGAAATAGTTTTAGTTGTTGGATGTTGAGTAAATGTAATCAAATACTGTGTGTTTTTAATGTGTTACATTATTGGCTATAGAATAGGGACAATTTCTTAATCATCCTTCTTGCAGCTGTGTCTCAGGAGCAGTTTAATTACACTATTGCATAATACTTAAGATATTTATTCCACACTCAATCACCGCCTAACAAGTTTATTAGCTCTAGGTTTTTTCTTTTCTTTATGCTAAATCAATTGCAGTGATGCAAAAGGAAAAATCTAGAGCAGAATGACCAATAACTGTTTCCCACCTGGAATGATGTTATTATTAAAAGTCCAAGTTATTTTGGGCACAGGTATCCCAGTTGCTTTGCAAGTTAATCTAAGTTGTTCTCCTTTAGTCAAAGTTACATCTCCAGGCAGTTCAGTAAAAGCTGGGAGTACATGAACAACCAGTGTGACAGAATGTGTGTCTTCTCCAGCAGCATTCTTGGCAGTACAGGTATAAGTGCCAGAATCTTCAGGCTGAAAGAAAAAGTGTTGGGGAAATTTCAGTTGTGCTATATCTTACACAATCTTACAGCTTGTAATGGCAGTGGAAAACATTATCAACATTATATCAAAACATTTGGAAATAGCATTTGGTAGAAAAGTTCATCTCAACTCTTGCTTCCTCTGTTTTTGAAAGATGACCTTACACTTTTTTTTGTCCATTCTGAGAAATTATGACTACAAGTTTTTCGCAGATATTTTACTAAACAATGGAAAATGAAACATTTACAAAGACTTTGAAATATTAACAAGAAAACAAAATAAGAGACTAACCCATAAACTGGTGAAAATGAAGAGAAGTAGTGTTGCATCACATCCAAGCTAGTCAAGTCACATCTTAAATTTAGTGAACTTACAACAACATTGTCCAAAATGAGGTCTCCACCTGGCACAGTCTTGTATTTTCCCACTATCTCTGTTAACAGTGCATTGTCCTTCTTCCAGTTTATTACTGGTGTTGGAATTCCATCTGCCACACAGGCCAGAACAGCACGGGAATCCTCCATGACCGTGTAATGTGCCTCCCTATTGTGAATCTTGGGTGGAGCTGTAAAAAGAATATGTATGCATTTCAATAAACCTTTTAAAGTTCCTTCTTCTGTAAAAACATACCATACTGGATTGAAGAAATCTGGATCTTCTGTATTGTTTCTTGTATCTACCAATGACTATCTATTAAGCATGCCACAGTGTGTGAAATACATGCAATAAAAAAGAAACTGACTTAAAGGAATGTAATGCTCATCCTGAGTTTTAGAAACTGGCTGAATACTACAAAACAATAAAATTCACAGATCAAATAGCACCATTTTCCTGAATCTCTCCCTTACATCCCAGCTCCTCACCCTCCATAGGTCCATGCTGTTATAGTACACCTTGTTTCCACACAGCCACACTCACTCTGCACAACAAGTTCCATGCTGGAACTGCTGGACCCTGCCACATTTGCAGCTATGCATGTGTAACGGCCCATGTCACCAGGCTGCACAAGCACAATCTGCAGCGCCCCAGTGCTAAGGATTCTTCTTCTCATGGATTCCGTTACTTGCTGGCCATCTTTATGCCAACTGATCTCTGGCCCAGGGTTGCCTTCAGACTCGCACTGTAGAGTGACAGATTGATCAACAGGAACAACATACTCCTTTGGCTGGGACTTGATGACAGGAGGGACTGAAAAAGGATTATGAAAATTTAGAAAAGATTGAGATGACGTAAGAAACATGGAATTCTCAGTGAAAACAAGTCTAAAAGCATACGTTGATTCTGAAGCAGACAACCAGAAGGGAATAAGCCTCCTGGGCTCTACTTCATGTCACATCACATAGGAAAGCATTAGGACCTGTTGTGTTGCTTCTATTTAGTTTTTGCAAACAGAAAACATGCATGAATTTCTTGTCTATAAATCACTACAAGAGCTTAGAATTTTATTTACCATGAACTTTCAGTTTGATTTTCCCCAAAGCAGTGCCAGCTGGATTTTGAGCAACACATGTATAAGTGCCAGCATCTTCAACAGTTGATTCTGTAATCTGTAAGTTGCCATTGGGAAGAACCATATAACTGTTTCCTGAAACAAATGTAAGCAAAGTATGGTAGTTTCTTTTTTCTTTTTAAAAAGAATGAATTTGGACATTCACAAAACAGAGAGAAAGTTTCTGAACTCCAGCAAATCGAGTTGAATTACAGATTGTAAGAGGATACCTGTTGTCATTATATTGATACCCTCCTTTTGCCATGTTATTACGGGTTGAGGTGTTCCCACTGCTTCGCATGGTAACAGAATGGGATTGTTCACAATGACATCCAGCATCCCTGGCTGAATTTGGATGATGGGTGGTTCTGTAGAACAAAACGAAAGGCAAAATGCCAACTGGTAAACTTTCAAGGCTAGAAAATACAGAAGACATTTAAATTACGTAACTGAAAGCCTAAGAAGGCTGAATTAACAACAGCTAGCTGGATTCTGTCATCTTTATGAAGAGCTCAGTGGAAGTGCTCTTCTATTGACAGTCCAATCTGTGCTCATCTTTACTCTGTGGCACAGCCATGTATTATGCAGGCAACATTTTCTGACATAATATGTTTTCTTTTCACACCTTACCATGAACATGAAGAGTGGCATGCCTATGAGCAGAGCCAGCCGTGTTCCGGGCCACACAGGTGTACCGACCTGCATGTGCCAACTGAACAGCAGGAATTTCAACAGCACCTACAGCAGAGAGAGAGTGCATTACAGCACCCAGCAGTACCCTGCATCCACAGAGCAGCACTCTTCCTAAGAGGTCTATATTTTTATTCTAAATAAAGTATTTCCTTTTTTAAAGGAGTTGTTTGTATCTAATTAATTACTTCTGGATGTGCATAATCAGTCCCCTTCGCTAGTGTTTTCTGTATCTGGACTCCAGCCATGCACAGTACCTGAAGGGAGAATTCTGTAGCCATCTCCTCTGGAAAGCAACTTTACGCCATTTTTGGTCCAATGAACCGAGGGAACAGGAACCCCCGAGACAGTGCAGGAAATTACTACTGGAGACAGCTTTGTTACCAAGAGATCTGTGGCTTCATCTGCTATGGATGGGGGCACTAAAAACAAATACCAGTGTTGTTAGTCCATTTTCATTTGTTATGAATTCTAGAAAGATACTTTCTTAGCAATACCAAAGACTTAAGGATATAATAAAATAAACAAAAGTCTCATCCTAGCATTGGTATATCCCAAAGAAGTTCTAGGTGCCATACACCTGTAAAGTGATATCCCCTTTACCTTGAACAGTGAGCTCAACTGCTCTTTGATCTTCTCCTGCATCATTTGACACAGAGCACTCATAGACAGCAGTGTCATCCACAGTGGGGGAAATGATTACTAAGGAACCTGAAGACAGAAGTCTGAACAAAGAAAAGAGAAGAAAGTAAAAGCCAGTGAAATACTTCCTTTTCTTCTCAAGTAATCAGACAACAAATTTTGTTGGCTATATAAAATTACATTTATGTATGGATAGTTTTTAAAGTGCCAAGGTAATCCTCATAAATTTTAAACCCACAGTGAAAAGAAAACATCCCTCACCTGTAAGAATTCTGGTTCTGGTCAAGAGTAAGCAGATGCCTATTCTTCTTCCAGCTAACTGCTGGCCTGGGAATTCCAGTGGCTTCGCAGGGCAATGTGGTTTGCACATTTACAGTAACTGTAATATTAGTACGTCCAGAAGCAATAGTTGGAGGCACTAAAAACAAACAAAGCCTAATTACTCAAAATAATTGCACGCGTGCACACATGCCTATATACAGAGCTGTGCTGCCTGAACACATTTACTTACTTATTATAAATAATTTGGTGGTAATGAACCTACTAAACATGAAGCATTGGATGTGTCCAGTCTTTCTATTTCCAGGTGTTGTGCACACGACAGGTAACAAGGAAAAAAAATGTTTTCTTTTCATAAACTTTTGGGTTGTAAATTCCCATTTAAAAACAAAACAAAACAAAACAGAGTAACTGAAAAAGAGCATAACTTCCAAGTGTATCAGTCTGAACAGGAAAAATGATACAAGCATACTTTAGACTTGTGAAAACATGTATGATTATCTAAAACCAAAACTTTTACCAAGGACTTGCAGATCAATTTGTTTGCGCTCTGTGCCGGCTGCATTAGTTGCCATACAGACGTATCTTCCTGTGTCAGCAACACGTGCTGAGTGGATTTGTAGAGATCCATCCTCTAATATGGAATATCTGAAACAAAGCCACATAGTTCTTCCCCCACCACCCAATCAACAGAACCATTAGCTATCCTGACAAGGCAGAAGACACAGATGACATAGGCTGCACAACAGTAGTCTCAAGACACGGTGTCTAACTTGGGCACCTAGAGTTTTCTCATTTATTACACTTATCATGGCTACTGTCTCCCAGCACATCCATTTTTCACAGAAGTTATAAAATCAAATTGACACCGTGCTTCTACATACATGATGACAGATTTGCAGATGTCCAGAACATTTTATTTATATACATTCATTTAATAAAAAAAAGTATGTAATTGTATATTTTATTTTTGCTTTGAAATATTATTGAATTCTTAAGCATTTGCTCAGTTCTAGAAAATGTCTAGCTACTTTCCCCCCAAATAGTCAGAAGACAGAAACCATTTACTATAATAAATGTTGATGTTAGACCATATGTATAAAGTTTTATCCATATCAGAAATTAGAAAGGATATTCAAGGATCTTTTGGTCTGCACAACATTGCTTAGCTTCATCGTAAAAACTTCAATATAAAAAAATGTATTGTTTGAAATCTTTTTTTTTTTTTTTGTCCTTTTTATTTTTTTACAATAAAAGGTTGAAATCCTCTGTACTGCTACTTTTGTATACAACAGCTTCTCCAAACCACTATTTCTACCACTGCATTTTTCATATTTGGGTCTATTTGAAATGAAAGTATGAACAGCAATTCTGAGCTGTGAAACCAAAATTCATTTACAAGTCCTGGATGTCTAAGCTTTATGTACCTGGAGTATTCTTTAAAAACTGGGAAGAATACTTATTTTGACTATGGGACAATACCTTGTATTGTTTCCATTAAAAACAGCCCCATCTTTCCTCCATGTAATTCTGGGGGTTGGTATTCCTTCTGCACTACACTCCAGAACAGCAGATGCGTTTAAATGGACAACAGCAGTCTGAGAGCTACTTCGAATTGTTGGAGCCACTGTTAAGGGAAAATCCCAGATGGTATCAGAAAAAGAACTCTTAGGCTGCACTACTTGAAACTGGACACACGTAAACAGATGTAACAATGGGAATGATTGTAACAGCAATAAATTTCTCTAAATAAGTTACATTGTGTGTAGTACAAGCTATTTGCTGTGATTCAGTATGGAATAAAAAACAAAGTCTGTCTTCAAAGCACTTTAAACATCATTTTAGGTAGTCACTGCAAGGATTATCATATAGCTAAATTGCAGAAGAGCTTATGACATTTAATTCAACAGAATAAGACTGAAATTATATCTGAGTTGTAATTAAATTAAGGAGAAACAAGAATTTTAAATGTACAGTAAATTACAGCCTTGGAGGGACTCTGTGTAATGGAAGCATATATGACTGAGTTATTAACAGAACAGATATAGGGAAAAAGTTTCTTATCTTTAGTTTGAGAATAGAATTGCTTCTCATCAGTCTACAGTTGAGAAAACAGATAGGTTTACAATGAAATTCAAGAAGTACCAACAGGCTTATTTCAATACAGGTCAGGCATTGGGATGCACAGGGCCCTCCAAACCCTGCATTCCTACCATCGCCCACCTGTAGCTTTAGAGAAGCCGCAGTTTTCAAGTAACTTGAAAAAATGGTGATGAAACCAGCAAGTCCCCCAGGATACCAGTGAAATGCTTTAACAATTTGCCTAAATTTGTCAAGGAGCACCTCTCAGTCTTGGATTTTTTTGCATTTTTAGCCTGAACATATCCTGCCTCTGAACCAGGATCACAGAATCACAGAATTGCAGGGCTTGGAAGGGACCTCAAGAGACCATTGAGCCCAACGCTCCTGCTAAAACAGGATGAAGGCAGGACGTGTAGCAGGAACATAGCTAGCCAGAGAAGGAGCTGTGAAGGGTCCCCAGCTGCTCCCCCAGTGAGGGGGACATCTGTGGATTGGGATGAGGTTACACATGAGGTAACACACCTGGTCCCTTAGTTCAGATACAGCCTAAGTGGCCAGTGCTTGGTTAAAAAAGACTTCCAATGCTTTCTTCCCTTTTGAACCCCAGCAGAAATATCATGCAAAGAGCAGAACACACAAGAATGGATCCATGACTTTACCATGTACTGCTAGCATGAACTCCTTGGTCATTTTTCCTGCAACATTACTTGCCACACATGTATAGTTTGCTGTATCACCGAGGTCAGCATTATTGATTTGCATATATCGCCCATTGGATAGGATTCGAATTCGAGGAGTTCCCTAAAGAGAAAGAGAGATGGATTTAATTTTACCATTGTTCTTTTTCTAAAGATTGAGCATTTTTTTTGGTGCAGAGTAAGAACAGCTATGAAAGAAGGCTGAGGTTAATTCAGGGGACTGCTAGCTTAACTGCTTCAGAGGACTGCATGGCTGGTTCACAGCCATGAAGATAATAGGATAAAACAAATTCTAAGAAGTTATCATTGCTTAGTGGTTATTACTTGAAAACCTTACTGGGATTTGTGCCTCAATATGTCTTTTAGGGTTACTATGCTAAAGGGCTTGGAGGCTTTTATAGAAAAGGGGCAATGAATAGCACATGATTCTTATTTTTTCCTCGAAATCTATGCACAGTACAAGCAGAAAAAATACCAGTTTCTCTACACTGTTCTTCAAATTTTTCAGCCTTGACCAGACAGGATACAGCATAAAGTTTGCCTTCTAAGTTTACTAGACAGGATTTGTAGATTGGAGAGCATGACACTTTTGAGTGCTACAATGACTCTAGAGCAGCTGCTCAGCAGCCCTTCGAAGTCGAAGTTTTTTTTTTAAATATAACTAGAGTGGATTGGAATGGAATGAACAACTGACAGCATTACCAAATACAAGTGCTCCAAAACCTGACTGAATAATAAAAAAAAAAAGTTTAAAAAAGAAAATGAAGAAAGAAACAAAGAACAAACACGAACTTTGGATAACATTCAAAGCTGACATTCCCATCTGCTCTTTTGACTAGGAGATCTGTAGACAGAAACCACCGCATACAAGTAAAATATCTCCAGTTCTGCACTGCTTTGCACTACCATCCAAGTGCTCTGGTCTCACACCAGGCATCAGCACAGATGTAGCATAACCAGCAGTGTTGGCCTCTCAAAGGTGAAATGACACAAATACAAATTCAGCAATTCTTGTAGTGTCCAGATAAAGATAGATTAGGTCAAGATACTCCTACCTACTTATTTTGATAACACTCTGCGTATGTTTCCAAATCAATTAAGAGTACAAGGACTGTGACCACCAAAGCTGTCCCAAACTAAACCTTTCTAGAGTTCTGTTAGAGCAGTTCTGTTAGAGCAGGTGGTGGTGCTGCACAATTACTTTATTGAACACAGCAAGATCTAGTATTGACTTCAAACACAGTGGAAGACCAGAAAAACAAACAAACAAACCAACAAAAAGAAAAAAGAAAAAAAAAAAAAAAGCAAACAAAAAAAAAAAAAACAGAAGGAAAGACACCCATTAAGGGCTGTTTCAAAAAGCAGAGATAGCTTAAATTGAGGAAACACTGCAGTCTGGAATCTTGACCTCCAGTCACCTTTTGTCACTGTGAAACCTCAGTGTTTCCAAGGTGAGGGGAATCAAATGCCATATAAGCATCCACAGAGCACCTGTCTTTTCATAGCCAGGGAGAATTCTTTCCCAGACGCTCACAAATAGTAGCTTATTATACTTTTTTGAGGTTGAGAAAACAGTCAGGCATTTAGGAGGACACTAATGCTTTCCTGATATTTGGAGCACACATATATATAAGCTGAGCTGAAGGATGGAATGGATGGTAGTGAACAAAATAAAACTACATCTGCTTTGTAAAGTACAACTGATAAATTAGGAGGCCCACATCTGGACAAAATTTATAACAGCATTATTTTCAAGATTACTGTCAGAGAAGAGCTCAGTGTACAGAATGTCCTTACACTGTTATAAAACAAAAGGGGGGAAATTAGCCAAACTGCATAACCAAGATGCTTCAGTCCTCAAGAACAAACACAAATCTCTGAAGCAAAAAATCTAATATTACATAAGTCAAACCTGAGGTGTTCAGCTGAGTATCTAGGCCCATAATAGTGTTGCTCCACTGCTTTATTTCTGTTAAGTATTTCTAAAAGTGGCTTCTTTTCATGGTTGTGAAATAATATAGTGAAGATGTAGAATTAAAAAAAAAAAAAAAAAATTCAAGTACTGCTTAAAACCCTAGCTTTTTAAGAAAGACTGAGGTAGAAGTATTCATGTATAACTTCCAGACCTTGTTCCAACTTACATTCATAAAAAAAAGTCTGCACCCGGAAATCAAGGGAAGAGCACTTCTCTTACATTTCTTTCTGTCTAGTTTTTGTATGATATGCAAGGTAGTATTATTCCCCAGCAGCACTTAGTAATATATGATTGCTCACCTTATTCTTGCCACTTCCACAAACATTTTATTCTTCTAAGTTTACAGCAGTGGAAGAGACTGAGCAATGGGCTCTCACAGGTACTGCACAGTAGCAGGCCTTTGAATGAAGACAACTGATAGACTACAACTATGGGAGACATATGAGTTATGTTTTATGAATTAAGAAGAATTTGTTTTCTCTTTATTAATAAATTAAGATCAATAGAGAGAAAATTAAGTTGAATTAATAACTGAATTTAAATTGATCTGTCAGAAAGAATCTGATTTCTAAGTGATCCTAAGAAAGATGATAAATAAAAAAAAAAAAAAAAAAAAAAAAAAAAAAAACCACCACCATTCTACTAAAGCTGTCCTAATCTTGCTAGTTTTCTTTCAGCCACCAGGGACTCTATACCCTATACAACACTACTTGGAACTATCAGTGAAAGGGATGCATTTGATACAAAACTGTGTTGGTTAGTAACACATTTTGTTTTTTTTTTTGTTTGTTTGTTTTCCTTTTTTTTTTTTTTTCCCCCAACATAAAAAATTGTAATTCCTTCCTAAATGCGACTAGAGTATGAGGATGCATAATATACCCAAAGGAAGCATACAGTGTAGTCTTTTCTCAGCTACCTTTCCTGGGAAGCCATTCAGGAAGTATACCAAAGGCTTCTAGGATTGTTCAGAGGATCCAGGAGGAGCAAGGGATCCCCCTAAAGGAAAAAAGAACAAGTAACAGCGGGATGGCCACTTCACATGCTTGCTAGCTTCAAGTACTCATGGAGGACTAACTGTATTAGTACTGGGGCAACTCAGCTTGAATTTGAGGCACTGTAACTTGACTGCAGTGGAGGGGAAAGTGAGCAGAGTAAGAAAAGTCCAGCACTGTGTAAAAAATAAAAGGTCCAACAGACTAACACGAATAATGTATTTGCTAATACCTCTACAAGTTCTCCATTTTTAAACCACGAGATTGTAGGAGGTGGTACAGCATCTGACTTGCATTCCAATATAACTTGTTTGTTCTGCAACACAGTGAGGTCCTGCAGACCACTGGTACCAGCAATATTAGGAGGAACTGTTACAAAAATTTAGAAAAATAAACACCACAGTTATGAACTACCATTAAAACCATACCTTAAAAAAAGCATTTTACTTCGTGATATTTAAGACAAAGGCAAAACTACAGTGCCACAATTTAGTACTACTTTACAACATCTGTGTTAAATACACCATGTGAAACTGTTTTTTAAGTCACATACTGGAAACTACTGCGACAGAAATTAAATTAAACTCAATTCTCAGCAAGGGCACTAGCATCAAAGCCAGACAGAGCAGAGACCACAGAAGTTCAATAAACTCTTCATCATGAAACATGGCAGTTACAACCCTCAAGAAGAAACTTGAAGCACACTGTAGAACTGCAGAAATTCTATTTATACTGCCTTTACTGACATTACATTCAATGTATCCTAAACATATATATACATGCACTTTTCTAATGAAAAACTAAGATCTTAGGTATCAGTATACTTTATACTTTTTTGTAAGTAGAATAAATTCAGTTCAGCTGAACAAAGATGCAGAATACAAATATCTATAGCCTATTTATAACAGAAGGTATGAATTGTATCAGATGAAACTTTCCCTCTTTAATGCATGTCAAAGGAGTTAACCTTACTGAGAAATGTTAATTATCATAAAGCATAATATCATTTTCTCAAAACACATATTTCTTTTTTAATAATAAGTAACCTGTTACATGTTGTACACACCTTCATAGTTTACAGCTTAATTTAGGAAAGAAATATTCCTCAAACCTACCATGCACTCTTACTAAATATTCCTTATCATCATCCCCTGCTGGGCTAAATGCCAAACATGTGTATCTTCCTGCATCCTCCACCTGGAAACACATGGGCAACTTCAGTAAAAGTTGCAGCATATGGGAACAATTCAGAAAAGCACTAAAATATAAACACTGACAGCAACAGTTAAAAGTAAAGACCACAGATAAGGAAAACCTGAGAATAAATGAAAAAAGTTCTTAGAATCACAAAACTGACACTCCGGGTTTGGTTTGGTAGGGACCTTAAAGGCCATTCAGTTCCAACCCCCTGCTGTGGGCTAGAGCCTTTCTTCTCTAGTCCTGGGAAACTTGCATCTCTTACAACCATGGTATTATGCAGGCGTAGCTTAGGAATGGAAAGATTATAATCTCTGAGGATAATGCACTTCCAGCCAGTACATCTTTTCTTCGTGATACCTTCTGCAACAGGCAATCCTGAACATGGAAGCTGCTATCCATCTATGCAAATTCTGGGTAGACAAAGAAGCCTTTTTATGCACACATTCATAGTCCGAATGTTATAACATAATGTTATGCCTTCTCTTTTCTGTAAGTTTCTCATTATAGAGACAAGAAGTGTTTACTTGGCAAACAAAGCCAGCAGCAGACTGTTTGTCCGTCTTCCTGAGCCACGTCCCCCTCATGTTTGGTGACATCCAGTCTGGCTGACTACAGCAGTTCTGTACATGTTATTTTTCCATGAACTCTTTTACTGTCTGAATTAATCCAAAAGCTTTTGTATTGTCTTTAGTTATTTTTAACTTTCACACAGATTACACCAAAGGCAGTTTTTTTCTCTTCAATCTATGGCCAATGCATGTGAGAAGCAAATGGGTATCAGGCAAATCTGAGGTAGCAGAAAGAGGAGAAACGCTGAGTAGGAGCTATAAAATAACAACAGAAAAGCAAGTGATAGTAACAAGGGTCAGGTAGACAGGAAATTAACATAAACAGGGTATAGATGCAGATTATAATACATATGTAACTAGATTTCTACAGATACGTAAAATATAATTATATAACAGATAATATGTTACGTAATCTTATAACAGTTTATAGATAAAACCACAAATGAACACAAAAAAGGCACAAGTCCCTAGCCTTGATTGTTCAACTTTCTATGAAGAAGGATGAACAAATAAAGAAGGTTTAGAACTCTAAGATGAACCTGAATAATGCTCAGAAGATGCAGAAATGCTAGGTCACTCTTAAACCATAATACTACAACTTTTTCTGAATAAAAAATCAAGGCAAGGCTTAAAAAGCACATCCTCCAACTGCACGTGCAGGAGGAGAACTTTATATAGGGTTTTAGGACCTGTCAGGTTGGTCCTAACAGCAGGCAATTCTCTATGCTTCTCCAGAGTTTCCAATTTGAGACAACTTTGAAACAGTTGTTTCACCTGAGTACTGGTTATTCGAAGCCCTTCTCTTACAACATGAACATTGTCATTTTGCAGAAGCGGGCGCCCATCCTTCATCCATGAGATTTTGGGGATTGGAATGCCAGTAGAGATGCAAAGAAGTTCAAGGGGGTTGTTGACAATCACAGAGAGCTCTTCTGGTTGACCTGAACCGTTGATTTGAGGTGGTTCTATGGAAAGAAAAACACTCCCACTGTGTATTGAATCAGTATATAAAATCTAACCCATAGACTTGTAGTTGGTTTGTAGAATTAGTCTGTACTAGTGCTATTTCTGGCTGTACAACTGGGTATCTCATGGGATTTCCATCTGTCTCTTTCTAGTAATCTGCATATTTTTTGAAATTAAATTAGAAGTTAGAAATTACTTTAATAATCTCAGGTAAAAAACTTAATTACATAGTATCAGTGAGGATTTTTATTAGCTCTTTAGCTGTTACACATTCAGTTACACCTTTAGCTGCGCTATGAACCTGTGAAGTAGAATTTCTACCAGCCAAAGTGTATTTCAGAATTCATGAAATCTTAGGTAAAAATACATATTATTTTACATGCACATCTTTAGTTATCTTCCATTTCCTTACTTGACTTATTTCACACAAAAAATGTTTCTTGAAAATACTTTTTTATCCCTAGAGATTTTTAAATTATTCCCCACATCTGCTACCCAGCACTTCAACCAATTGGTAAACACTTACCCAACACTTTTAGGGAAAAGTGCTTGCTGACATCTCCTGCTTTATTAGATGCTACACAAGTGTATTTGCCTACGTCACCAATTTCTGCTTTTACAAAATGAAGAACCATTCCTTGGTCACTTAAAGTCTGGTGAGCTCCAAGGCTTAATGGGTGTCCACTTTTAAACCAAGACATAGCAGGGACAGGAGTGCCATCAGTAAAACACTTCAGTGAAGCTGAACTGCCTCTTGTTACAGTCACTTCCTCTGTTCCTCTTGCATTATCCAGACTTGGTGGTACTGCAGAGAAACAAAGATCTGATTTACACAGAGTACACGCAGAACAGTACACACACAGAAGTTAGTTCTGAATATAAAATAACCAGTATGCAGCTACCCTTCTGCATCTCATCACACCCCATAAGCTTATGTTAAGTAACTAAGTTAAAATTCACTTCAAGATTATACATAATCAGTCATTCAAAAAAACCCACCAAAAACATATAATGGATGGCAATTCAAATAAGGACTCTTCCAGGGTTAAAACAATTTCAATTAAAAACATACATATACATTAAAAAGTAAATGTTTTTCTATTTGAGTCTGATACACTTTCGTGGATGTCTACAACTTTGTGTTAGTGTGAAAGAAAACTGAAGACTAAGTTTAAGAAATGAATTGAAGAATAGATCTTTACATTGAGCATTTCAGAGAAACTCACCAAAAATTTGAAGGTTATAATGCTTGTTGTCTACTCCAGCTCTGCTAGATGCTACACAAGTGTACACACCAGCATCAGATATTTGCACTCTGACAAGTCTAAGGAGAAAATCAATTTAATTCAGCTGTAAATAGAATACACTATTACACTGTTATTACAGCATGGTTTGAATCAAATTTCACTCTTGCTTCCAACAGTGCCAGCAGGGCTGTGCTGATACAGCAAAAGACCCAGGAAGCTTAGTTAAAATAAATGAAAACCAACCTGAGAATTTGCCCAGCGGACAGTAACCTGATCCGGGAGGAGACAGACAGAGGAAGGCCATTCTTCAGCCAGTTTATCTGTGGAGATGGCATTCCAGTAGCAGTACATCCAATATTTATGGAGGTGTCCAAAAGAGCAGTGAGTTCTTCTGGTTCACTTTTACTGTTGGTTATTGTTGGAGGAACTACAGTTTGTAAATGTTGAAAAGGAGGGTGTTAAGACCGGCTTTTAAACTCATTCCACATACGTATTCTTGCCATACTTGAAAGCCTAGGAAATGCTGCACTTAATATCCCATAGGCATTCCAATCAGAAGAGGCTGTCTTATCTTTTTATACAATAAAACCTCTAACAATAATAATAAGCACTAATAAATAGTAATTTACATAATTAAAACCAGATGCATAATAGAATGATAATAGCACTCCCTCTTATTTATTTGTTCAGGCTATGGCAAAGGAGATCTTTGGTTTCAGAACCCAAAGCTCAAGAGGAAAGAAAGAAATGTTAGGAGGTAGCAAGTGGTCAAGCATTAGAGAGAATCCCCATCTCTTAAGAGCCAGATGCAAGTTTACAGTTTGCTGCTTAAGATATTTACTTCAATAAACCTTTAATACAGTGAAAGACAGAATTGTGTAGGAAGAAAGATAATTTATTAACTTAAGGGTATATAGGATGATAGTTTTCAAATACAGAAAGCTTTAAAGTGACTGGCTAAATAGTCTAGAAGATAATTCTAACATAATACCAGTTTTGGCTGTTTCTTTGCTTGGTTTTGTAGTGTGAAAGCCTTTTGGTCTTGGGAGCAAGAAGGGACTCACTATACAAAGGCTTAGGCATATGAAGCTCCATGTTCTGGCTATCTTAGGTCCCACCATACACCATAACAGTTATAAAGACAGAAGACAACTTAAGCTAATTATTGCTTGAGCCTCAGCCAATGTCCACACAACCCAAGGGTAAAGAATAACTGTGTTGTTGTCTGTATATCTTTTTGTGGATGAAGAATTTAATCCCAAACTACATCATATTTCTTTAAAACTCTAAATAAGCAATTTCTCAGGATAGAGGAGAGCTTAAGCAATTCATTTCCTGCCATATTACTCATGTTTTACTAATGTACTTTGACAAGAATTATATATAATATATATAATGTAGTATAATATATAATACTGCAGATTAACTAAAAAACAAAAAAGCAGTATGAGGATAAATCAGTCCCGAGTGTGTCTCTACAAGAAAAAAATCACTGTAAGCAGAATTCCTCTATTATGAAATACACCAAAGGAACCAATTTCTGTTAGTCTCAAAACACATTTAACAGTAATATCAATCATTTCATCATTTACAGAATATCCTGCGTAATATACTGTGCTATCTACAGTACATGAAATTGGAAGCATACGCCTGTAGTATTACAGTGAAGATAGGCATTCATTTCTTGGCCATTTCTTGTGAGTGCTTACAAAGATTATGTACCAAATTTCAGTTTCGTATCTGTGAAAACTCACCGTATACACTCAAGCTGAAAATTTGGTCCTCTTCTCCTGCCGGATTAGTAGCCACACAAGTGTATTTTCCTCTATCAGAAGTGAGAGCTTTGAAGATTTTTAATGCGCTGCCATCTGGAGCTACTCTGCAAGGAAGGTAATACAACACCATGAGTTTGTTTATGTATTACTGTGACTTGGCAAATAAGCAGTCAAGTTCATACATTTAAGTCAAATCCCTTGATCTTGTGAATTTCACTAGAAAACCACTATTTTCTGCAAATTATTATTATTAGAGATAGGTAAGAAGTTTATCTTAGATACATCCTATTCAACCATCCAAAATATAATTCCAAATGGGCTTTTGAAGAACCTGTAATGAAAAACATCAAGGTCTTTCCCCTCTAAAGGAACTTAATGAAACTTACAGATCTTTACAAAAATTTATTAATCTGATGAACTTGTGGGAACTTAGTAACTGAAAAAGATATAGCTATCGTATATTTCTTAGTACCAAAAGAATTTTAAAAAGTAGTAACAAAGTATACTAGAATGACAAACTAAACAGGGAGATAATGTTCTTAATATGGCTAACTCGTGACTTAAGCTCTCTTCACACTTTCTTTTTAGAATGTAAAATGAGTAACATATTAGTAAAAAAACCTGAAACTCTTTCACACTTCCTTTACAGTCTTCAAGTTTTAAATTATACAAAAAGAGAATTCAGTGCCTACTGGTTTTTTTACTTGCCTTATTCTTTGTAGGTTGTCACTAGCAACTGTTTTTCCATCTTTAAGCCATTGTACAACAGGTGCTGGCACTCCCGTGGCATTGCATACCAGCTGGATGCCTTCTCCCAAGAGGACACCGACCTCACGAGACATTTCAGAGCCGACAATACTAGGAGGAACTAGGAATGGAAGAGAAGGGTCATCAGCAAGAGACATAATCTAAGCCACAAAAAGTTGCGCTGCAGTAGCTTGGGAGTACTAGAATTTATTGTTTTTCTAACACAAACTATAATATTTTCTAGAGAAGGTTTTGCAAAAATAAATTTAAAGCCACTTTCATAATTCCTGAAAGTCACTGATTTACAATATTAAAAAAAAAAAGTATAATTGTCATTATATTTAATATCTAGCTACCTGCTCAATGATGGCTAACGTGCAATAATGTAAGGACAAAATTCCAGTTCACTACATATCACAATGCCTCTAGCAATTAAATGCCTATTTAACACTTGAGCATATGCTTAGTACACAGTCAAATGCTCTACTGCATGATGAATGCTTCACTGCCCTTAACAGCCACATACTTACTCCATCCTAAACAGCAAAACTAAAAACCATTTTAGTCAGTTCTCCTACAGAACAAGACAGGCAGTCATGTTATCCATCAAGTCAAGACTAGTCCCACTAGTAAGTTTTGAGCATTAAAAGCAACTTAAGTTAAATTTGATCAAACAAGCAACTTAATATTCCTGGAGATAAATGGGCAAGCAAGCCAGGACACACAAAAACCAACATCCCCAGATAATGACTGCATCGCTGATTTACTTCTGTTTGGCCTGCTGATGGTGAGCAGTCATATTTGCACCTGCTGGCAAACTCAGCTCATGGTTCCTGCTCTGCTTCCTCAAACAGCGACTGCTAGCAAGGGAAGGGACCATGGCAGAAAGCTGCAGATGCTGTACAAGAAGTGTCTTACTGAACACTGGGAAGCTAGTCAAATGAGTGGGAAGAAAGCAAAGGTGGTTGCAATGTAAGAGTGAAGTGCAGGGAGTCAAGAAATAGAGAATTTAGGGTTTCTTATTTGATTGGGAAAATAATCATCTAAATGAGAAAATTCTGTCGAGATTTCTTTCCTATCTGCTACCAGTGATGGAGGAAAAGAGGCAACAGGATTACTGCTTCTGAAACCATGTGTTCCACACTTCATCAAACAGCATAGTTTCAGCACTCAGCAGGTGGAAGGATTTGATCAGCAGCCAACACACACAGCCTTCCCAACGGTTTTCAAGTTCTTCTACTATAAGAGGTAAAGAGTATTTTTTTATGCATGTTTCTGATTAACAATATAATCTTCTAACAATTTTTCCCATTGCTTGCAAACAACAGAAATATTGATACAGACTTTCCAATTCTCATTTACAGGGTCACACTCAGAAATTACTTGATAATTCTCATTGCACTCATATGTCTTACCTTGAATGGAAAGCACAAAACTTTTCTGAGCTTTTCCCTCGACATTTGAGGCAATACACGTATAGGTCCCACTGTCTAGAAGCTGAGAGCGAGCAATCTGAAGCTTACTTCCACCAGATAAAATATGAACTTCAAGAGAATTGGAGTTCTCTGAAAATATACAAACAAGTAGTCATTCCAAAGAGGCCACAGAGAGTAAATACTTCTTGAGAATTTTTTTCATCAGAATTTCAAAACAAAGAAAAAAAATCCAATCAGTTAACATAAGAGTCTGTCTCGAGACAGATGAGAAGAAACAAGAAAATAGACTGCAAACAGCACAGCAGTACCCCAAAAGTGAGGAAGGGGGGCAAAAGAGCAGAAAAGAGCACAACAGAATGTTACCTAGTGGTTTTCCATTCTTAAGCCAGACCAGTGTTGGTGGAGGAATTCCAGTAGCATCACACATGAAGGCAACAGGATTACTGACTGTTTCACTGATCAACTCTTCTTCAGGGCCTTCTATATTTGGTGGCACTAGAAGTTGAATGGAAGCAGTAAGAGTAGTTTGCTTAGGAAATATTTTTGTGAACTGATTTTGAATTTTGTACTCTACAATGTCTATGACATTACAATACATAAATGCTGCAGAAAACGTGGAGTGTGCTCACCATAAACGTTAAGATGGAAATTTTTATCATCTCGCCCAGCAATATTTATGGCTTTGCACACATATTGGCCAGTGTCAGAAACCTAGAATAAAAATAATTAAAAATATATATATCTTACTATGTAGATCTTATTTTAATGCTATAATATAGAGATATTAACAGCTTTTGCCAAATCAAAATTCTTTTCAAAGAATGAAAGGCCTCCAACAAATATATCTCCTACAGTCAATTAGTAGGATACACCCATAAAGAACAAAATATTCACCTGACAGTAGTGGCAGAAGCAGCATTCCACAAGCCTACCTACCTCAGCACCCTTGATTTGCAGTGTTTGCCCATCTGCTAAGATCTCCATATTTGCAGACTCTGAAATTATACGCCTGTTCTTGTACCAGGTGATGACTGGTGGTGGGATAGCACTGGCTTCACACTCTAACATCACTGGGGTACCAACTCTCACGTTCAACACTGTCATTGAGGTTCCACTCTGGTCTTTGATGCTTGGGGGAACTGTAGAAGAAGAACAGTTATTTCTGCCTTAGTTCTGTGAAGGCAAAAAAAAATTACCTAAAAAAGCCCCAAATACTGCACTTTATCTTAGGAAAACAGTTAAAACAAAAGAAAAACATACAAACCAAGGACAGTTAGGAAGCTTTTTTTCCGACTTTCTCCAGCTTGGTTTCTTGCAATACAAGTATATTCACCATCATCTGAAAGTTTGGCGTGGGAAATCTGCAGAGTCCGAGCACCTGAAGTAAAAGCAGAAGTTCTGAGATTTATTCTGTGGGTATGGTATCAGTTTCAAATGTTTTCTTAGAATTCTGTCCCCAACAGATTGAGGACAGGTATTACATTCTAACTTTGGATTTAAAAACACACCACATTGCCATTGCTTTTTGGGATTCATAAATCCACTAAAAAAGTCAAAGAATAAAATTTTAGGACAGATTTCACTGATGTTTTTATATCTGATGCTCCTTTTAATGCTCCTTTTATATCTGTTTATTTTGTAGCTGCTAAACCTTCTTTGCTAACTTAACTATGCTCCTTTTCTCTACTTCTGTCACTCCCCCAGCCTTTGTCCCTTAGTCTTTACTGCCTCCACTCACGAAGCTACTGTCTGTGCCTACATTACTAATTTGCACAGTGCCTCTACTGCCATTAAGCAGATTTCACACCTGCACTTCAGACGCTATAATTTATGCTATAATGCAGACCCCCAACCACATAACAGCTGCAGTACAGGACTGAGCACCCCAACAAGTGATATGCATGAGATATCCTGGGCAGAAGATATCCAGCAGGAGCAAAAATGACACAGATACCATGAAATCTCACTGCGTGAGCAGCTTTGAATGGGTAAGGAGGTCTCAGAATGCAAGGATTTCCTCTTGAGAGTTCAGTTAACCCCATTTCCCACAGAAGTCAATGAGAGAGTTGCTAAGTCTTTCTCAGCTAGGCCAGCAGAATTCATCCTAGCCTGCATCACTACTTCTGACTGTTTCTCTGAAAGGTGAGTCAGTGACTCAACTTCAATCAGTATCTCAGAGAACTTGTGTTATATGACTTGCCTGCTAGTCTTTTTCAGTGCTTTCAGTCTGAGCCGCTTTTCTTTAGAAGTGTGCCCATCCAACAGCCAAGGCATCATTAAATGCTTTAAAAACACAGCAGGTCAAGTGTCTTGTCTGCTCACTGGAGCAATATTAAAAATATACTGGCTATATAAATGGCTGTCACCCATATCAACACAAAACAGACTGAAGTTGAGTCTAAAGGCTATAGAAATAGTTGAAATTCCTCACCAGGCACAATAAATGTGTTAGTATTCAAGCTGATAGATTTTCCATTCTTGAGCCAGCTGAGATCAGGAGGCGGAAAGCCAGTGACCTCACAAGTCAGAGAGATGAAATTATTCACCACGACAGTCAAATTCTCAGGATTAGCACCAACAACACTTGGAGGAACTGTGGAGAGAAATGCATTACTGGTATTTATCACTGGATCAGCAAACTATTCTCTAATTCTTCAATTACCAATATAAAGCTGAATTGCTGAGCTTTGACAATGGGCCATATTGCAAAAAATCTTACACAACCCACAAATGGATCCTCTACTTCTTAAATGAATCTGGAAACCATTTCATCTGTAAACCTCTGCTTGGGATTTACAAAGGCTAAGTGACCAGTAAGAGATCGTACAATTTCTCATTGAAGTATTATCAATTTTGAAAGTCTTCTCTCACAGTACATTTGCTTCATAGGGCAGGACAGATTAAATTTTATCTTGCCAAGATATACAGAAGGACTAACTACCATTTCTTGTTGAGACTATTCTTTCTGAAATACTCTAATTTCACATTATAATAGAGATCCAAAAATGCTTCCTTCTGATATAGTCCAGAGTTCTTTTGTTAACAAGAAAAACCTGTTGTGCAATAGTGAGCTAAACAGTTTAAAATTCTTGCACATACACATTGTTCAATTGGGTGCATTTTTAAGCTTCCAAGTCCCAATACTTTTAAAGACAAGAATACTTTGACATCTGACCTTTCTACAAGAACTATTTAAAAGTAAATAATTGTCAATCTCATCCTTTTAATAAGTCCCAGGTTTTAGTTTCCATGTTTTTGCAGTATGCATAATATAAAACACTTAAGAGCAAAGCAAAAGCATGTTCTGGGCTCTATTGGGTGGAAAAATCATTCCAAAGAACAGATGGAATCCTCTTCTTCAAAGACAGATATTTTAATGCATTTTGGACCATATTCACCAGAGATATTCCAGATGCTCTCTGGCACTGGAATGAAACAAAGCGGTCATTAAGCCAAGTTTGGCTCCTCTGTGACACAACAGAAACAAGAGGAGTCAATGTAAATGGGAGAATTCAGTCCACATTTTTCAGCTTGGACTAACGGAGGGCTATTTCTCTGATCATCAGTATGAAATGTTTCACTGGAATAAATACTGAATTCTGATCTGATGACATTTGATAGATATTTGTATTTATTTACTTGTAAAGATACTTTCCCACAGATGTGATTATTGGCAGTGTGATTATATATACATATACACAGGGCCAAATGCAAACTAACTTTTAATTAACTTTGCTTAAACTATGGAAGTGGTACTTTTCAAATCCTGCAAGCTTCTGCCACATGTGCAGAGCACTCACAAAAGTGTCCCAGGTAGTCAGCATACATAGACCTATTTGTATGTGCACAAACAATAGACTCAGTTCACAGGAAAAGCTATCTATTATCCTGTATTAGAGACAGATTTTACAACCAGATGCTTATTTTCAGTGTTTTGGAAGGCTTTATTTTAGTTTTATTTATTTAGTCTTTAAGAAAATAAACAAATTTATCAACTTATTAAGGAACATTCTTAATACTTCATTTAATCTTATAAAAGTAGTTATACTTGAAATATACAGAAGTGCTTCACCTTGGGTGGTCCTTTCCTGACAGTATTAATCTGATTTTTCAACTGAAACTCCATTCAAAGATTAATAGTCCTAAGTAAGTAATATTGCTGAGCTGAAATCTGAAGCATCATACAAATATTTATTTTAAAATAACACCATTAGGCTATCACAATTACAAACAAATAAAAACAAGTTTGATTTCAAATACGAATGCCAAGAAAATATTTTAATTTAAAAGCAAAGGTCAAACATCAGGAAATTCAGGAAACTAATGAAAGCAAAGAACCTCTCAGAAATGACTTAAGGGCAAATCCTTTCCATGACACTATTTTTTGGCTAAACGTATCACTGTGTAGAGAAAAGCATTGTACATTTGTTTCATTGCCTTCTTATGAAATATTTATTTCTTCTGTATATGATAACCTAAATAATCAAATTCCTTGGACTTTGCGACTACATTCAAATGTGAGAAAGAAGACAGCACTTATCTTCTGTCTAGTATGTAATCAGGAGATGAATTAGCTAGCAAGGATGTGAAAAATTATCCAAGGATAACATGTAGAAGACTCTAGGGGACAGACTAGACAATCTTCAACCCAGATCATTCCATGACTTAATGTCTATGAAAACAGATAAAAACTTAGCTGCCATTTTTCCTTGGTAGGTTTTAAAATGTAACTGTGCTGATGATTCTGTGGGAGTAGTGCTTATGTGATTTTCAGTTCAGAATGGAAAGTTAAAAGTGGTGTGAAGAATTAGGATGAACCTTGATAGTCTTTTTTTACAAATATGGAAAATGTTTAAATTTCTTGACTGTATTTGTTTTAGACTTGCGGCACCAATGCTAAAATTTATCTTAACCATGCCTAAGAGCAACATCATCAACAACAAAAGAACAGATGGGAACTTTAGAAAGGGAAACAAAATGCAAGTTTTTACAATGGCCATATCTTTGTGTAATATTTCTAACTGTAATTTTCTCTCTCCTTTTTTTTTTTTTCCATAAAGAAATCAAAACAGGCTGTAATCCAACCTGGTTATCATTCATGATTACAATGCTTAGCAACCTACATAGGGTACACGCACTACAATATCCACCTATATGCAGTACACATAAAGAGCTGAAGATGCCATGGTACATCAAACTTGTATTTGATTTCTAGTACAGGAGAATTTCCCGTATGCTCAATAAGTTGACTTGTACTCTGCTAAAATTCACACATTAAAACTGAAATAACATTTTAAAAAACAAAAAAAACCACAAAAAAACAAAAAAACTCAATCAGCAAGTTACAGGCTATTATACTTACCATGAACATTCAGGTTAAAATACTTCTTGGCCCTTCCAGCTATGTTTTCCACAACACAGACATACCTGCCAGTATCTGTTATTTGGGAATTCAAAATCTAAGAAAAAGAAACAAGACTACTCTTGAGAAAATATGTATAAGACAACTTGTTGTGAACACATAAAATTGTAGGAACTCTCCAGAGACCCCCTTGAGGCATTTGGGGCTTACAAGGTTTACTTCATCTGTTTTTTTTTAATTTTAAGTTTTTTGTTTGTTTTGTTTCGTTCTCCTAAGACCCTTGCAGTATTTAGAAGTCTATCTGAGAACTGATGCAACTTCCACTGATATTACTGCTTTCAGGATCTCTTCTCTAAGTCTGTGCATCTCAAACCTCCAAAAAAGACCATGTTCTATCTTTCACATTAAGTACACTGAAAATTAATAACAAAACTACTATTCATGAGATATTTGAAATAAAAATATATATTCTATATTGTTTTTATTTTTTCTTGTATATTATAGCCCTATGTCATGCTATGAAAACAGAGAGAATTTTGTTCTTTTTTTTTGTCCTTATTGGTGATTTTCATTTGTAATGCTAAACATCACTTGAAGATTCACTTAGAGATACCTGCAATCTTCTTCCATTGGACAAAAAGCTATGTTTGTCATCTTGTGCTAGGAGATGGCCATCCTTCTGCCAGGTGATGCTTGGAGATGGAGTGCCACTCGTGACACAGTCCATCACCGCGACCTTGTTCCCAAACACATTCACTTCTTCAGGCAGATCACCATCTGCTCCACTGATGGATGGTGGCACTACAAAAGAGCAACACACTGTAAGAATGCTGTGACTCAGCATATCCCTGTGGAATTCTTTCTAAGATATCAGAGCCTGTGTTTGCAGAAGGAAATAGTAAAACTCTCAGTGAATATACTGAAAGATATTAAAATCCCAAGAACAATTCAACTAGAATGAGCCAAGGGACCGCAGGAGAAGTATGTTTATTCACAGCAGTCATAAAGAAGAGGGGAAAACTTATCTTCCAGCCGGTCAGTCAAGTTTTTTGAGCCCAGAATAAAGGAGTATTTACAAGGAGAATCCTCCTAACAGTAACTCAGTGCTCTCAGTGACTACTATAGAAAAAAAAGGTACAGAAACAAGCATTTCTTAAGGCAAAAACCTCAATTATATCAACAGACAGTGCAAGCAACTTAAAAAAGCTTTCTGTGCAATATTTCTAAATAGAGCAAAATAGATCATACAGAGAAGACTTCGCGGACATTCAGTTTATCAGAATCATCAACTCCCTTCTGACTGAGTTCTGACTGAGAGTTTTGCAGATATTTTAGAAAATCATGATGAAAATCAGGGAAAAGTCTAGTATAAGTCAGATTTTTTAACTTGAAACTGGGTAGGGAACAAAAGAATTCAAGATAAAAACAGGGCTTTGATATACACTTCTCTTTACAGTCAAGTGTGATAGTACTATTGCAATTCAGTTCTTACCACAATAACCCAGAAACATACAAAAATAGCAACATTACCACCACTTTCATGTCACTCTATTTCTACAAAATTAATATCTTACATAAATACATCAGAATAAGAAAAGCAGGAAAGCTCACAGAGCACGCGGACATCGTAATGGAAGGAATCCTCTCCAGCTTCATTTACTGCCACACACATGTATCTCCCAGCATCTTCAGCCTGTGCCCGTGGAATCTGTAACACGCGACCTCCTGGAAGGACAATGCATTCAAGATTTACATTTAAAATCATGCAGTTTCCATCATTTCTATAAGATGTTACACTAGCAACCTGAGCAAGCAAATTTATGAATGGTCAGCATTTGTCGTGAAATAGAAGTAGTTAAGGACTTTTATTTCCCAGCTACTTTCTCTATTGGCAGATACTTGGAATTCAGGAATGTTCATACTGAAATGTTAGAAAAGGGTAATTGATTCCACGGGAAAAGAATGATGTTCCTCAGTAATAAGCAGTCAGACATTGTCCCCACCACAGCACTTCTTTACACACTCCATCCAAAACCATCCTTTGCATAGAAAGGCCTCCCTTTTTGTGCTCTCAGGCATTGTAAGTAACTCTCTTTTCCACCTGAGGTTAAGTAAGAATTCAAGGTCTTTCTGCTATTGTAATATTTTTATGCCTCTGTCCCTAGTTGAGAGGCTTTTCTACTTAAACTGTAATTAAAGAAATCAGGAACACATCAGAGAGAAAATACCTTTCTATTTAGTTTCAACACAATGCTCATATTCACACTATTTTAGGGACTATGATTTAAATGCATAAAGAAAACAGTTTGCTTAAGTCTGAGCACTGAAAAGAAGATCCTCCAATCAAAAAAGTCTAAAAGAACATTAACACAATGTGATGAATGGAAAAAGTTATTACCTTAACACAATGTGATGAATGGAAAAAGTTATTACCATGTAATTGCTAGTACTAACACCATTTCTTGAGGTCTTGGTGTGACATACTTAAATACTCACCTGGCAATATCAGTATTTTATCGCTAGAGCTCAGAGGATAGCCATCTTTATACCATGTAAGAACTGGAGGAGGAACAGCATCAGTCTCACAGTACAGTGAAAGGGGATTGTTGACAATCACATCTTTATTTTCTCCACCTCTTCCTGTATCTAACACATTACCAGCTTCCCATCCTCTGTAAGGCTTTTGGAAACTAGGAGGAACTTTGATCAAGGATGGAAAAAGTCAGAATTTTACAGCAGAAATTACTAGTTAGGAATTCAAGAGATGAAAAACAGTCAGTTGTTAAATAGCAGTAATAAAAATTAATTGTATTAGATTAACCTCCCCCATCTGGATATCCCAAGAAATTTATAGCTCTTTTCATCAGAATGAAAAATTGAGCAATCCACTGAAATTTTTCTGAAGGCTAATAAATAACAATGTAAAAGGATCTGATAACAATAAACAGAGGGTATTAATCAACATTAGTGAACTATTATTTAGTAAACTATTTGGTTTCAACTTAGTTCTAATTTTGAGAAAGGACTAATGATTGTCTTCTTGTATTTACATGCTGTGTAAGTACATGGGATGCTTATGTCTTGGACCTGTAAGTACTCAATACAGGTAATAAAATATGACATCTTATTGTAAGCTAGTCTTTTTTATGTAATTGAGAGGAAGATCAGTTACGATGTCATTCCACTAATTTCGGAGGAACTGTATATGTCACAACTCCTGAAAGCATCAAATCTCACATTTCTTATAGCTGAACAAAATGTATGTGTAAAAAAATCACACAGAACACAAGGATTGAATCAGACAAGGAAGGTCTAAACACAAAATTATTAAATAATTTCAGTATCCTAGGACAGTAAAAAAAAAAATTCTCAGACTACCAAAAAAAAAAAAAAAAAGGCATTTTATTAGCTAAACTCTGTTTACCTTGTATATGTATATCAAATTCTACTTCATCCTCTCCAACAATATTGGATGCCAGGCAAATGTACCGTCCTGTATCTGAAACCTGAGTCTCTGTAATCTGCAGAGTACGGCCATTGGCTCGGATAATGACACGACCATCTGGTTTAAGAGGCTGTAATGTAATTTTACACATAAATTATTAACGTGCAAATTATAAATTAGAAGTAGTCATACTTGTGGGAATAGTATGACATTACCTCTCTTGGTCAAATTCAGATTGTTTCAAAATCCTTCCTAAGGCATTATGCTGGCAGTAAGAACATCATTTTTGTTATTCCCTCTGCTTTGGCAACACCAAAATCAGAACATCTTTCAATTCCTTAATGCTGCCAGCAAGGTCCACTTTCAATAAGTACAAAGGAAGAAGCTCCTTAGGACATCACTTAGGGCATGGTCTCAAGCCAGATGTTCTTGGGATGACATCCTTGGCCACAGATAGTGCAGGGCAAGGAATGCTTTCCTCTGCCTGACAGCAGCAAACCCAGTTTTTCTCTCATCTGTCCCTCCTACATCATGACAGAAAACAGGTTTCTGCAAGCTGTACAGCCTGACCTAGCTTGTCCTACAATGATGTGACTACAAAGGCCTGCTGCCTAGGGAGGACATGGCACGAACATAAAACTCAAAGATATGCACAGGATTAGTGGTCCTGTCCCTACAAGTTCCATCCCACATGACAGCAGGGATGACAGCACACAGTCTGTATCTCTCAGCAATGAAAACGGAATGTGCTAGGGAGTCAGCTCACAATACGTTGCCTGCCAAGGACAATTCAGACCACGGATGTGAATGAAAGCCCTTTCCCAGGGTGGCCGTAGGAAGAAGCTGCTGGAGGATCCATTGCTTTGGCGGCAGCAGCAAGCTGCTTAAGGCCTCTGTCCTTTTTGAGGCCGGCACAGTTATCATTGGCAACAGAAATAGCACACCCAGAGGAACTGAGAATTCCAGCAGATGATCAGACTAGGCAGAGTACAGAAGAAGCCTCCCCTGTGACACCAGGTTGTTTCTTCTGCACACTCAATAAATTCAGAGAGCTGTTCCCACTGCAGAGATGCATCTGCCTGCCACACAAGGGCCTGCCAAAAGTCAAGGAAGAGCTGCTCTGTTCTCTTTTCTTGGCACTGTTTTTGTGGCACTGTTTTTGTTAATTATAGCCAATTTATAGCACGTCCTAAAACTGCTTGTTCAGGGTGAGATTGATGAGAAGGCTGTGTGTGGCAGGAGCTTAAGGAGCCCTGCCAACACCCAGTGGGAGGCTGTCTGCAAACTTGTGCAAGGGCAGCACTGTGAGGAACCAAATGCAGGGCTGCTCTGCAACAAGGCTTTGGGGAACCCAAGCAAGAGCAAAGCCACATGTGGAAACGCGACGGGGTGCTGCTTTTGGGCAGGGTGCTCTCTCCTCAATACACAGGCGACAGCGGGCCCTAGAAAAGCCAGCTCTGCTGTTTTCATTGCGCTATCAAGCACCCCAAAACAGAAATGACCATTTGGTACTGTTGGCAGAGATCCAGCCAACAGCAAACAAGATGTGAGGTGTGATTCCACCAGCAGGAGCAGAGCAGAGATGAATTCCCGCTGACTACAGTAGTGAAGGTAAGCCTTATTTTAAAGGCTCACTAAAGGTGATAATAAAACTGTGGTTTTTCTGAAGGAAAGCCACCCACTAGAAGTAAATAAGGTTGTGACTTGCCCGTCCATCCTTGTACCAGCTGATGGCAGCAGCAGGAACGGCATGTGCTTCACACTCCAGAGTAAGACTGTGGTTGATTTTGATCTTCATCTCCTTAGGGGAGAGACCCATCCCTGGGACACCCCTTCTGTTAATGGTGGGTGGAACTGCATAGAACAGGGTGGGGAGAGAGACTTTCTTAAGGGACTGTCTTACGCAGCACTTCAAAATTAACTGGGCAAAGGGAAAACCCAGACAATAACTTGAGGAAAGCAAGTGCATTCCCCTTGTAATCTGCCTCTTCCCCACGGTTGAGCAAAGGCAATTCAGCTGCCTTCAACATTTTCCAACATGGAAAGTTACCAGAGCCTTACCTAGCCACAGTACTTTGTTACATGTTTGGCTTGAGTTCTACAAAGCTCAGTGTGCTGCAGGCATTATAAAGCACTTCAGTGGAAACTAATGTTCTCAGAAACATGTGTTTGAACTAAAGTCCAAGCTTAGGTGGTTAAAACTCAACATTTCCATTCCACTGGAACCTCAATGTTGCAAAATCTTGTTTCTTTCTGAATCAGAATGAACAGAGAGCATTTCAAAATTTTTAACCAATCCCATACCCTGGTCTCAGAATATCTTTTAATTTACTATAAATGTTGTCAAAGCATTTTCCATTCTTTTTTCAGTGGGAAATTTTAAATTCTCCCTAACGCAGACAGTACTGTAATAACTGACAGTTGGAATGGCATTGGCAGGGAGCTGGGTAAGGATGTTATATTGCTATATTGTTGGATTTCAATTATGAACTCTTTTCTCATTATTCCAAGTCCAGGGGGGCCTTATTAAGAACTTCATGTAATTAAAATAACAGTAGAGTTGCTGTAAGGGCGCAAATCAAGCTCCAACTCAAACTGTAGAGTTAGCAAATTCAAAGAGAGAGAGAGATGAGAAGCCATGCTTGACTGAGTCTATAATGAAAAGCTTGAGCATTAAAACATAATATTAAGCACAGATGCCCAGATTACAGAGTGCTGTCAGGAAGGCTTGAATGGGAGAGCTTTTGTGCATATACTAAAATCTCCTGCTTTACTTTACTCAAGGAAGTTTTCCATTAGAATCTAGGGGTCCCCTCTCCATCTGTTTTTCTAAAACACTTTCAGCTTTCAGAATCTCTGCTCAGTCTCTGCTCAAATGTGCTGCATTTGTCTTATTAACCATGACCACAATCATAACCAAAAACATTTCAACAGAAACTGAAGTGCATCATTTCTTAAATGTCTTCCCCTGGATGGTACACAGATTTTTGGCCCAAGAACAGCACTTGTAAAGGATACAACAGCTACATTTATTAGTGCCTGTCCTAAAGCAGTATCACGAGCAAATGCAGTTGCTTCCTAAAATAACTAAGATAAATCCTTTTGTACACCAGGACAGGTAACACAGTGAAAAGAATGCAAAAAGCAGTTAACACTGAAAGCATTTCCTTACTGTAGACTTTCACTTCATAGTGTTTCAAAGTTTCTCCAGCCTCGTTTGTGGCTATGCAGGTATATCTCGCAGCACTGTCCTTCTGAGCACTTAGAATCTGCAGGGTTCGACCACCTACCAAAAAAGATCACTCCTTAATGGCACCTAAGTTACATTTGTGCTGGCCTATTATTTAAATGATTTTGCAGCATATTTCCAATCCCCTGGATTAATCCCCTGCAATAAATTATGAGTGCATAATCTCCAGGAGAATTTTGGATCAAAACTCCTGTTGCTCACAGGCTTTTGGAAAAGCTGTTAAAATTGATTTTTCAAAAAAAAAACTTCTTGAAGATGTTTAGACAGAAAGGAGTGACTTAGGATTCTGCACTTCATTCACAGGAAAAGGAAAGCTGGCATTAGCACTGAGACAAAAAAGGGCAGACTGTTCAACAGAAAGTGACTCTGAACTGCATTTCTGTTTGTAGCCACGCATTCTGGTGTAGCATTTCATACAACAGAGATCCATAACTTCCTCCAGAGAATAGACAAAAGCAACAGCCGCAATGCAACAGAGTGTTAAAATGAACAATCAGTCAGATATAAGACTTCAGGTGACTTCTACAACACTGACACCATCATCTGCCTTTCCATAGATTTTGTCTGTTTATGATTTAGATTGCCTGAATTCTCAGTGATGAATCACTATTTAATTTTGCTGCAGCTCTTTTCACACTGCAATCCTAGTAATTGTCGCCCCTTTTCTCACTATCAATACCAGCTCCACTCCTCCCCTGAATGGCTGCAGTTAATAATGCTGAAGTTCTTGTTCATCTACATTACTTCCATATTTCAAGTCAAGATCTTTCCTTTCCTCCACATCCTAGGTGCACGAGGTAACAATTACTCCACAAATTAGAAATGGCAAACTACTAACTACATGGAAAAAAATGCCACTTCATTCTTTTTCACTAGCTTAGTTGTTTTACTCTCACTCCATCTAGTTAATTTCCATTATTTACATTCATTACTAACTGCAATGAACTTATTTGCCATCATTTATCTCCACAGAACAACAGGATGAATACCTGAATTAAAACAAAATACAAGTAATGAGTCAGTTAATTGTGAAGCACTTAAAGAATGGAGTTGGAAGTGTAAAAACACTACAAACATTGCACATTATAGAAATACAGCCTTTGATTTATCAAAAAAGTTATGTGACAGTCAGTAAGCAATAGAATTATGTTATTTATCAACAAAAACAAACAACAATTACCTGGCAAAATGTGGATATTTCTGTTTGATTCTAAAAGATTACCATCTTTCATCCAGGTTATTGTAGCTGGAGGATACGAATAAGCCTCACAAACAAGAGATGTTGGACTGCTGAGGATAACAGTGACCTCTTCTGCACTTCCACGGCTATCTGCACCCACAATGGTAGGAGGCACTAGGAGCAACAAAATCATTAACCAGAGGAAGGATCCTCTCAAAAGCCATTTTTCTGTTCAGTCTAGAGATCTGGTTTCTGCCTCAGGTAGCTGGGAGGCATTTCTAGCAGGTGCGGTGAGACCCACGACCAGGCAACATTCATCCGGTCTCACATTTTGTCCTAAAGTCAATGGTCAGTCCATGTCAGTGAAATTCATACACCCCTAGCTCTTGTCAAACACAAGTCACCAGGAAGCCAGCCACTTCTTGTACAGTAGCTGGCAGTCACTGCCTGATGACCCTCTGAACAGCAGAACTGGGAGGTATGTGCTCAGGAAATGAGGATGAGGAAAACAAACTCGCTATTGTTTGCATTTGGTTATGCAAGAATCATCATGAAAGAAAGCAAACTGCAGATGGTTGGAGTTTTTACAAAAAGAAAACAATTGAGAAGTACTCTTCATATACTCCTTCCTTGAATCACAATAAGCCCACGAACAGTCCTGTTCATTCCACACAGATCACATCCTTTTACAGCTCTGCATGTTCGAGCTCTATACTGGTTAAAGAACAGAATGCTGTTTCTACTGACCTATCACAATTTATCACTTATTCAGACAACTACTTTAATTAAAAGATTAAACAATCCCAAGGTGATTATTTTTTGAATTTTTTTTTTTCCTGAAAATAATATTCTGCAAGATCCTGTCTACCTGTCTTACCAAGTACATTAAGACTGTAACTTCTGCTCTTCTCTCCAGCTGTATTGGATGCAACACAAGTATATCTCCCTGTGTCTGAAACTTGAGCAGTGGTGATTTGCAGTAAACGTCCATTGGACAGAAACTTGTGATCTTTGTCCTCCATTAAAGGCTGCCCATTCTTTATCCAGGTGATCTGTGGTACAGGATTCCCTGAAGTCAAAAAAAATAAAAATAAAAATTGCAAATATTAGCTGCTGCATAGCTCCAAGGATATTCCAAGGTTTCTTAAAAAGAGAAATATACAGCTTTGAATGTGTTTTTAAAATATATTCTTCAGGGAGATGTTCTGGAATACATATTGTACAGTCCTTGAACCTTCTGAAGAAATATATATCTCCTCTTAAATTCTACAGGCCTTTAGAGAAGAAATGTACATCATCTCTTGTTTTCATTTGTTGCAACCTTCACAACAAGATGTACCTATTCCTGCCACACACAGGAAGACTGAACCTGAAATTTAGACATTCCACTCAAGTGAAAATTGTACTCAGAACAGTTTTCACTTGTGAAAACTGAGACCACAGGATGAGTGAAAGTAAGTAATATTGTATACTTTTACCTATCACTTCGCATGTTAATGTAACATTGTTCTTCTCTTTCACTTTCACATCTTCTAGCTTATTTTCATCCACAATCCCTGGAGGCACTGGAATCAGATAAGGAGACAACACCAGCAAGTATTATTTACAAACAATTTAAACACAGCAAAGGTTTATTCATGCTCTATGTGTCAGCATATACTTCTCTTAAGGACATAAACCAACAAATGGCCCATATCTACCAGAAACAAGTCCAAATGTGAGACAGAATAGAGTTGGCCTGCTAGGACAACAACTATACTATATAACAACTATATATATCTCTGTTCTGCACCCCTTAACATACTGGTCCATCAGTAGGACAAGAGAGGACTACAGACCTTGAATGGACTCACTTGACCAACTCCTGCCTTGAGAGCTAGAGAGAGATTCATGGTGCCATTCATGTGTTTCTGAGTATGGTCAGTAGGGCAGTGGTGATAAACATTTGTATGTGAGGCTAGGTTTAATTTTATGCCGGTAAACTGGTAGGTTTTATATGTTTGTAAGCAAATTCTTTCACTCACATTAAGCAGCAAGCAGCAAGTGATTCATTTGCTCAAAACAATGTGCTTAAGTTTAAGAGTTGTTGGTTTCCCAATATTAATTGAAAGCATTCATCTAGAACTCTAGGGAAATAATTGATTAAAAAAAATTTGGACAGAAAAAGCTTGTCTGCTCACACACAACGTATTTTTTACTTACCAGCACACTCAAAGCAATACAACAGATTACCAACAAGTGGATGAATAAAGGCATAAATATGTTTGAATCAAATACAGCTGCCATACAGTCAGCTGAACACACTACATGATTCTAAAGGCATTCTGCTGCAGTATAAATCACGTGTCTCTGAGAAAATAAAAGATAAAACCACATAATGAAAATACTTATCCACATCCCAAACAGCTGTGTAAAAGAAACCTCTTATTGTGTGACTGACCACTTGGTGACATGCTTCCAAAGAATCCTGGTCACTAGGACTATGTGGACTAACGGTTACTGGACGACAGGGGCCAGACTGTCAGTGTGCTGGCAAGGAGTCTCTCAGACGTACAAACCTTCAGACCAACCATTTATTTCAAAGTAGAGGCATTTGTAGATTCAAGACAAAGTAAGATGGCACCAAAAATGAAGTAGACATGAAGTGCTATGCAATGAAAAGGAGGTCTGTAATTCCAAGAAAGCAACCCAATCTCCAAGAGACTTTGGAAATCTTTATAACAAACCTGCTGGACTACACATACAGACAGTACTCCTAAATAACCCTAAAAAAAGCAAACTTTTAGCCTAGATAGAAGGCCGATTAAGAGAGGAAGTAAAATGCATTCAATGCATCATGACCTACCAGTAGCCTGGAAGTAAAGGTTTTGATAAACAAGAATCACTATAATATGCAAATTCATCCTCAGCAGTGAAAACTAAAATGCTACATCGAATCTTCCACTCAAATACAAGCTAGAGTGAAGAAGAAAAAATAAGAGATGTTTAGAATTTCACTTGATGATTGGGATGGCAAAGGTGCTACTTCAGATGGGTTGGTGAGAGCAGCAGTAGCAGAACATTGCATGCAGGAAGATGTGGCCAGTACTGGCACTCTTATCAACTTCTGATGCAGTTCTGACCAAATTCCCTGCTGTGACAATATAAGCAATGCAATACAGACTTGGATAAATATTCTAGTGCTCAAACACAACAAGACAAAGATACACCAATGGGTGGTGGAATTAGACGGGAGAAAAATATAATCTAAGATCATAAAGGTCAGGATATATGTCTGTCGAGAAGTTATTGATCATAAATAAACAGAGCAATTCATCACTTCAGCCCCACAATAATGCAGGAGGTTGTCAGCATATTAATTTCAGATTAAGACAAGGTCACAGCAAATGTTCTGCAAATACAGAAGTACTAGGATAATTAGAGCATGCTTGCCTGAAAACTGTCTTGTCTGTTGCACTTCCTACCCTAATTCAGACAACACTGTGATATCTCTATATGGTTCTTATTTACAAGGAGCTGGTGAATATTCTGTGTCACCATCAGGCCACATTCCTGTAACTTTCCTCTAGAAAGACAAATAAATTTTGGGGGGAGAGAGGGAAGGGAGAGGGGAGGAGATTGAACAATGGAATTTTTCACTTAGCCCACTTGAAATCACATTCACATAGCATTTTTCTTCAAGGCAAACAAGGCCTACACAAAATCCATGCAAGAGAAATTCCTAGAACCCTCATGAACACCCTGCTACTAAAACACTCCAAAGAAAACAGTACAACAACGAATGCTTTTCAGTGTTTATCCATTTCTTCCATGCTACCAGACTTACATTTCCATAAGCTCATCCAATAAAGATGAATTAACATGAATGTAAATTATCATATACAGAAGGCAAGAGATATTGGTAACACTCAGCACCTTTCAGACAAAAAACAACTTTAGGCAAATTATGTATGATAACGCTGCAAGACTCTTTCTATCAGTCCTGGCACTTATTGATAGAAATAATAAATTGCTACTAAACCAAAGAGCAGTCTTTTCTGTGGGGGAAAAAAAAACAAAAAAATAAATAACGTGATGCAATTAGACATTAAAGGTTCTGAACAGCCATCTAAAAAGCCCGCTGAGCTTCCATAACAGGTGAGGATCAGATATCACACTTATCTTATGTGCTTTACAATACCAATCAGAGGTCTGTTTTCCAAGATTCCAGCTCTAGCATTTAATTTCTATGTAAGTCTTGGATTTTCCTTCAAATCTTTGTTGCAACAGATTACTGCCATCACACAACTCAGCTGCACACTTCATACCCAGTGCTGCGTAATAGCGCTGGTCTTAATTCATGAGTATTATCACATGTGGTTGCATCCTTCTGCTTTCAAGCATGAGGTACAGGAAATTCACAGATTTAGTTCAATGTGGCTATCTTGGGCTTTTGACTTTAAACCTGTTTAAGGTTTAGATTGGATGTAAGGGGAAAGTTCTTTACTATGAGAGTGGTGAGGTGCTGGAACAGCTGCCCAGGGAGGCTGTGGATGCCATCCCAGGAGGTGTTCAAAGTCAGGTTGGATGGGGTCCTGGGCAAACTAATCTAGTACTAAATCTGGAGGTTGATTACCCTGCCTGTGGGGAGGTTGGAGCTTGATGATCCTTGGGGTCCCTCCCAGCCTAAGCCATTCTGTGTCTCTATGATTCATGTCATGTCCTTTCAGTAGAGGGGCGAACCAGCAGGGAACTGACCTGGCTGAGAACAAACCTGGCCAGGAAGAAAAACAGAAAACTCACTTTTCCTATAATGCAATTCACTTTGTTTATTCCATCCAAGGGATAGTGAAGCTACGAGCAACAAGAACTTGAAGAGAAGGTGGGAGTCTGGCTGCCAGTGTCCCCCAAACTTTGATGAGACTGAAATAGCAACCTAACTGAAGCCAGAGATACATTAACGTAGCACCTGAAGAAGCAACAAACCACCAAAACATACACAGTTCCCAGTCATTCTTAGATATGTCTGAAGAATCCTAAATTGTAAGAACTTCTTAAAATTTTTAAAAATACAGCAAATCCACACATGGAAGCATCTTAACTTTATAACCACATTTTCTAATCATGTTATTAGATGCACTTCTTTCCCCCTAAGGGTATATGTTTTGGCATACACATTTTTAAAACACCAGCAAAGTATACAGGACATTTCTTTACTTTTTCTTCTTCTACTGTAGCAAAACTATCACATTCTTACCTAGAACAGAAAGGTAAAAATCCTTCCTCACTTCTCCTGCAGTGTTGGTCACCACACACGTATAGTGCCCTCCATCTGATACAGTCGTATGTACGAAACGAAGTGTTCTACCCCCTGAGGCCAAAAATGCACAATTATTAGAGCCCTGAAATACACTTCCCAATATATTCTCCAACTGCATGTACTAGTTCTAATTCTGTATGTTTCGTTAAAATTTACAGGCATATTCTCTTCTTCGTGAATGTGCTTAGTCTTGTTGAACAAACAGTAAAAGAAACTGACAGACCTTACTCCTGCTCCTTTCATTTTTGTCTCTCTGCTTCAATCCTCAATACTTAAGATTTGTATTTAACATTCATAACACTATTTTTTCTATTCAGTAACTTCCAAATTACCTTGACGTATCCCTTCCTTTTTTTCCTTTTTTTTTTTAATGTGCAAGTGAACTTTGATGCATTCACACATCTGTCAAGAATTTATGCAAGAAGAAGTCAACAGACCAACTTGAAATTGCTGAAAACCTTGAGATCCATTTACAGAGAGCATGCAGAGAAAATCCAACCTGCTATAGACAGGTCCCTCAAACTGCACATAAATTTGTCAGGGGTATACATAAAACTCTTCAGATTGGTGCACACGCTTTGGATACAGAAGGGAGGATTTGTGCTCATACTTCTATATAGAAAGCTGTCACAAAATCCAGTGTCTAAGTAAGCAGGACTTTCACTTATGTGAATATTTTACTGTACTGAGAATCCAGGTGACTACAGAGAAAAAATAATTAAGAGGGTAAGCACAAAAATAAAGCTATTTTATAAACAAATGCATATAATTTTTAAGTATGCTTGATCAGAGGACCAAAAACATTTGAGTCTTTGATTCTTTTTTGGCAGAGGAACAGCAAAACAAGCATCAATGAGCATTTAAGTGTAAAAGCAAATGTGGCCAACCTTCAGCTTTTTCCAGTCTCTCATCAGCTGTTCTCATATTAGCAATCATTACCACACAGGACATCACATCTGAACTGTGCATCTCCCATCTGCAGACTTTTACAGGATCTCATAATCAGGATGTATCCCAGAAATTTACATTCCTGGCCTTGTGCTTTGAAGGAAAAAACTGCTTAACCTGGTTGGTGGATGTGCCTCCACTCAAGAAATCACACCTGCTGGAGGGAGTACTGTGCAACCGAGGAATGATTTCTCTTGCACTCTCATTTCACACTGATCCCTTTTCCCATGCACACCCTAACCAAAGCTATGTAAGATGCAAAACAAAAAAGAAAAAAGCTACCTGCTTTTTCATACACTTGCACACCCAGAGCTCCAGTGCCGAGGCAGGATACGATTCTCCACATTTGGCTACAATTTAATAAAAGTGTCTCTCCTTCCTAAAGCTAGCTCTGCAAGAATTGCAGATGTGGTGGCATAGTTAAACTTTTTCTTTTTTTTCCAAAAGGGACTACATGAAGCATCTTCAAAAGCAAACACCAGCATAGTATCTCAGTTATCAGACTAACAGTTGACAGCAGTGTGTCCGCACATTCAAATCATCTGCAACGCCAAGTATTTTTTCAATCAACAGAAATGAAATCTTACTTTGGCAGAGTAATGCTTTACCTCTCAGCATTAGTCAAAGAGGGTTTTTTGTTTTTCTTTACAGGCACAAACAAAGTCTCAAATGCCATGTTGGTCCCAGATGACTACCACAAGGTGTAGTTTTCTGAAGAACTATACAAAAGCACAAAGTTTGAAGGAAAACAAAGCACCAAGTTCTGGTCTGTTTCCCGGTGTAGCTAACATTCAGAGGCAATAACATTTTTTTGTGTCTCATTCTTCCTGACTCTGGAGTGGTGGTTGATACTAGTGTGGATGTAGAAAACAACAGGCAGAACAGGGACATTGAAGCCCAGAAGACATGATTTTTGTTGATGGCAACTGTGCACCAAAAGGAATGAGTACCAACTCAAATGGCCAGGATTGTACAAACATCATCCACCCCTTTCTCCACAATTAAAAAAGTAGGAAATAGGACTACTTGCCATGTCAAAAGCTACAGTGATGGAAAAAATGCTGGCAAATTCCAGCTTGAAATTCAATCTTAGTTGAGCTTCAATGTACCTTTTAGTTTCTTTATCTTTCTGACAGTTTTCTCATATTCTATATAGGATAGTTTGGTAGCTACAGTGGAGTATTGGAATATGAGATTTCTAGCTGTGAGTGGTACATCCAAAATCAAAGAATCATTTCAGTTGTCCATACATCTCAGTTGTAGACAAATACTTAATTACTTCTATACAGTCCATAAGGCTGAGCCCCAGACACAAGATGTCAGTGTAAAATGTATTGCCTGCTTGGTACACATCTTCCATTTTGTAATCTCAAGTGCTGCTAACTCCATTTCCTACTGTAAAGATAAAGCTCTAACAAAACTGCAGCTGCCAGTCAAGTACTCTCATTTCCTTACAGTACTGCCAGAAATGATGGCTAACAGGAACAGGTACTGAGCCCTTCCTGTTTCAGATATTTCTTGTCAAATGCTACTTGTCATAAAAGACATCCATACTAGTTCTTAGTAGGTGAAGCTGGCTTAAAAAACTAGGTCCCTGTGAATCGTATCTGTTTTCCCCATCGCGAATGAAAAGACGTCATTATCTGATGCATTCCTGGATATACATAATGGACTGACATACAGTAACAGCCAGAAATATGGCTTAATTCCATGCCACAGACTGAACAGTTACCACACTTCCAACTCACACATGTAGCATTTGGTAACAACTTTCCCAGTGTACATGAGCTATTTACCAGGTGCTGCAACCAATTTGGGTTACTAAGTCAAACTTTTTGTGTGTGTGCAATGCTCGCACTGTGGAAGGGCCTTCGCTGCACTCCCTTTTTAAAAAAATAGCTACAGCTTTAAATGTGTGCTGTACCTGAGAGGATTCGCACCGAGGTGTTTGAAGTGACAGGCCATCCATTCTTGAGCCACATTATTGATGGCAAGGGAATTCCTGAGGCTTCACAAACTAGAGAGATGGGATTCTTCTCCACAGTACTGATGTTCTCGGGCAATTGAAGGTCACCAGCAATACTTGGGGGAACTACGGAAAAAGAAGAAAGAAAAGTCACACTGCAAAACAAATGAAAGTTAATTTTCAATTATACAAATTTCAATTTCAAGCTCTCAAAATATTTTGTCAACCAGGTAAAGATAAGCTTGGCAAGTGAGGAGCTACAAAACTGTCCTGAAAAAACCTGAAAAAAAAATCTTAAATTGATAAATATTTTTTTCTGTGCAACAATGTGGAAAAAAAAATTAATTCTATGAGTACTACTACATTCATTTATGGCTTAAAATTCCTAGCAAATACCAGTTTGTAGTAGTTCTATCCATTACACATTAAGTACAATTTCCAGTATTGAATGAAACACTAGGGAAAATGTTAAGAATGACAGAATTCTTTTGCTAATGGAAAGAACAGTTCCTCTACTAAAATAACTACCTCGAATCTATTTTTAGATTTTCTTTACTAGGAGTAAAAGTAATTTCAATTCTGTAGATCATTCTTTAAAACAACAAAAAAAAACCCCTAGGCTTAAGAATTGAACATCTTCCAGACTAAGCAGCCTGAGATCTAAAGTTTCTTTTTACTATCCAGAACTTTGTCAATACAGTACAGCAAACAAAGTAAAATTATTTGGTAATTCATTTTGGCTTCTCATTGTCAATAATGACAATTCATATATTTACTTTAATCCTACACTGTGTTTTTTTCTCTCCCAAACCATTCCTGATTGTTGTACAAGATTTCCCACTTCAGTGCAAGATGTAAGGCATAAAAGACATACTTTACAGAGATAACTGGAAGTCTCTGTGAGACAGTGGGATTTGCAGAAAAAATCGCAGCTAAATTCCTGTAAATTGCTGTCCTAGTTTAGTGGCACAGTAACTCCTGAATGCCTCTTTCTCTCTGGGCTTTACCCTTTGAATATTTACAAATATTCACTGTTCAATGAAGCACTAAAAATCATATTCAAATGAAGTGCCATTCTGACTTAGAATGGCTCTAATGTAGCGTGATGTTCTAATCAATCCCATTAAGTCAAATTACCAAAACAAATTATAGTTGGAGTTACCATCTTAAATTCTTCTGATAGCACAAAATAAGAAAATCTGATGATTAGAAACTTGAGATATGGGCTATGCTCACGTAACTGTCCTCTGGCAAGGGTCATGGGTGTGGTGTTCTTGGTTAAACCTTAAACTCTGCCTCCTACAACAGAATCCCAAAGAACACTTCCTTATCACGGAACTGGACCTAACGTCACACAAAACTGTACTACATACTGATTTTCTGTTCTTGGGAGAGAGCAGCTGGGGGGATGGATTGGTATTAACAGACACAGATAAAATTTAAAAATGTTCAGGAACAACAAAATTGGATATGAACTTTTGTGATACATCTGCAGATGAAAAGGTGCTATGTATAAAGCTTGCAGTAAATTTGGTCACCATGTCTAGATACACAAGTATTTATTGGATATCCTTGAATGAACTTTGTTTCTCGGCCTGCTTTGTTTCTGTTATACATGCCCCATTTTTTGCACACTCACCATGAACATTTAAATCATATTTTCTGTCAGACAGCCCTGCCACATTGGCAGCAACACAGACATAGCGACCCGTGTCCAACACCTGGATATTTCTCAGTTGAAGAAAGTGCCCATCATGAAGTATTGCTACGTCCTTTCCACTGACCAGCGGACTGCCATCCTTCATCCATGTTACTGCTGGCTCTGGAATACCCTGAGCCTTGCACTCTAGGGAAACTTCACTTCCCTGGGTGACAACAACTTCTGATGGGTGGCTACTACTGTCCAGTATTGTTGGGCGAACTACAAAAGGAAAAGAAACACACTTCAGGATCTTCACCTGCTTCCCAACAGAAAAATAATCAAGCCTGCTAGATCAGTGTTTTACTTGAGACAGTTATTGTGGGTCACTGCTGGCAACTCCATTAAGAACACTCTGCAAATACTTAACAATTTCCCCAGGGCCGAGAAAACAGAGCCAACCTTCCCTTTCCCCAGCCACAAAGAAAAAATGTTTTTAAAAATGTAACTTACAGGCAATTTTAAAAATACAATCAAATGTATTTTGATCAAATGTTCAAAATTCTGTCAACTCGTACAGATTTTTGAAGATTTTCTTTTTCATGGGATTTGAAAGGTTTAAAAATAGTTCCTTTAATCCTGAACAAAATACTGAATTAGCAGTAAAACTGGAAAATTTCAACTTATTCAAACTAATTGTCATCACTACTACAGCTCAGTGACAGGAAACGCTGCATTACCCAATGTGCTGTATCCTGTAGTTAACCCGTGGCCAGATGCCCTTTCAAGACATACAGGCAGTTTCTTGGTAAGTCCGAACTGACAAAATTACAATCACAAATCTCCTCCAAGTACCCTGGAATCATCCTGGATTAGACATTCTGCATCTTAACCCCACTATGCAGACAACGCTTACATAACACGCTCATTCAGAACACAATACTTCATGGTAACTTACTGTACACTTGCAAGCTGTATTCTTTCTTTGCACTTCCTGCTACATTTGAAGCAATACAAATATAAGACGCGGCATCAGACATTTCAGCAATTGAAATCTGCAGCTGCCTGCCTCCAGATAATATCCGTACCCTTCCTGACCGGTCGACTACAAGTGGTGAGCCTGAAAGAGACATTCTTTCAGATAAAAACACAGAGAACGGCAACAAGCTCGCTCAGTGGTGTGAATTCCAATGGCTTATTTAACGGCCACTGAGCTGCACAATTTCCATTTTAAAATTGTTATATCAGAGTTTTCCCAGACTTTGTGCAAGCAGATTCTGAGGACTTCTCATACTACTTGCTGACTTAATGTAGAACAATTTTAGCTACAACACAGCAATTCTCTTCATGCTCACATACATCCAAAACATGTTGGAAATTTCCACAAATTCATTATTTTCAATAAAACCTGACTTCCTGCACATATACTGTGTATGATCATCTCAGCCAGGCCATTCAGTATACCACATGTAAACCTGCATACCTGGCCATCTGCATACTGTGTGTCACGTGGCATGCATGCACATACTTCTGCTCAGGAAATGCTGAGCAGAAGTGGAATGGTTACAGTTCAGCAAAATTATGAGACTTTCTCTGAGCAGACTTTTAAATCTTTGAGAACTCAGGCTTGGTAACTATTATCATCTTTGTAAACTGCAGGGAAATTTTTGTGACAGAAAGAGTACATCTCCCACGATTACTCATAAAAACTGAATTTTCATTTCCTACTATTTCCCTATGAAAATGTGCAAAGGTCTGATTCCTGAGTAATATCCAAAATTGCACTACATTCTAGACTTTCAAACAGGTTCAAATTTGCTTTCAACCATTTAAGAGTACATCCTTCAGCACTGCAGCACATTGTTCAATCATTTCATAGTGTGCTTCACAGGCTGCCAAGAGGCAGGGTGAGGCAAGGTACAGAAGAGGCTGATGCATCTCATTTTCTCCGAAAAACTTTGGCAGAAAAAAAATTAAAATCTGCTCTTTCTACAAGATGTGATTAATAAAGGAGAGTGCACACAACACTAAACTATGTCTTCAGACAGATAGGTAAAGCTGATAAATAACAGAAAAAATTACCATGCTGGAAGAATTCAACACCTTATTTTATCTAATACTCTGTCTCCAGTAGTGTCCATGCTTAAAAAAAGGTGCCAAAAATGCCTATTATTGTCTACTGCTTCGTAAAAACACTTTGCCAATGATTTGTTATAACCCTACAGCAAAAAGGTGTGCAAACTACTCTTAGATATTAAGATGAGATGAGAGAAAGGTTCAGTAAACCCTCAAAGCAACTACCACACTGACTGCATTTTCATCACTTGGCAGTGTGCCACAGCTGCAAATTTCAAGAGAGATTTTGAGGATAAGTTTACGTTACACAGCAGATCACAAGTTCAGCTCTACCCCTCAGTACTGCACTGTGACGCACAGCCAGGTCTGCTGGGATACATAAGTCAGACTTGATGCTTTCTCATTGCACTATACAGTACCTGGGTGTACTGAGAGAGTGCTTCATCAGTGCATATGAACTGTCCAGTTTTAAGTCAGCCAAGACATCTTTGCACTGCGCCCTCCTTGCACAACTTTAGGAATAATGACACCTAAGCCAAGCTGAGGTGATTAGAGAGCATGGCAGAGTCTACCGCAGTAGTTTTCTACTCAATACCAGAGTGAAAAATGAAAATATTTACAGAATAAAGAAGAACTGGCAAATCAGAATTATTATATTTTCTTTATTACAAAAGACAGCAGATGGTCACTCACCACTCTTTGTCCAGGTAAGACTAGGTGGTGGAATGCCTGTAGATTCACATGTCAAGCTTATCAGGTTCCCTTCGATTACTATCAGCTGAGAGATGTCATCTGAACCATAAATACTTGGTGGAACTAAAAAGAAATGCCAAATATCATTTGAAACCAAATGGTATCAGCCAACAGTATAACCAAACTGATCTTCACGCAAATGTGTCCCATTATGCTCTAGAGGAATTACAAGGGTTGCTTTCTCTGGTTTGCACTGCAAACCAGACCCCGGCCAGGGAATAATATATTTAACAATAACTACATCAATCATTCCTGCTCAAGCTCTAGTGAAGGAACAGGATCTATTTCTGGCTGGCTTTAAATAACTTTCAAAATTTAGACATAGTTTTTCCCTCACATTTCTCCTGCAGCAACATGAAGGACCCCATCCCTTCAGATGCCCCACTACAGCAGAGGGCCAACTTTGTTAACAGCTCTGTGCCTGTAAGCCAACTGCAGACGAAATGGACTACTGTTTTCAAGGTGATTCTCAGAGTTTTAAAGAACCTTGGAGCAATCAGTAGGGAAGGGATAGCTGCCTTCTTGAAATGGGGAAATTATTTTCTTTAGATGAAAATAACGTAGGTAATACTTGAAAAGAGACCAAAAAAAGCAGATGAGAATGTAGGCTGAAAATGGAGTGAGTAACTAATCCAGCATATTTAAAATGCACACAATAACAGGCAGCTTCTCTTTCTGACACTTCAGACATGTTTAGCAGCAAGCAGATGTATTGGCTTCAGAATGAATGGCTGCAAGGAGCCTTACTGGACTGGACTGGCCTCAATCTTTCATTTGTTCTGCTTCCAGTCAGAAGTTTAGTGCCACTCTCTTAGGTATCACAGCTTACACTTTATAGAATCATAGAATCCTTAGAGTTGGAAGAGACCTTTAAAAGTCATTCAGTCCAAATCCCCTGCAACAAACAGGGACATCTACAGCTCAATCAGGTGCTCAGAGCCTAGTCCAGCCTGGCCTTGAAAGTCTCCAGGCACTGAGCTTCCACCACATCTCTGGGCAACCTGTGCCAGTGCCTCACCATTCTTACTAAAAAAGACTTTTCCCTTATATCAAACCTAAATCTCTTCTCTTCTAGTTTGAAACCATTTCCCCTTGTCCTTTCACCACAGACCCTGCTAAAGATTCTGTTCCCTTCTTTCTTTACTATCCCTTTTATGTACTGAAATTTAACATGTGGGCTGATTCTTCTAGTTTCTGAAACCAGAGTTAGACCTCAGGATCTCACCAGTCCTCAGATGGACACATTTCCTTGATCTAAAACTGAAAAATATGGCAGGCAAGACTTTCAGTCTCTGAGTGTAAACAAAGACTACAATTCTAAACAGTTACCCACAGACAACTTTCACGGGCAACTTTTGCTTTCTATTAAGCTTAGTCCATCAAAGCTGTTAACAAGCAAGTAGTTATCCCTTCTCTCCAAACTCTCCTGAAATGGTCTCACTGAACAAAAGAACAATCCTTATTCCTCCTGCATCAAAGGTCTTTTGCAACAGTGCAAATCCTAGAAATCTGGGGAAGGAAGAGATCACAGATGATGATGACATGCATGGTGAAGGGACATATATGCTGCATTCAACAAGACCTGGACAGGCAGGAGAGCTGGGCAGAAAGTAACCTGATAAGGTTCAGCAAGTGCAAGTGCAGGGTCCTGCACCCAGAGAGGAATAACAGCATGTATCAGTACAGGCTGGGGGCTGACCCACTGGAGAGGAGCTCTGAAGAGAAGGACCTGGGAGTCCTGCTGGACAACAGGTTGGCCAGGAACCAGCAGTGTGCTCTGGTGGCCAAGTAGGCCAGTGCTACAGTGCATTAAGAAAAGTGTGGCTAGCAGGTTGAGAGAGGTGATCCTCCCCCTCTGCTCTGCTCTGGTGAGACTACATTTAGACTACTGTGTTCAGTTCTGGGCTCCCCAGTTCAAGAAAGATGGGGATCACCAATGAGTCCAGTGGAGGGCCACAAAGATGATTAGGAATCTGATGCATCTCCTTCATGAGAAAAGGCTGAGAGACCTGGGACTCTTCAGTCTGGAGAAGAAAAGGCTGAGAGGGGTTCTCATCAGTGTTTATAAACATCTAAAGTGCAAGAGTCAAGTCAATGGGAGCAGACTCTTTTCAGTGGAAAGCAACAGTAGAACAACTGACAACGAGCAGAAACTGGAACACAGGGATTCCATAGTAATGCAATGAAGAATTTCTTCACTGTCAGAGTGTCAGAGCACTGCCCAGTGAAGGTGTGGAGCCTTTTTCTATGGAGATATTCAAGAACTGTCTGGGCGCCTAACTGTGCAACCTACAGAATGGAAACTGCTTTTGCCAGGGTTGGACTCGATCTCTAGAGGTCCCTTTCAACCCCTACAATTCTGCAATTGTGTGTGCTTAACGTGGGAATAGTTCATGGTCTCATATGGTACGGAAATATCCATTCCCAAATTTAAACATCAATGTTTCTTTTAAATACATAATGACATTATTCTGTAATAAACATTTTTGTTTAATCATTAAAAACCCTTTTATCTAATTGTAGTTTTGCGAATTCAAAGCATTTCAATTGGTATATAGGGAGAAAGCAATATGGCAGGAAAAGCTACCCAAAAATCAACGTCTCAAAGAAACACTGTGCCACATGTATCATCTAACCATAGAAACATTTTACTAATGCTATTACTACAATTTAGTGCCGGTAACTTTGTAGAGCACACAAAGCTAGGAAAAACAGGTTGGTTTTTTTTAACCTGAATTTCCATGCTTCAGTATTTTAAAATTTAAACAAAAAACTTTAAGAAAGTTACTCTAAATGACATTAGAGTGCATAAATAGGAGCCAGACACAAAGCCAGTTAGTTAGAGCTCTGAACTACTATCATGCATGGAAACCCAAACTGAAAAAAGCCTACAAAGTATCTGGTATTAATTTAGAACCAAATCAAAGAAATTTGGAGAATATGTACACCTTCTGAAATTGTTGAACTCAAGAAAATAAGAAAAAGTCACCCTGCTTGAACCTCAGCATTTATGAGTTTATGAACCACAGAGGATTTCAGTGTCTCACATCATAACTTCACTCTGAACTCCATTCCCATTCCTGAAATAAGCTTAACAAACCTTACCCCAGATATTGACGTTATAGTTCTTTTTAGTTTTCCCAGCAACATTTGTTGCTTCGCAAGTGTAACGGCCAGTGTCCTGTACTTGAGCTTCTTCAATCTAGGAAGAAAAGGAAAACCTGGATTTTTTCTTACACTGTTATATAGGAAGGTTACAGGGTGAAGCTGCTCAGGTTTTAATTTTTATGCTTATACCTGTCTCCCTAATATTAGTAACAGTACAACACTTGCAAAATCTGTAAGTAAACATTTAAATGCCTGTTGTCTCGCAGTCTTCATGCACTGCTTCGCTGCCCCATTAATGCTATTCAGGTTCCAAGGCACACCCAGCACCCTCCTGATGGGTACACTCCCAAGGAAGTTCCTGATGCATCCTGACCCAGCTTACCTTCAGCACACTTCCATCTTCAGAAATGCTAAGACCTGGTTTCTTCAGCAAGGGTCGCCCATCTTTGAGCCACGTCAGCACAGGCAGGGGAACAGCATTGCTCTGACAGAGCAGCTCCATTGCCTGGCTGATGAGCACAGAGACATTTTGTTCCTCTCCCATGATGTTTGGTGGAACTACAGCAATATATCAGAAAAAGAGGCCTTTGGGTATTGCAGACTTCCCATAGCAAGACATACTGTAGAGTTAACAAGTCTTTGTTTAACAAAAATAATATGGCAGTTACTACCTTTTTGACATCCAACTTATGTCTCCTTTAGATCTCAATAAGCACCAGAAATTGTGTTGTCTACAGAATATTCTCTACACAACATAAATAGTAGTAGAAGATCAGTCACAGAGAAGTTGCATAGATAAGCCAGGGCTAGGAGAAAAATACTCAAAATACATTTAGAAGGGAAATTCACTATTACTAAAGATTGGAGAAATATATGTCCCTGATAAAAGGACAGAAGAGTTAATGAGTGTAAAGATTCACAAGACAATCAAGCTTGGCGTAAAATGTCATAAACTGTTTCAGACAGTGCCAGCATGTGTACTTGGCTTTAAGAACTCTGACTTTAAGAAGAATTTTGTCCAGACATTGCCAAATACAAAAGATAAAACGAGAATTTAGATGGTTCCAGCCAAGTAAATAGGTTAATGAATGAATCACAGTAAGACGTGATTTGCCATCACATTATTGTCCATTCTGTGGTGTTTCTAGCTAATTACTGCCATTGTTGGCACTGAGCATTCTATTTAAGTTTGTACAACAGCTGCAGCAAGAGCCTCATTATCACACATTTCCAAATTGCAGGAGAGAAAAATCAGGTTTTGGAGGAGAAACAGTCTATGTAGAAGACAAAAATGCTTCTGGGCACGTTTAAATTGCAGCCTATTAGCTGTTCTTGATTGGTATTAAAAAAAAATAATAAAATCAATGCATACTTTTTCCCCATTTTTAACTTCAGCCGTTTTTCTGAAAACAAAGCAATTGAGAAACAATTGAGTACTAAACTTTGAAAATCAGCAAGTGAGCAATTTTTTATTGGGAAAGTGTTCGCAGCTGACGTTGAAAAGAACTCCCCAAATTAAGGAGGAAACATTACACTGAGAAGATGACATTAAAAGATTAATGACTGAGAACTTCTTGTTGTCCATGACTTTATATCGTTATTCACAGCTGAGCTCAGTGTCCTTTAGTAAGAGCAGGCTGGACCACAGTCAGATGAGATTTTCAGACTCCCGAAGCAGCTTTGAGTTGTTAATAAAACAGTGACACTTCATGAGTTTTAAAGTAATTTCAGCCAAGACACAAACAGCCTTGGAAAATGGTGAGATTTGTGTAGCATGCCATCACACTGCACCGCTGCAGCTTACCATCAGTTCTCTACTGGAAATTCCCTTTTGAAACAGAACTCGGGAATCCTCATCATAAACTTAGTTTATCTCATTTAGTTAACAACAGCAAACTAGAGAGCAAAAATACTTTTACTGGGGTGCTCAAGCATGATCCAGAGGGCAACTCTTGTTAGTACTCCTAATGTTCTTAAATCCTTAAAGCATTTGATAGGGATTCACCTTTGTTTCTTTCAATTTAAAACCAGAAGGCATACTCACTACAAACTTAACATCAAGGCAACTTTAGGTCTGCAATTAAATACATGCAAAATCAAAACTCTTGTAGCAAGAAATTACTTCATCTTGTAACATATATTCAGTGAGCTTTTTAATACTTTTTGAGTACCAAGACTGTTCACTTCACTCAATAAAATGTTGACCAAGGCCAAATAGAAAAGCTTTTATTGCTGCATTTCCCTCTTTTTCTAGCTTAGAAGTCTATTAGTTCAGAAAATGCATGTCTGGTTGCCCAAAACATATGAATAAGAAGGGAAGCAGTGGGACAATTCATGAGAAATACTCTTGGCTTCACTTCGAACAAAAAGATATTGAATTAATTAGCACAAAGGAGATTACAGAAAATCCCAAAGTTGTACTCAGCAGACCATCAATACAGTTCTCAAGATGTCCTGAAAAATAACACTAACAATAAAGCTTTGTTTTTCTTGCACAGGAAGTATTCATCAAAGCAGCAGATTTCACAGTATGGAAATAATTTAGGGAAAATTCTGATCTCTGTGGATAAGAAATAAAGTAACTGAAAACAAACCTGTTTATCTTTCTTTGTAGAACTCACAAAAGCCCAGATTCTTTATGAGTATTATGGAACTGAACATTGGAATCTGATCCACTACTGCAGAAGGTAAATCTATTTCCAAAACTTTTCCACCAACTACATTTTCCCCCAGCTAAATGAACTGAAATGCATGTAAAAGGAAACTGAGTTCATGAAATGTGGAAAGACAGACACTAGATCATTTGTTTCTGAAGAAATAAGGTTTAAAATTAATCTAATTATGCTCATGGTAACTACATGCTCATGGTAAATATATGCTCATGGTAAATATATTTTAAGCCAGGTTGTTCCAACTCTTAGACTAGCTTAGTGCATTTCATATTTCCAACCACCTCAGATCCAACTGCATTCCAAATTATTTTCCTCCTGGGACTTCTTAATTAGACTATTCATACCAGGGTAAGTCCTAACAGAGAAATTACTTTCTGTAACAACTTCACTCAAGATTGCCCTGCAGAAGCTCAATAACAGTAAAATTACAACAGTAACTTTACATACACAGCTTTTAACTGTCTCTTTTCATTTCTTCTAGCTAAAAGAGACAGAAATTCCAAAACCAAAGGAACAGTAAGTAGATCCATACTATTTTTGCACTTATGTGTACAATTACAGTTGTCCTCAAACTCCAAAAGGTACCTTGATATTCCTTGTTGTAGATACAAAATGTTATATCCCAATTTAAACCTGAGTTTGCTGTGCCAGAATCCCAACTTTCTCAACTGCCTCTTGCAGATGCAAAAAGTAGCCACGACTCAAGTCACAAGTGAGTATCCTAACCACAGTGCCTTTACAAGATTAATCTGAAAGCCAAACATGAAAGCAAATAACCTAAACAACTGCCTCTATTAGCCTAAGAAAACATGCAATCTTCTAACTTGTAACATTTCCAGAGTTCTGCTTACAGTTGTCATACACTTAGAGATTGGCAGAGCAAAAACATTTTTCTCCCAACTAATCTGAAAGCAAAAACAAAACATCAACGGTTCTTCAATTCCAAAACCTTCTCTCCACATGAAGTACTGTAAGATTTCTAAAATAGTAGATCACTGTTCACCCTCATTTCACTGGTGTACAGAACATTCAACTGTCCAGGGAAACTTTAAACTTGCTACAGCTAAACTCCACGGCTTTCCACCTGAATGCATATTTATGCTCTTTGGTATCTGTACATCACTAGTGATCTGTAAGAACAAAATGTAAAAAACCATCTTATACAAGCTGCTAGAAATCAGGAGGAAGCCAAACAAGCTACAAAAAATAAGGAAGACAGATAAATTTACATGTTAAAAAGAATATAGAATTAACTGCTTGACACAATTCCAAAAACTGGCAAAACAATATACAATAGCTAAAGTGATATCCTGCTTCTCAGAAGAGACAAAGTTGTCTCACTGGGCTCAGTATAGTGTCACAATTAGCACTAAAAAAGACACCGCAATTTTGGCAAATGGTGACTTCCAAGCAAGGGCTTGAAAATGGAAAGATTTCAGAGAGATGTGGCAAATTCACATTAACTCATTAATGTTCATTAAAGACCACTGAGCTCTCACCCCCATAACAGCTTTTGTAAAAGGGATCAATGTGTAACTCACGCAAAGACAAATACACATTTTCTCCCATCATTTATGAACGAGCCTTTGTGTACACAACTTACAAATTCGTTGTTGCAGCTACATTTCTTCAACGATAAACAGAGCATATGCACTTCAATACGTCTGTGTGCATATATATATTATTATCTTTGTTTTTTACTTACATACATGTACACACAAACACACATCCTGATCTCTTTGGCTTTCATTATGGCTTGGAACAGCTTTGCTTCAATGTTACTAAACATCCGGACCACTAAAGCCCCATGAACAGTTTTCCTCATTCATTGTCAGAAAATCTGTTAGAAAATCTCACCATAAACTCTGAGATCTGTATCTCTTTGGCTTTCTCCTGCAGCACTCACTGCAACACAGGTATATTTTCCCGTGTCACTTAACTGAGCACTAGTCAACACCAGGACTCGGCCCCCAGACAGAACCTGCAAAAGAAACACAACATATTTAGTACACATGCTTTGATGTAAAGCAGAAACATGAGAATGATTAGATTTTCTTCCAAAACAAAATGCTTGTTTTGCCACTGATTTCCACCATCTATATTTTACCTACACTCTTTCCTGCACTCCATTGTTCTTCTTCATCAAGACTTGAAAAAGCAAAAGTCTGGCTTTACGCAAATCATAGGAAACTCTGGAACTTAGAAGTCTCTGATAGATAAGGACATTCCCCTCTCACTAGTTTCAAACATTGTCACATTTTCTGTCTGCGCCCAAAGTAATCCACATACTTACACAAATTTCACCTCTCATCTGTCACATCGTAAGCAACAATGTCGTATTATTTTGATTCATAACCTTCTCCTTACAGCAGGGACTTGTTTTTCCCCAAGCTGTTATTTTTTGTAATGAGATATTATGCAATCTTAAACTCCAAGAATCTCTTCAGTGTAGAGAAGTTTAGTCTTCTTGCCAGACAGTGGGAAACTTGCTTATGGAAACTTTTACTCAGTATGACATCAGTTGAAAAGACCAACTTATTTCAATATACCCATAATGAGCACATTTTGCACAATAATTACTGTAAGCTTGCAACAATATCCCGGAGCAAAAAGCCTTATACTCTTACACCAAAACCTCCAATTTTTTCTGTATCATTAAATTGCACAGGCTTTAAAGGCTCATGCTAAAGCAGGAAATTACACAGATGGCAGGATATGAACCCAATACCTGAAGACCATTGCTAAAGCTGGAAACAGGACTGCCATCTTTTAGCCATGTCAGGATGGGTGCAGGGATGCCTCTGGCTTCACACTCCAGTCGCACCAGATTATTGACCACTGCTGTCACCGTGTCACTGCTGTCAGAGATTGATGGTGGGACTGAAAAAAGAAAATAAAGCTGGAGCAGCTATGTAAGAGTTCGGATATATCACAGTGAAATTAAATGGGATGCTTAGTTTTTTTGCTTCTCTTCCTGCAAGGCACTATACTTAGAAGATTTCTAATGCTAGCACTACTGCCATTTGTTTGCTCTGTGCCAAATGCTGCTCTTACTTACATAAGCAGTCTGATAACTTCAATGAAACTACTGTGAGCAAGGTAAGTAGGATTGAGTCTGCAGCCCAGAGAACAGCTGTGACACCCACAACCAGAACATCGTATGTGAAAATATTCCCTCAGACTTTTATAACATTCCATTTAGACCTTATGAAAGGCATTAACAGTGGTGGAGATTAATTAGAGATGTTTACATGATAAACTGAATAAACTTGCAGAACATACACTTACCAGTTCAGTATGTACAATATCTGCCTGTCTGATGATAAAAATAATCTTAATGGGATATATAAAAACAATTACTTTCAGTGTAAGGCCTAGTACATTTTGTAGAGCTATGTTTAAAAGGGAGACAGGAACATACCTTGGCTCTAAATATTTCCTGTGAATTCATCACTGGGTGAGGTTAATTACCCTTGACCATGCCTTGAGCCCTCATTCTCTCCCATGATAGTCATTAATCAAACAGAAATGTATGGCCCAACTCCACATTTGTTAATTAACATTAATAGGAACTACTGACTAAGCACGCATATCAGTCAGGAAGACTGTGCCACATTTGGTCTGCAGTTCTGCATTGAAAACTCCCTCTGAAAACCAGTTACATGCATATGCATGCATCAGATACAGGAGTTTGGATTAGGATCCAAAATCCACTTGAAATGAGTGGAAGAGTTCCAATTTGGCTTTTGATCAGGTGTCTCATTTCTGCAAACACCTACGCTTCAACTTCACCTCTTTAAATACAGTACATTTTTCTTTAAGATTCTTGCATTATGGAAGAACATTTGACTTGTGTTCTTTCTTTATCTGTTGCAGACTTTGAAGTCATCTACAGTGAAACAGAGCTATTTCAAGTCTTTCTGAATCGTTTAAATGATAATATAAATATCTTTTCTACAAATCTGGTGTCTCTGCTCATTCTCCCTAAAAATCAAATTCCCTTATGATATCTTCCTAATACTAAAAACATGTATCCTAATATCACTAAGGGAAAAAAACAACAAACAACAACAAAAAGTGAATGTGCTCCCTTGAGCCCTGCAATATCTCTTCCAAGATGACGAATGACAGGAAGACTTCTAAGCAGATTTAAAAGAGCAAATGTGCAGGTAGCAGTTTCTCACAAGTTTTTAATACTTACCATGAACCTGAAGACTGTAGGACAACTCAGCTGTGCCTGCAGTGTTGACAGCCACACACTTGTAAACACCAGTGTCAGAGATCTGAGCACCCTCAATCTCCAGAACCTGACCCTTGTTCAGAAAAGTGACACTTGCAGCACTGGTGAGTGGACGACTGTCTTTGTACCAGGTGATAGCTGTAAAATTAAATGGAAAAATTGCCAGAAGTATTCACCCTGATAAACAGGTCCAAATATACTTCAGATTTTCCCTGTGAATTGCGAGAGACATAAAACCAACATTTAAAAAACAATATGTATTCATTAGAATTAATAACAGTAGAACATAGCCAGGAAATGAGAAAATCAGTAACATCTGTGCAAAATAGTGACTATGCCTACAGGATTAAATAGCGAATTTGAAGCTACTGTACATGCACACCATGTGCTTATGAAATAATGTTCTGCAGTTAAGAAAGTGTAACATAAAGTATCTGTTTTGATGATGTCTAGTCATCTAATACCAAGGTTGAAAAATACTCAAATACACAATAGAAATCATTTTTCACATTTTACCCTGAAGTATTGCTATGTTAAACTGAAAGACCTGAGAAGTTCAGACAGAAAATGCAAGCAGACTTCATCTCAAAGGCTGAAAAATGGGAAATGAAAACTGGAAAACTGATATTATTCCAAAACAAAATGACTTTTTTTTTTTTTTTTTTTAACAGAAAAAAAAAAATCAACAAAAATGAGGACAGTTTTGCATCTCCAAAAGATTACCAAAAGATGGTACTCTTCTTCAAGAGAGCACTGGTGCAAATTAACGCTTTACTGGTATCACTTCACTCTTTAGCTAGATGAGAACAAACAGATGCAAGCAGCTTGGTTTTCAAACTTTAGAATATCATGAGAACCCAGAAAATCATTAGTATAATCTCCGTTATTCGGGAAAGCCACAGAAACCACGGTACACACAGAGAAAACATTTGCATTTACACATGCCAGCGGCCTGAATCAAATAGGGAGAATCCTATGGTTTTCAAGAGACTTTAGGCAAGGTCCTAGATATGCCCCCATTTGATGGGCACACTCAATACTGAAGGTATTGTTCAAGTCTGCCCTATCCCATAAAATATTGACCTGATGGGGAAAAGATGTGTTTAAAGCTGGTTTACAGCTGATTTCATAAAACTCTAACAGTATCATTGCCTACGGACAAGACATTGCTGTATGCATAGGGGTATAGATTATCCATGTGTTTTTCATTTGTTTAATTAGAAACAGAAGAAATCACTGAATTTCCAATTCTTATTTCACATCACTCAATATACTGACACTCTCTATCATAAATAATGTTTAATAGTTTATAGCTAGTTTAAATACCACAAAATTAACTTCATGCTAATAAATATCCATTATTTTCAAAAGGTGTAGAAAAGTCACAACCCGTTATCAGACATTCTTCAAATCCTGAAAGATGCATGTGAATACCTGGCACAGGGTTCCCCGATGCTCTGCATTCAAGATGGATTGGATTATTCACAACCACTGTTTCACTTAGCATTCTTCCTGCATCCTCCAGGCTGGGTGGTTCTTCAAAAAGGCAAAAGCATCGGTTTTCATTATTTCAGCTGCTCAGTTGGAAAAAATTCCAATCACAAAGCATTTTGCTCTCTGAGAAACTTAGGGCAATGAATTGCCAAAGTTTTCACTAACTACTGGATAACGGAGAAATTTCTCTAGGAACTTCATCTGTGGAGTCAGACTACACTGGCAAAATCCCAGGAAAGGCAGATGTGTTTCTGCACTGCTTTCTGCAGTGGGACAAAGAACGAAAACTGAAAGATGGATGTGCAGAGGTAAAAAAAATGCCAACAAGCTCAAAAGAGAAAGGGACACAGATATAAAAAAAAAGCTGCCTTAAAATCACTATTTTCAGCTTCTAACTAGAGGCAGAAATATCATTACCGTGCACATGAAGCTGAATATGCTGTTGGGCTTCTCCTGCAGCATTTGTTGCCACACAAGTATATCTGCCAGCATCTTCAAGCATGGCCTCAACAACTTGCAGAACATGGCCTGAAGACTCCAGCTGTACCAAAACAGAGAGTGGGGAACCACATTAGACAGTAATTCCAGATAGAGTCGCTAAGCATAAAGGCACACTAGAAATGTACAATGAATACAGCTGGTCTCATCTTTACTCTCATCCAGGGCCAAAAGTCATGCAACAGGTGTCATGGTAGTTCGAAGATATCAGTACTGCCAGGATATCTGGATTGCTAGCCTTACAGCTGTGAGGAGACCTAGATGGCAGAGGGACAGACAAGCATGGTGAAGGGAGGGCTGCAAGCTCTAGCAAGATGTCAAAAACTGCTCCATCTCGAATCAAAGTCACCACAGATGCTTGATCCCATAGGGCATGCAAGCACTGGGAAGGGCTGTTCACTGAAAGTCAGAATTCACAATGGAAGGGAATGTACAGGCAGGTGCTTCACTGGCAGTGCTTATAGAAAAACTCAACTAATCCTGCCTCACAATGACAAGTGGGCAACACTACCTCCCAGCTGACAAATGGCCATACCTTGAACGGTATAACACAAATGAAAGGAGCCAGATGCTGAATCTACAGTCACGGACTCATACCTCCTCTGGTATGGAGGTATCTAATGAGATTCAGTCTGCTGAACATTATTACTCAATATGATGTACAGTCTATTCAGGTAAAAAGCCCATTGCTTTCCAGGATGAATCTTTAACATCTTTGTATCACAGCATGAGGGAAGCAAAAGGAAAAAAAAAAATGCATTAACACATTTAACTTATAGTAACTATGTTTCACACTTTGGATTCCACAGAAGAGTATTGCTTACTCTAGTATTTCCCCTGGCTGTGTTTACTGGTTGACCATCTTTCAGCCAAGTTACGGAAGGGCTAGGAATGCCATTGGCTATGCACTGAAGTGTCACAGCTTTGTATAGCACAACAGCTCTCTCAGAAGTGGCAGCTGATTTAATAGTTGGAGGAACTGCAAGAAACAAAAATAAAATATCATTTGAACATATATATTTACATATATAGAAGGACTATGACACCAGTAAGAATAGCCCTACTTCTATTTCATCTACTCTTCTCTCTTATTTTTCTATTCACTAATGCTAAAAATATTTACTTAAAATTTCAGTATCTTCTTGCCAGCAATCCACAATAAAGCCAGTCCCCTTTTTCCCCTTGAGTAACTTACCATGCACAGTAACAACAAATTTCCTTTCATGTTCTCCTGCCATATTCACAGCCACGCATTTATAATGGCCTGTATCTGATACTTGAGCTCGAGAGATGAGAAATTTTTGTCCATTTAACAAGATCTTATGTCCGGTTCCCTCTTCAATTGGCTGGCCATCTTTTAACCACCTACCAAAAAGAAAGCATAATCTCAGATCTCTATTGGAGTAAGATAAACAACAGTCCTAATACACACACATTTATATTACACAGAACATGTCAGAAACTCTGTTTTCTCTATGGAGATCTGGAGATGTCAGATAGCATTTTGCTTCTGAATGCCTATGGACTATAATAGTTCACCGGGAGAAGGGAACATATGTGAACAGGCACTAAAGAAGTCATCAGAAAAGGTGAAAGCTAGTGTAAATAGTAAACATCATCAAAAGAGGCAGACAGAAGTCTCCAAAGCAAAGGCAATAATGGCAGATGACAAATACAGAGCTGCATTAGCAAGGGAAGAAGGATTTGGTCAGCACTTGTTATCCATCCGAATTCCCAGAACATATCTTCTGGCACAATCTACTGAACAAAACAAATTGCAGTGAAATCATAACACTGTGCCATGTGGGTACCTGCCACTTCACTGGAGACAAGAGTCTGTTCTCCAGACAATAGCTATCACTAAATTAACATGGACTACTTTCAAGATCCTCCAATCAAATGGCAGATTTTTTGTTTTATTGCCATACCAATCCCCTTACGTGATTGTTGGTGAAGGTGTCCCTGTTGCTGAACAATCCAACTCCAATGGGCTATGGAGAACCACAGTGTAGTCCAAGAACTCATCCCCACCTTCCACAAATGGTGGGACTGCAGGAGAGATGAAGCCATCAGCAAAAATATTTAAGCATCAGTAGTGTAACAAAAGTCTATTAGAAGTAGTAGTGTTAAAAAAAAAAAAAATTATATCCATCTCACCAAGAGACACAGATAGATTTGGAATTCATTAGGAATCATTGTTCCTTTTTGAAACAAAACAGGTAGACAATGACATTTTCTGAGTTCAAATGCTTCTTATCTCTCTCTTTTTAAAATTATTCTTTTTTTTCTTCCCCAGATTCAGTCTGAGATCCCTTGTGAAAGGCTGTGTTGGGGTGGGGAACCTTTCAAGACCCTCTGTAGCAAACAGAGAAAGCAAAGGCCCCTCTCCACACTCTCTGTAGGAGAGAGGAAGCACTGCCACATGTCTTCTCCTGGCTCCTTCACTGGACAGAAAGATCAGTAAGACAGACATGAGAATGGACACTCTACATGTGCATTCAAAAGCATGGCAGCATTCCTCCAGAAGGTGCTGCAAAGCCTAATAGTGTTTTGAGAGGAAAAAAATCAAGCCTTTCTGAAGGCTCCATTTATCTAGAGAGTCAGAGGGGACTGCTGCAATTCAGATCACGGTAATGGGTTGAAGCTATTTTGTAATTCTGGAAAGAAAAACGTGGTGCCCAGCTTTAACAAATAAACAGCTTGACTAACTGATCTTTTATATAATTCTACCAACAAAGACAAAAGCATTCGCTTTATTGCAAATCTGATATAGCAGTAGTCGTTTTGCTCACATACCTAGGATTTCAACTCCATACTTGATTTCTTGTTCTCCAGCTATACTTGTGGCCACACACAAATACTGGCCCCGATCAGCCTCAACAGCACTGAGGATCTCCAGCTTCTTCCCACCAGACACAATGCGGAGGTTGTCACTTGCTTTCACAGGCACACCATCCTTTAACCAGGTAAGGAGTGGAGAAGGGTTGCCAGCAGCTTTACATTCTAAAGTCAGTGAATTGCCAGCAACCACCTGCCTGCTCTGTGCTGTTTCGGCATCACCCTCTATTACTGGAGGAACTGTAGAAAGGAAAAAATGTATTGCAAGTGATTAATTCTGCAGCCAGAAAATGTATTAAGAGCAAATGGGCTAGTTCCTCTCCACCCACTTTTGTGGTACACACCATTATGTCACATACACACATGTGAGAATTTGCTGCCAGGGCAAACCAAGCCCTGTAGTTCAATAAAAACCATTTGTACAAAAGAGGATAAGCAAGGTTTCAAGATGGAAAAACCAAATTTGAAAGTCTCAAAAAAGTACATTTGGGATCCTGACCACAGAGGTTATTTCACCTAAACACTGTTCAGCATGCACATATGAGAAAGAGAAAGGATGCCTGGAGAAGAAATATCTGTCACACTTCACTAAAACAAGGTGTTAATGTCTCTGAAGTTGAGAGGTTTTTATGAGTTACCTAATGCACAGGGTGTAAAGCTTCTTCACAGAAGGGTGTGGCTTCTTCACAGGCCAGCCTTTAAATGTAATCACTGATTGCTGTTCAACCTTGACAGGTTTGCAAAGGTTGATCACACTAGGAGGGCAAAAGTATGCACATCCTGTAACATGGCAAATAATCAAGTTTGATTATTTTCACTTACCATAGACATCCACCTCATATATTTTTTCAGCAGCTCCAGCAGCATTGGACACGTGGCAAGTGTACTTTGCAGAATCTGACACTTGGGCATGAGGTATTTGCAGGAACTGCCCTTTGTCCACATATAGAGCTTGAGGGCTGGAAATAATGGGGCGTCCTTCTTTGTACCAGGTAATGGTAGGAACAGGGATTCCCTTGGTTTCACAATCCAAATTAATAAGATTGTTAAGAAGTGCTGATATCTCTGTGGTAATATTGCCTCCTTTAATACTAGGAGGAACTATTTCAAAAGACAAAACAACAGCATAAAAGCCTTAGTATACAAGTCTGTGCAGTTCTAAATTATTTTAACATTAAAATGCTCTAAAATTAAAAGATTTTATGTAAATTAGACTTCCAATCTTTCCTGATGCTTTTGAGATGTTTTTTTCCATGTCTGAAGAATTCTCTGGAGCACCCTGAGCTGGAAGGATGAAAAGAGCACAACACAAACACCAATGGAATCTAATGTCAAAGAACACCTTATACTTACTTAATCAACAAGCAACACACCAAGGGACAATGGAAAGCACTGCTGCCTCACTAGAACAATTAATGTTCGAGGCTCCAATATAGGCCAAGTTAAGTCAGCTGCTCCTCCATGCCTCCAGCAAAGCATTTAGGCACAGCGCTGACCATTCCCTCTCTCTGAGTAAAGGGCAAACCTTGGATGTATTGGGAGCTGCACCCTCCCAGTGAGGAACAACAACCTGCTATTTAAAATACTAAAGATATCCAAGAACCTCTATGACTGGAATGGGAAATGCTTGGTACTAAGAATTTCTAAAGATTAAGTCACTTACTTTGAGACTAAATATGAGCTTAACAGCTCAGCTTTATGCTTGAAGTTTTTGGCCCACAGTCATTTCCCTCATTCACTAGGCAGCAGTACTCAGTTTTTTTCTAGCTGACTTCCACAGTGATAATTCAAAATGCCAGCACAGAAATGTAAAGAAATGTGTCAGTGAACCTATGTGTCAGACCTACACTTATGAGACGGATCTTGCTGGTCATCAAACCATGATGAAATACTTTCCTTATTCTGTGCGCAAACATATGCAAATCTATAACATACGCTGAAACATATTCCGTTCAAAGACAAGTGCATTTCTTCATAAAAAATGCTTTCATCCACAGAGATAAAACTAGAACTAAAGAGGTAAAGCAAAGTACGAACTAGTGGGAAACAGCATCTAGGCTCCTCACTTTGTAGGCTTCTGTTTGTCTGGCCAAGATTAATTCACCTCTCTTCTCTGAAGAATCTGAAGTAAGGTCTACTCATCTAGGCGGATCTGAGTGTTTTTTATTCCCCTTATCTTATGACATCAATGACCCTGATAACCAGAGAGTTCTCACACCATTTTCTTTGTTCCCAGAAGACTCCACTGTGACTGGTATACAGGAACATTTCTGTGCATGTCATTTCTCCATGCTTCGAAAATGTCCCAAATGAGAAAAATAATGTATCACAAGTTCACTATGGTCAGAACAGAAGACACAAATCCTTCAGAATCGAAACTATAGCAAATGAGGACTCATTAGCTTTAGTGCTCATGGATGCAAAATTCACACTCTGGGCCCAGCAGTTTCATCCTATATATAGATTTCAGCATGTTTCCCCCATCATTTCTGCTAGCACCAGGACTGGTTGGGGTGTCACATGTTCTTTTTCTTTCAAATGAAAAACTCCTTCTCTTGTCTCTTTTAAAGTCTTATTTCAAAAGCACATTCCTGTTTCCATGAATCTTTCCCTTCCTTTTTTTCCCAACTCTTCTTATTTATCTCCTCTAATACTAACCACAGGAATTAATTGCATGGATTTTTTTCCCAGGTATTTTGCTCAGACTGAACTGCTTGTAAAAACACAAAAATTATACTCTATACTACATAAAATGAGAATGTTAACATAGTTATATCATGCTAGTGCTTCTTCTCTCCTAAATGACCACAGACTACACCAACTTGAGAGAGACGACATACCACTCTACCTGAAGATCTTCTGGAATGCTACTTGTACCTGATTCTTTTTACACTCCACTTTGTATTTTTGCATTCAATTTAACTTATTCCTAAGTAATTTATGTTTCCCTGAGCATCTCAGGCTCATTTAAAAATCCTGTGCACAAAACCGAAGGATTTTCTTGGATCATCACTGTATAAACTTACCGTGGATGATCAGCTTGACCTCCTTAATTTGTTTGCCAGCAGTGTTAGTGGCACTGCACTGGTAATGACCTTTGTCAACCCTTCGAGCAGACTTTATATGGAGAACTTGACCTTTTTCCAGAAGCTCAAAATTGGGATCACCCAAGAACAGGGGCCTGAAATAGAGATTATTTCACCACACAGCACTCTGACCCCATCCTTTTGGCATTAATTTAAACTGACAATTACAACAAGGGTTCATTTAATGGCAGCAATTGCATTAAAGAGTACCGTTTAAACCAGAGAAACAGCATCCATCCAAAGAATCACAATAAAGCAACAAACTATTATAACTATATTGATTCCTGGTTTTCAGAAGAAACCAAACACAAAGGTACTTTGCACAGGTCATCCAGAATGCCAGCAGCAGGGCCTGAGTCCTACTCCTGATCTCAGTTCCCTTTTCTAATTACTAGGTCATGATAATCCTTTGCTGATAACAAAAAATCTGTATATACTAGACAAAAGTATAAACATATTAACTTCTTGTCATATTGGAACATCTGTGAGTTCAATATAGACACTAGCTAAACCATTAAATACCAGTGCTGTTTAAAACTATTTATTGCTAATATTTAAGCTGCCAAGAATTATATTTTTTGCATGCTTTCCAGGAAGATGAGATGAAGAATTGCAACATGCAGGCTACAACTGTTCTTAAACCTTTAGGGTGTGTGTACATTTATATATATACGTATACATACATATATATATATATATATATATATATACGCAGAACTATACAATGCAATTCACCACCTAGAAAAGAGGGTTAATACTAATTTAAAAATCATGCCAACAAAACACCCATATTACAACAAAACCTGTATTTCAAGATAAAGCCCAAAAAAAGGATTGCATCTGTCTTGGCTCATATATTGCCTAGCTTCAAATATTGTAAATATACCCTGCAAGCGCCAGTGTCAGAAATGGGACAGTTTACAAAAAGAAGCAGGATGCTGACTTTTGATTAAAGGACTTGGCATGTCATGCTACCACAAATTTTATCCAGTGACAATAATTTGACATTATATAGTTAAAAGCAGAGCTTGTTGCTACTGTGCACCTTTGTCCTCTACGTTCTAAGGGAGGAATAACCTAGACATAGGTGGAAAAAATGACAGTATACTTACTTGCTGTCTTTGAACCAGTGAATGCCAGGAAAAGGAAAGCCTTTGGCTCTGCATTCCAGACTCATTTCCTGGTTGAGAATGACTGCAATTTCACTGGTGGTATCAGCACCTACTATACTTGGAGGAACTTTAAAAAGACAAATGTTACAGGAAGAGGTGGTATTTAAACAGGGAAGCTAAACTTGGAGACTGGAAGAAATGCTGCAGTGGATACTACTGTTCCCTTGAAACAACTTAGGTTTTCACTGCAAGACTACTCGTGCTCATTCACAACATCACTTCTATTGTGACAAGCACACTCATGTTGCTGAACTGCACAACAGTAAACTCCTTTATCTTAGAGCACTGTACCTTGAAAATACAAAATAAAGTATCAAAGACCAAAATCCACTATGAAAAACTGCATTTTGTCTGTGTCATTATGAGAATGACAAATTTTAAGTATTCATAATTCATAATGAAGAGTGCTTTAGCAGCCAATATTTAATGGGAAATCAGAGGAAGAACCCATTGAGTAATGGGTTCTCAATGGGTAATAACCCATTGAACAAGTTGAAACTTTTCTTAAATACCAACTATTTTTCATATTGCTGTTTAACAAACAAGTAAACAAACAAAAATAGAACTAACCCAGTATATCTAGGTTAAAGAGCTTCTCAGAACTTCCTGCTACATTTATGGCTTTGCATGAGTATTGCCCAGCATCATCAACAGTAGCTTTAAGGAGCTTCAGTATCTTTCCGTTGTGCAAAATCTGGAGAGTATTGCTTTCCACAACCTTAAAAGAACCAAGACATGAGCCTTATGTAATCCAAATTACATTAGCCAGATATTACAGATGGATCTTTATAAGAAAGTGGTAGTTTCTGTTTAAAAATAATACATTTCCCTTTTCAATTACAGCATGTCTCAACTTCTGCAATCTATCCAATATGACAATACTGTATGTACAACATACAGTACAGGGTGAGAAAACCAAATAAACTCTTTGTTCATTAATAGCAGTTAGATATAAAGGTGCAAAAAGAGATCTCATATAAACTATCACTTATCAGCTAGAAGTAGAAGCACAGGACCCAAAGATAACCCTTAGGAATTCAAATCAGTTCCAAGAATTCTCATTTCTCCACCTACAAAATGAAGAAAATACCATCACCCTCTGCAAGTATTCTGGCATCCACATTACTGTGAGACTTCTAAGGCTAATTCCTAGGGAGATCTAGAAAAAGTTTGCTTGTGAACAGACAAATTAATGGATTAGTCATACTTCTCTGGATTTCTCTGTGGGTGTTCTTGGTACAGTTTAAATATATGTAAGGTATATACACATGTATTTACTTTTAATGAAATCTCATATCAAGCACTCAAAAGAAAAATCAACACAAAATATTCTGGAACTGAAAAGGCTACAGTTAGAGCAATTAAATTAATTGTGCATACCTGGATATCTTCTTTATACCAGGAGATGACTGGGAATGGATTTCCAAATACTTCACAGAAGAGACTTACAGGATGATTAACAACTACAGATGTATTTGCCACCTTTTCTTGATCTCTAATTTCAGGAGGAACTACAAGAAAGTTCAAAGACATGTATATTAAGTCTTCTCACTCAGTAATTTCCCACTTCATCTTTTCCCCAAGTCAAGAACCTCTATCATCTACATTTTTCAGACATTTTTCATTTCATTTATCCCGGATGTTTCCATTTCCCCTTTGACTCTGGACCAATGTTGCAATGCTCTTTCTTCTCTTGTCGAAGAACAAGACTCTTCTCTTGCTCTATAGCAGAATTTCAAGGAATCCACTGAAACACAATCTCCATCACCATTTTAAGAGACTAATCTGTAAAATGCCATGTTATTTGCTTAGCATATAAAGGAAGTAAATTCCAGAGAATAATCCTTCCTCTTCACTGCTCTCATCATCCCCAAGAATACCTGCCTGTCACTTGCAAACCCATAAGAGTAAAGAGAAAGGACAAGTGTGATGGATTAGAAAAACTCAAATCCTGCCAATGAGCCTTGCTGGCATGTGATGGAGTTCCTGCATTTCTAAGGGTAAATACGTAATCCTGTTTGGGCATCAAAACTGTGAGAAGTGAATAGGAGTAAAAGTACTTTCTAAGAAGTAAAATGTACCATATTAAAACATATCTCACAGTCATCTGTAGATGCAATTTTGCAATTAGGATTAGGGAAGAGTGTCTTCTATTTATGCTCATTCTGACAAACAACTTTTCTCATACTTACCATTTGAAATGCAAAACTTTAACATCTACACTACAAGTCTTCACCTGTTACCTGTGGTAAAGTTGTCAACAGTTACTAGAACTCTCTACTAATGTGATAAACCTAGCTCTTCAAGTTAAACAAAGACTGTTTATTTATAAAATTACAGTGAACAGAAATAATAAAAAATATATAAAGAGCAACAGAATTATAGAAACCCAGTTTAGTTTTCATGGTTCAACTGCCCATGGAAAGATTTGGGACATGCAATTTCCAATAATGAAACAGAATAAACTCTTTCAAAATACGTCTCCAGTAGTTGTGCTTATTATTTACCATAAACTTTCAGGTTATACTTTCTTTCTGTACTTCCAGCTTCATTGGTTGCCACACAGATATATTCTCCATTATCAGATGGTGTAACAGAAGCTATGATCAGCAGCATGTCATCCTCCAGAACTGAAATTCCTGGTTCTCTGCCTGTCAATTCTCTTCCATTATGTAGCCATTTGATGACAGGCTTTGGAATACCTAACAAGAATAATGCAAAACTTCAAGAATCAGTTCAAATAGCCCAGAATAAGAAGGATTTGAATAATCACCATTGCTTGCTGACAAGAACAATCCAGAGGGAGTCACAAGCCTTCAAATTTACAGTTACAAGATTATCGCTAAAAATCTCTTAATATCCTTGTCAGCTAATAACGACTTTTTAAAGTACCTCATCTATTTGTTTAAACTGTGATTTAGTTTGAATTTTCCATATAAAGTACATATGGAAAATACTGTGCATATTTTACATTTTTACATTAACAAGAAGTACAATTATCAGTGGTCAACAGAAAAATATACTTTTGTCACTGAAAGAAGTAATACTGATACATACCTTTTACTGGACATGGGAATGCAACACGTTGATTTGCCACTCTTTCTTGAAGAGGATTATTGTATGGAGGATCAAGATCACCTATAGTAGGAGGCTCTGAAAGAAAATTAGACAGCTCAAAATTTTTTTTTCCTTTGCTTCCAAATGTAAGAATGCAGTCTGGCAATTCATAATTTTTAAATCTCTCTTATTCACACCATCACCATTCACACCCCCTACAATGATGAAGTGTACAACACAGGCTTGACTTCAAGAGGAATATTTAGGAAGAAAGCAATACAAATAAACTTTTGACTGAAATTGGGAAAAAAAAACAACAACACTATATTTGTTCTGAAGGCAGAGACATTGTTATTGCACATTCTGAAAAAAATAAGATAAAGCTAAAAAAAATACTAGTATTTTTTTTCTCATACCATATCTTAGTACTCCTTCCATTCTTTGCTCTTGCATCTCATTTGAAACTTGTGTGTGGACTGAGCCCATACAAAGAATATGGCAGTTCTTTGTTATTCACAATGAGCAGCTCTCAGCATCTCTAATCCAAAGGCATCAGAACACTGCCTTTAGACTATTATGAAAAAGAAATACTTGCTACTTAAGTCAGTCATGCTGCATTGCCAAATGTCAGCTGATCATGTGAGGAGTTATACTATACGTTCAAATTGGCACATGAATCACTGCTGCTTCATCACCATATATACTGAATAATGAAGCTTAAGCAAAATTCCAATTCCATTTGAAGCTGTGCCACCGGGCTCTAATGTTCAGAAACAGTCTATGAAAATGAGAGGTGAACGAACACACAGAGAATATTTGAAAAGGAGGTTTCCCACAATGGGATCTGGTTTTAATTACATCCAGCAAAAGCAATTGAAAAATGTCTTAAAAGATTTAGAAGAAAAAAAAAAATCAAGCTTCTTATTTCTGCTAACTCTCCACAGAATGTTTGCATGCTCCCATTTTTTCTTAATTAACATCAGACCATAACATCTAAAACAGACATGGACTTTACATGCTGTAACTCTCAACAGCAAGGGGCATCAACCTCCAAAATACAAACCTGACTGCATTGCATAAAATTATACTTAGAGCGGGAGGCAAGGTTACAGTCCTGCAGCAATACCTTGGACTTGAACTGTTATCTCGGAGGTGTCAGTGCCTGCCGCATTGGTGGCGATGCACCTGTAGATCCCAGCATGGGAAAGCTGGATGTTGCTGATGCTCAGAGCCCCATCCAGACTGTGAGTGGGCTGCCTGCTGTCTACTGGCACGGCACTAGTGCCCCTGAACCAGGTGATTGCTGGCGGAGGGCTCCCCTGGGCACTGCAGGGTATGTCAACCCTGTGGCCAGCCTGGACTTTCACAATTTGATGACCACGATGTATCTTAGGAGGAACTAAGCAAGAAGACAAGTTAAGTCAATAGTAATGTGAAGGCAGTGATGTACAAGATCATTTTTGAAGGCAGTTCTTTTTGTTATTTTAGAAAACATCCTTCCTTACTCAATGAAACAGAATTCTCTCACATGCAGAACTGCATGTTCTTTACAAATAGGATGTATAAAAGCCTACCACTAACTTGTCTGGAGAAGCTACATTTCAAATTCTATTGCACTACTTCCACATGAGTATCAATATTATGCCATGCACATTTCAAAAGTTAAGCATACTGGCTTTTCATAACAAAAAGAATCAAAAGCTTCTATGAAAAAGTTAATTACATTTCCCCTTTGACATTTTAATTTCCTTCCCCTAATTCCTAATCTTTGTATGCTTCCAAATACAAGTTCAGAGAAAAAGATAAAATATTACTGGAAAAGATCTTGCTGATCCCAAAAAATAATTCAAATCTGACTTAACTCTTCTGCCACAATGGTTTTCTTTCTAAGGATCACTGACAATAAAGTCTAACGAATATCTCAAGCAGTAACAAGTGCCTTTTCTTCTGTTAATGTACAATCACAGACAAATAAAGCTGCACTCTCTACAAAAAACTACACAGTCATCTGCTATAATCATTATAACTGCATTCATGAAGTTGAAGTGTTCAGAGCTGCCAGGCAGGAGTTCCATGTTGGCATGCTTGTGGCATGTGAGGCACTTTCAAACTCTGCATGAGCCAGAGCAGAACTACATACACACCACACTTACACCAACCAGCACCATCCAGGCTGTGCCAGGACACAGCTCCTGCTCTCACTCTCCTCTGTGCATCGGCAACAGCAATAGGGATGCATGCCACAAGCTGTGCTTCTATCTGATACAGATGAGGAGAAACAAAAGGGTGAGCGTGGAGCTAATGATCCATGACATTGCATAAGTTGTCAAGAGACTGTGATTGGAGCCCCATCACAGTAAGAGTTGGAGAGAGGCAAGGGGGCAAGAATTTGATGATTTATGGTAAGAAGGAGAGGGGACGTCTCTCAGCAAGAGGCTAGTCACCTTCACTGAGGGAGAGGAAGGTGGACACAAGGACAGAGTGCTGATTTGAATAGAGAAATAAGACAGCTCAGGCTGAGAACAGGTATGTTCAGCCTGGAAAAGAGAAGGCTCCAGGAAGACCTGATAGCGGCCTGTTATACCTAGTGGAAGCTATGGGAAAGCTGGATTCTTATCAGGGATTGTAGCGACAGGGAACCATTAAGACTGATGGGAACTCAGCATCTACAAGCCTCAGACAACTTTGCTATTTTCAGCCATAGTTTTCAAACCTAATACTGAGAAGTTTGCTGCACACTGAACATCTAAGAGTATTAGAACAAGAGTTTTCAACTCTTAAAACTCTTCTGGCTAACCTAAGAGCCAAATATACTATACAGCTGCAGTTCTTCCATGAATCTAAGTGACATGAAAGGAAGGTGTACATTGTATGTGTACAAATATATACGTTTAGGTACTGTGTACATCTATACATTATTTCTTTTCCACATAATCAATAAAAACAATTTGCATATGAAGATAATATGAGCAGAAAGAATACAGGTCAGTAGCATTTAATGTATGAAAGAAAAAATATAATTATACATTAAAATTATATTTAATGTATATAAACAAGGATTTAGCATCTTTAGGATGCCAAATTCAATACTGAAACACACTGATGATTTTCCTTTAAGTTAAAACTTACCATGTACGCTTAATTTCACTGATTGAGTCACATTCCCAGCAATATTGGTGGCTACACAGAAATACATTCCACTGTCTGAAACTTGTGTCTCACTGATTTTCATTGACCCTGAGGGTAGGAAAGTATGTCTGCAAAATTAAGAACCAGATATGCTATATAAACATATACAGAAGAGTGAATAATCTATACTTAAACACTACTGATCACTACCTACTAAATTACCAGCATTCTACATGGCACACGGAGCTGTGCCATATTACTAAATATGACTTACTCATTTTTTCCAACTATTTACTGAGCCACATGGAGAATAGTAGAGCTAGTACCTAAAATATAAGATCCAAATTGTAATGCTTGGTTCCACCTACTTACAGGAGACACTGAAACCTGCCTGATTTCTAGAAATGGAAAAATCATCTGATAAAGATTCCTATCATGGTAGAGCCTCCCATCACAGATTTATGCTCATCCCAGGTCAGCAGAATCAGAAAGTTTGTGTTAAACAGCTTGTGATTCTACTTCAATATGGTCAAAATACTTCATGATGGTTCAGGATGAAGGTGAGGAGGGATCTGAAGAGTACTGTGATTCAAAACCACTTGTTCTGGAACTTAGAGAATTTGTCATTATTTCTGACTACATAATTAATGATGTAACACTGAATTTCATTATAGCTCTGGTCTAAGGCTTCAAAATGCAGGTGTACAAGGATACAGTCTTGGCCAACTAAGCCGAACTCTTTTTCCGTAGCAGTTAAAAAGGAAAAAGAAAATAGGAGGAAAGGAAAAAAAACAGCTAGAAGTTGACAAGAAGCAAACAGATCTCAAAGTTATATACAGAGTTAAGGAAAAGTTGGTGGGAATTGGTGGTATCCCTCCTTATCTTTTCTCTGGCACTGGTGAATCTGGAGAATACAACAGGCTGAAGGGACGAGTGGAAGAAAGTGAAGTGCATTTCCTTCAGGCCATTGATATTCGTCTGATATCACAATTACTCCTCTTTCACCCCTATCTTTCCAATGCTTGTTTTTTTAAATAACTCCAAAATATATATGGTTGCTGGGATAACTCATCTCCCATTACTTTGCCCATTTATTACAAATGCTTTCTGAGAGAGATTTCTTCACTTCTGCTTTCATTCTTCTTTTGCTTACTGGTCACATTTCTAACATCTCTTTCGGTGGTCTCAAATGATTTTGTTTGGACTCACTCTAACTGTTGCTGACATCTGTAAACAATTTTATGGAATGGGCTGAGTTGGATCACTGCTACTCTGGAAAGCTTGGATGGCTCCACAGTGAGCAAGTAGCCTAATTTATCTGTCTCTTGAGGTAAAATGAGGGCAAGCAATGGACCAAGAATGCAATTCATTAATGCATGCAATGTGTTCGCAGTACAAAGCAGAAAATTCCACACAAAGTACTAATTCCAAATTAACCCTCTATACATAAGCCTGTTCCGCACAGACTACTCAGCCAGCACCTACCAGCTGATAAGTCTGTTGCAGACTCAGTGGGAGAGATGGATCCGAGGCCAAGATTTGGGCACAAAAGAAACAGGTGCACTTTCAGGTCTGTACAACTGCTTAACATTTCACTTGGATCACGGAGACATGCTAGACAATGGCTACAGCAACTGCTACAGCATGCACCTGTCAGCATCATCCTTTCCTGATTTACAAATGTAGCTGCAGCCTTTGCTCCTTTTGAGGTGGCTGGAAGACCAGGAAGCAGTAGCATACCCTGTGACAGTGCCCAGCACTGCAACTGAGCACACACAGACAACTGCCCTTTCTCCTCTCTTTTCTATCACACTGAAACAGTATGAAAGAACTCTAACTTTGCAGCCCACCTTCACAGTCTCTCAGACTGTCAATTCTGTGTTTTTTACAAACATTTTACTATGCTGTCCCATTTTCAAGAGTATCAGAAGAGTTCTGGATCCAAACCATAGCAAACACTGAGCCCCCATAAGCATTCACAAACATTTATTGTCATCTCTATTTTGCTGGGTTTCCAGACTTAAGCTGAATAACAGACAGTGCTTTCCTGAGCATAAGTACGAAGTAATTTAAAAAAGTAAAGCGTATTTATAAAGATTTTAAATTAGACACAGTTTACATGGATCTCTGGGCACCACTACAGTATACATACGACAGGATCCTTTCTTGCCCTGACCTCCCGAGCTTGCATATTTCAGAGCAAATACTGAAGTTCTGTCACTGTGTACAAACATACACTGCAGTACATCAATGTGCAGACTTTGCATCCTTCAGAGAAGTATATGCATTCAGTCTGGAAAGTTTTTTAAACCTATGGTCCTCTTGAAGGACAATTTCATATCTTCCAATTGATCATTAAATAATCAAAAAGTCTTCCAAAATCTTAAAATCTTAGGCACAACTTTGTTTTTCTTTTGTTTTCATCAAACAATTACAATCTGTTGTTACCTTAGAGAGAATGGAGATATGAGCTGTGTCTCTTTAGCCCAGGTAATTATGGGAGGTGGCAAGCTCTTTACTTCACATGAAAGTGTGACATCTTCTCCGCTAATTACTGAGATCTCTATAGGCCCATGCCCTTGCTGGTCTCCAGGCCTGGATACTCTAGGTTTCACTGCAACATGGAACATGTTAAGAAGCTGAAGTGAATATGTATACTTGTACAAATGTAATACCTATAGTTCAGATCAACATCTTTTTGTGTGTGTGTGTCAGGTATATAACATTACAGCCCTGTTTTTAAAGACATGCCTGCAATAGATTTGCTGCCATAAATCACTGTAATGCCAATATTCTACACCCAGCTAACTCAGACATTGGTTGATGCCTACTTGCAACACTACAAATACCAACAAGACTGCACTGTCTTCCTAAAAAGCATGACAGCAATTAATATACACAGTTCATGCATACACTGAGGTCTGTATTGTAGAGGTAGTTCACAACCAGTACCTAACTATACATTATATTATGGCACCAATAACTGGAAGTCATAAAAGCCTTGCAAAGCACATTAATCATCTTATCATCAAAATGATACTATATTTTAGTTCATATATACCATATACAGTCAGCTGGACTTTCCGTGTAGCATAACCAGCAGCATTTGTTGCAGTACACAGATATTCCCCAGTCTCTTCACCCTCTGGCGAAACTACATAGAGACTTCCATCAGAACCCGTGGAAAATTTCCCATTGCTGGGAAAAATTACTTCTCCCTTCTGTAGAAAGAAAGAAAAAAAAAATTCCACAGTCCTTGGATTTCCAAAAATACAGCAAATTGCAAATATTTAATTCAACAATAGCTAAATTTTGTAGAAAGAAAATCTAATGAAAACATTTAAACTGTTAAAGGAATATTAAAGTTATTAGTGAATGCAGCAGCCTACCCCATTGTTGCAGCCCACTGTATGAAGACTGCTGTATTTTTAACATAGCATTCAGTTAGATTTTTCACAGATCTGAAGATGTTGCAAAGTGCAGGAAGCCTGACTAAACCAAGTAATATTTTAATCCACATTACAGTACTGCTTCTATCGTTTTATGGACTCTAATGTTTATGGCTGAGATCACCAAAAAAAAATTTTGAATTAACTAAGAAGTTTGGCCCTGAAATTCTATCCATAGAAATTAACCAACTTCAGCTAACTTTTCATACTCATTTAGTATCTAAGCAGTAAAAATAGGAGAAGCAAGGGATTCTCATGCAGAAAAAATGTTATTTTGTCATATATTCATATGAAAAAACATTTTCTAGAACCTAATTCTTAAAAAAAAAAGGATCAGTTTAGATAATGTTGATATTGGTTTCTGTCCATATTGAAAATTATATGCAGTAATAAAGGAAAAAATCTTCTACTGCGCCTCATTCCTCCTGTGTTTCATTCCCTACTAAACCAATAGTTATCTGTCTTACTGCTTCTTTTAAACAAAGCTGTTCATAACGTCTCAATCAATTACATCAGCACAACTTCGGAAGCAACACTGCCTTCACAGCATACCTTAAATAACTACTATTACCAGAAATTATGCTAAAAAAAAAATAACTAACCATCTCAGCCTGATTTTCAGACGTTCTCAAAAAAGTTGAGGATCTCCTCAGTGAACCGGTTGTCAAGGACATGACTGAAAAGTCAGACAGCTAACCCCTAAATGCCATTATTACAGACATTCTCCTCCATGAAAAAAAAAAAAAAAAAAAATCATTTTAAAGCAATCCTAAACAAAAATGAACTTTCAGTCTGTGGCAAGTTGTCTAATCCAAAATTACCAACTCATAACAAGAATACTAAGAATTTCTGAAGTATTGAAAAGTATATAGTTACAGGGATAAGCAAAGAAGCCTTTTCACAGAAGAGAAATTTGATGTATGGCTAGACCAAAGCCAGAAACAAAAGCAGACAAATAAGCAGAGATCTCCAGATCCCTCACAGCAGAGATGTTTGGTTGCACCTCTTGCCTAGTTTTAGGACATCTAAAAGACATCTTCAATTCATCTTCCACCATGAACAGCTCAAAGATGAGACATTACCTTCGACCAAGTAATAGTTGGCTTAGGAACTCCACTTGCTTTACATGGCAATGTTACTGGAATTCCTTCAGTGGTGCTGAATATCTGCTGCCCATGCTGAATAATGGGCAGAACTGAAAATAGATGCAAATATTACAATCATGTAAAAGACAAATTTCAAACCCTGGTACAACTCATGCTATAAAACTCTCATACTCAATTACTGCTTCATGCAGATTGCAAAAGTTGGCAATTTTCAGCCTGTTCTCTCAACTCCCAAATCAGCATTGACCTGCCAGCTTCTCCTCCAGTTTTTTTGACAAAATAAATACCTGTTCATAACGAAGCATGTCAACCAAAGGTTGATCATTAGATCAGGCACATATAGTTTTAAACTAAATGTAGGCAATTAGGCTGATTTCAGTGATTTCAGAAAGGATTTGTCACACTACTCACTGGAGACGTTTTAGGCTAAGTTCCTGAATCAATACTGTACACAATCCATCTTACACTGCATCTTTCATGAGGACAGGCTCAGGATTTTTGATGCTGAATCAACTTTTAGCAAGAGACAACATCCTTTAAACAGTGAAGGTTTGAAAGCAAAGAACCAATTCCTCCCCAAGCACATTTAATTTTTGTAATAAATGCTACAAAGTTGAGCTAAGTGCACTGATGGTGTCTGAAGGGATTGGGCTGTTAGATGAACTTGAATAAAACCAATAGATCACTATACAAAATCGAGAGTAGGAGGTGACAAGAAACCCCAGTTCCCCTCCTTCACTGAGCTGGAATTCATATCACAACAGAAAGAAGGCCATATTTAAGATAAGGTCAGCTTGTAATAACAAGAACTAGATTTTCAGAAAAGCATAAAAATATATTCCTTTTTGTTCTCAAGTTCTGAAAAATTTCAGAAACTAATGTTCACATGGAAGACCCTTATCAGACACTGAATGTTTCTCTGCATTAACAAACAACAGGTACTGTTAACATAAAACACCGTTCCAGCATCTTCAATTCAGCTTAAATTAAATCTCCCATGATTAATTCAACACACGAGAAACTTTCAGGCTGCTAACCATGAAGTAGCTGGGACTCCACACACAGTTAAAACAAGTATCCACAGCTGAAATACAGATGGGCTACCACCCACTAAGAGGCCTAACTCTTAGTTTCTGATATGGTTAAGGAAAAGAAAAAAAAAGTTTTGCCAAGCTCACAGTTTATTTTAATTGCAATTCTCTCACAAGTTGCGCTCCTTTGTATCAGTTTCTAAATGCCTCCAACACTGCTTTTCATGGTTTTCTTGCAAATTCCCACTTGCATCCTTTGTTAAAAAACCTCAAGTCTGCACAGTCAGATCTTTGCAGATTATTCAAAATGAGGGTTTTTTTATGACCACAAAGTGATGTAATTTTTTGTTTTATTTTAAAAACATTCTCAATTCTTCAGTTCTGTCCTGTTAAGTTGGCCTATTTCCCACAATATTACTTTACGAAGTAACATCAATATAAAAAGGAAATTTAAGAAGTTAATACAACTATCATGAGAAAGCTCCAGAGAGATCTCCTGTTAGTAAGACACACACACTCGTCCTGCAGCCAGAACAGAGTACCAAGACCGTGCTCCTTACCATACACATTAACAGTAGTGGTTTTGTTATTTGTCCCAGCAACATTACTGGCCATGCAGGTATAATCACCCCCATCTTGCAGCCGAACTCTTTCAAGATGCAGGCTCCCATCACTTCGAACATTAATGTAGAGATTGGGAACCAGCTGCCAAAAGAGTAATGTAACATTTTACTAAGTAAATACACACTTGATAGTATTTACTTTAGTATGCATTACAGCTTTATTCTTTTTACTCTTTCACATTAAAAAAAAAAAATCCTATGTTCCTGGAGAATTTTACTAAAGCTTTTTCTACTTTCCACCTTTTATAAAAAGTTAACTTCAAATAATAGTTTTGGTAGCACCTCATATATATTGCTGGAGTGAAATTAATGGCTACAATGGCTACAGCACATATACAACCACCAGGGTAGTTTATAATGCACTAAAGCAAGAGCAAACCTAGCTGAATTATTCTACTGCACTTTGTATTTGTAATTCCAATAACCCCATGTCATGACAGATCAACTCTCCTGATTGCAACTACTTCTTTCTCTCCCATAAATAGATTACTTTCACTGTTGTTGTCAGAAACTTCTAGAAACTCTTGGTATAACCATCATAAAAGAGATCAGCTCTGAACCATATGTTCACCCTTTAGGGACACTGTTTAGACTTGTATTTTTCTTTAATGTACTGGCAGCAGAAACACTTAAAATTATCCACTGCAAAAGATAACATAAAGTTGTACCTTACAGCAAAAAAACAGTTTGTTTCTTTTAAAACTGTACACCCTTTAGCAATATTAAAAATTCACAGTGATCTTTACCAACAGCTAGAAGAGCTCAACAGCAAAGACCAGCCCTACAGAAACACTGTCATACGAGAAGTGGCTGAGCGAGCTGGCATGGTTTCATCTGGAGAAAAGGAGGCTCAGGGAAGACAGACCTTACACACTATAACTACTTGAAAGGAAGCTGTGGTGAAGTAGGGGTCAGCCGCTTTTCCTATGTAACTAGCAATAGGATGAGAGGGAATGGCTTCAATTTGCACTACAGGAGGTTCAGTTTGGCTATTAGGAAGAATTTATTCTCCAAGAGTGGTGAGGCACTGACACAGGCTGCCAAGGGAGATAGTTGAATCACCGTCCCTGGATGTGCTCAAGAAATGTTTAGATGTGGTACTAAGGGACGTGGTTTAGCAAGGAGATATTGATGGTAGGTTTGTGGTTGGACTGAATGAGCTTGGAGGTCTTTTCCAACATTTGTGATTCTCTGATTCAAACACTAATAAACTATCATTTCTCAAGGGGATTGGCTGTACTGTGAATGACATCGCCAGGAGACATTCAGAAGCAGCTTCTGTCTTGCAGACACAGCCACCTGGTTTCTCCTTGGCGGGCAGCAGCTCTTTCATTGAGCAGTGATGGTCAGTTGTAGTCACTGCAGTGCCACTGGATCCTTGTTTTCAGTGAGCCAATCCAATTTCATGGCAGACCTTTATTTGTAAGCATAAAATCTATCACTACATCTACGTCTACAGAAAATTAATCTCTGAAAATTAAATAAGTGTGTTACCATGGCTTAAAACATCTGCTGTTGATTTTCTATATCAACAAATCTTGTAAGAAAGTGAACAGTCTTACCACCATACTGTTCTTAATCCACTTCCGGTCTGGAATGGGGTTTCCAGCAAGCAGAACACATGGCAAAGTGAGCTGCTGCCCCTCAATTACGTTGGCTGTGGCTGGGCTTATTCCAATCAGAGGTGCAACTTGAGAAGGAAAAAAAAAAAAAAAAAAAAAAAGAAAAAACAAGAAAAGAAAAGAAACAAAAAAAGAATTAGAATTTTTAAAATACGTATTTTATATATGTTTAAATATATATGTATCTATGTAAGGTACTGGATGCGAATTTTTATTATTAGCCCTGCCAAGTACTTTTACTTGCAGCAGTATCAGACAAAAGTCTGCTTATGCAAGGCACTATGCAAATAGAGAGCAGGAAACATTTTCTACAATGAAAACCATACGATTTACAGAGGAAGAAAAAAAAAGGAAAAAAAAACCCGTAGCAGTCAACAGAAAGCAGTGCCAATATACTTATCTAAGGACAAAACATACCAGATGAGGCTCTGGTATCTGAAATGTCAGTGACACAGAAAGAAAAAAAATTCCAGAGGATTGAGTAGCATAGGAAAGAAAAGTTGGAGTAACACATGTACAATAATTCTAAGGTTAAGGAGCGGCAGCAAAGAAAAGACATTGTCTGGCTGAAGTTGATCCAGTCCAGCACTTCCTTGAAAGCTCACATTCCCATGGACACAGAGCTGAGATGTTATATTTCCTTACTTGTGGGAAAATACTGAAGAGGCTTTTAAATAGGTAAAAACTTCTTCTTTACCAAACATTATCAGCATTACAGATTTCACCACATGTTTTAAGTTAATCAATGTTTTCCTTGATGGTAGACAGAACCATTCTTATCCTCCCACAATTTCATACACTCCATAGCATTATTTTTCCTTTTATTGCGAATTGCCCAAGATAATAAACAACTCCTTGAAAGCACAGTTATCGTCAAAGCAGGATGTTTAGTGTCCTCTTGGATCACTAAGATTTCTTCCCAGTTGTAGCCATGCGTTGCCATAAGCAAGTTCACTGCTACTTTGTTTTTTTAATTACATGATAAAAAATCATTAGCATTCATCATGGTGGTGATTTTTCACTCTTTAATCAATTTGCTAAGCAATAAGAAACAGAACACAGAATACGTCATTTTTAAGGTCCATGTTACAAAGTGTAGATGGAACTACTGTAAGCTGATAAAAACACAACGTTGTAATGTGAAAATTTTAGTGAATTCAATTACAATAATTGATGCAAATACCTTCTGATCTAGTTTATGTGGCTGACTACATTTGTGTAAGAATTGCTACAAACACAGGTATATCCCTGTGTAGGTATGTAACACATTAACATCCTATTCATCATAAAAAAGTTACCAATTCCAGCATATTTGATGTATGGAAATGCTGCCAGTCTTCCCTTTCCCTTGTATCACTGACATTAACCAGACTTACCCAGTCCAGTTACTGTGATTGTGGCTGGCTGTGACTGAATCCTCCCAAACTGGTTTTCAGCTTCACAGACATAAGTTCCTTCATCACTAACCCACAAATCTTCAGAAGGAGAAAAAAAAAAGAGAGATCAGATTGCAGCAGCTGAAATTACACTATATTCTTTTTTTTTCAGATCATTCCTTTTCCTCTCTCAGGAAGGATGGAAATGATGACTACGAGTACTTGATTGAAAAGATATGATATATATGATACTTTTCAGCACTTCATATATTGCATATATTTTAATACAAATACACTACTGTGTACAAATGATACCTAGTATTTACATGTTCACACATGCATATACTGTTGCACAGCGCATTTTCCGTGGAACACTGCTTACGCTACATAAAGTATTGTCTCTGCATGTTTATAGGCATGTAACACATACATAATTCTGCTTTACATACTCTATACAGAAATTACTTCACTTATTCTGTTAAGTTCTAGAAAGGCATAAAAACTAAGAAAACAGAATAATATCATTTAGTGTCTGGGTGACCAAAATCCTCCAGAGAATTGAAATTGCAAAGACACTTGCAGAATTCCTAGCTATTACCCAAATTAGGACTTACTTAAAGCAGTAAATTTAAAAACACTTTAAAAAAAAAAAAAAAAGAGAGAGAGAGAAAAAAGAGTTAAAAAAAGAGAGAGAAAAAGAATAAAATAAAATTCACAACTCCTCGGTATTAACAGAGACCACAAAGCACATTTATTTAAACAAAAGTGTAATTATTCCAATGAAGTGAAAACCAGAGTGAAGCCAGAGACCAATCACAAGTGAATTCACAAACTCACAGGAACACAATGCACATCAACAGCAACAAAATCAGTATCAGAAACATAATCTCTAATAAAATCTATTTTTTTTTAAAGTTAACTGTTCTACACAGTAGTATAATAATTTAAACCCATTGCATATGTTGTATTTCCCTCTAGCATATTTTCTTTAAAAATTTAGTCTGCTTACTATTAATTGACAGAGCTCCTGTTCTGAGCTGACTGATGGAACTAACAGCAAGTGGTCTTGAGAAAAGGGAAGCGCCACTCAGCCGCTTCCATTTAATCTTTGGCTCTGGGTAACCCTGAACATAGCATGGCAGTGTGATATTTGAGCCAATATCCACAGATTCATCACTCGGTTCTTGTGTAAAAATTGGGGGAGCTGGAAAAAATACAGAAAAAAATACATAAAGTGAATATGGAGTTTCATCATGACAGTAGTGTTCTGCTTACAATACTGCAACCTTCATTTACATCCTACTACACATTATTGTTTTCCTAACAACAGATTCCCAATTCAAGCAACATTATGCAAACACAACCTAGTATGCTCCTCATGAATAACGAGGTGTTCAGAAATGGGCTAAATATCACAAAAAAAAAAAAAAAAAAAAAAAAAAAGATATAGCCACCCTTTCCAAAAGAATGTAAGCGTTCAGGTGTGTAGGATTCTCCTTTCCTTCAAACAGCTTTGTCCATTGCTTCAGAAAGCGTAAATGTCTAACAAAAATATGCATTTTAAAGGCCAGAAGCAGAAAGAAACAGGAAAAGAATAGGGAGGACTAAGTTTCAGTAAATTTACACTGTAACACAAATGAAATACATTCTCTACATGAGAACTATGTTAGGTTGAGGTTTGAACTCTTTCCTCCTTCTCTGGCTCTCTCTTCCTCTTTGTAAATTCAGTGCTTTGCAAAAGAAGAAAGAATGAAGGAATGTTGGAAATCCAAGTATCATAAGGAAATTTAGCTCAGTGAACTCTATCAAAAAGGTGCTCTCAGCACATACAATTTTCAAAGACTTGCATAACTGTATTAGTGAGAAAAGTTCAGATAAATAAGGCACTGTTGATCACATAAGGAAACACTGAAATAGAGCACTTATTGTGTAGTTGCAAACTACTTGCTACTTACAGCCTACATCTAGGGTTATCTTTCCAGAAGCTCTCCCTGCATCATTGGTAGCCACACAGGTGTAATCACCAGCGTCCAGCTCTTGTGTTTCTTGGATCTTCAAAAGACCCCGATGTGTATCAATAATGAGAAACACTGATGCCCTCAACTCTAAGTCACCTAAGTTTAGACAGAAAAAAAGTTAACTGAAATATAAAGAGGGTATTTATCAAAATTACTCTAACAAAATTGTGTCCAAGTCTGAGATTAGTTCACAACATAACTGTATTCATTCAGCAGATAAGTATAGTCAGATAATCATTCAACTCAGTGGGAAAAATCATTACTGCACTAGATACAATCAAATTTTATTTATATTTATTTTACAAGAGAAATGCAAAGTTAAGTAGGTTTGGATAGACATCAGTATAAGGACAGTATAAGGACAGCCAAGTTGTATTTCTCCTTCTCACATTAGAAGCTACTTATGGAAGTCACTTGTCTGCCAGCTCCACGCCATCCTACAAAACCAGGAAAACAACTCTGCTACCTCTCAAGCAGGAGCCAGGATACTCCTGAGTAATGTTCAGAATGTGTCCATGTGCAGAAAGACATTTTGCAGTTTTTGTAGCATATAGCTAAACATTTTATGACAAAGCATGAAACAAGCTGAGTCAAGAGATGTGCAGTTTTTTTCTTTTTAATTACTGTAAGTTCATTCACTGTATTTAAACAGAAGTGAGATCTCACATCCTCAATATTAAGTGCCCTATCTTCTAAATTAGAGAATTTCACGTCAGTCACTGTTTGAATAACACATAAAACTTTTGAGAAAAATAAAGTCACTTCAACATGCTCTAAGCCAAAGTAAATCAAACACAAAGAAGTATACCTTTAAACCATTTAACTTGAGGATGTGGGATTCCAGTTGTTTTACACTCCATAATAGTTGTGTCTCCAAGGGCAACCAGAATTTCTCTTTGAACTATGGTCACTGTTGGGCCCTCTAAAAAGAAACAAGGAACAAATTAATTCCTCATCCAAAATGTCTATCATTTTTAAGATGCAAATGATAAAAGATTAATCTTCTGCTGTTATGTAAGACATATGTGCCTTAAAAGTCAAGCAGGCTTAAAAATCATGTAAGGTGATAGAAAAATAATATAAGAAAAGTAGAGTTTGGAATATCAGAATACCTGAACCATGTATAGAATATGCAGGCATGTAAGGAAAGAACTGGAAGAGTCTGACCATTTAAAAAGTGAAAAGAAACTTTCTCTCCCTCTCCAATTGAAGACTGGTCATTAAGAATTTTGGCACTTTGCTGTTAATACACAGCATAGTGTTTAGAGGGCACGGTTTGGACTAGGACTCCATGGCTAAGAACACAACAGGAAGGTAGAAGAAAATTATTCCTTCTCTAAAGACCTACTCAGTTTTGCAAGTCTACTCTACCATGTTTTGTTTTTCTGGAGTTTCAGAAAATTTCTACAAATATGTTCTGCACAGTTCTACAGATTACCACTCTGAAGCTGTAATAGTTTGCTTTTCAATTTCATTTCATTACTTCTTTTGCTTACCGATGTATGTAAGAATAGATGTCTGTTTCTCTGTCCCAGCTGAGTTACTTGCCAAGCAACCATAAACACCTGCATCTTTTGGAATTGCCTGTCGTATGATCAAGGTGCCTTCTGGGGTCAATCTATACCTGAGAATACACAGGGAACCAACCAAAATGGTTAGTTAAAGAAAACAGAAAAACTATTCCACACACGCTCCAAAAGTATCACCAGATAATTTACAAATAGATACTGCTGTCTTTATCTTATTACTAGTTGTAGTAGTATTTCTGCCAGAGGATACCAACGCATGTTGTAAAGAACACTGAGTTTAATCCTGTAGAAAACTTCTAAAGAAAGTAATCATAGTATTTCTATTTTATTGATAATTGAAATCATAGAGTTATAAGGACAAAGGTCAAAGTACTTTTTTTCCAAAGCTCACACGCTCCTGTGAAAGAAAGAGAATATTTTGGCATTCTTCAAAACTTCTTACTCACACAGGAGGCACAAATAAAAAAAGGAAAAGGAGAAAGCAAAGCTATAGTCCTTACCTGTTTGAACCAATTATAAACATTTCATTGTGTGTCCATACTACTGTTGGCTTTGGATAACCTGTAGTAGAACACCTGATAGACACTTCAGAGCCTTCTGTAAAAGTCTGATCCTTAGGTGAAATGACAATCTTCGGTGGTTCTATTAAAAGAAATGAAAAATAGAAATTAAAATGATGCGGTTTGTAAGCACTTACACATTATAACCACCACTTTATCTCTGATGAAGGTGATCATCATTGTTCTCCTATAGCTGCCTCCACTAAATTCAAATAATGAGCATCCGACATACATGAATTATATCAGAAGGCCAATTACTGCATTAAAACATGATCAATCTGGTAACAACACTTTTGTTGAAGCCTCTTCTACTTAGAGCACTATTCAAAGAGTTTCCATTTCTTGAATTAGCAATCCTATTTCAGAACTTATTTTCTTCTTTTTCTCTACCACAGCATACCAGCTCTTCCACATAAAACATACAAGCCTTTATAAAATAGTTCAGGATTCGGGCTACGGGGGTCACATGAATTCTCATGCTGCCAGTTTTCTTTGCTCTGAGATGCATACACTGGATCTCCCAGATGAGAGCATGAACCCACCCAGAACTAAACAGAGTCATCAACATCAATGTCAGAAAGAAGTAAGAATGGATTTCAGCTGCATTTTCACAAAAAGAGAGACTCATGAGCATCACAGAATTCATCCACTTATATCCTTGGACTGATTTTTTTCAAGTGGTCAAGGACCACTAAAACAGTTTCCTGTGACAACTGACATTTTCTTCTACAGTATTTACCATTTTGCCTTCTTATAGTGACAAGAAAAAGTTCCACACCACCCAATATATGAAAAACTAGCAATTCATAGCAGCAACTGCTGCTCCACTGCCTGACAGCAACAGGGCTTGAGGGAATGGCATGGAGCTGCATCAGGGGAAGGTCAGGCTGTGGGTTAAGAAGAGTTTCTGCCCCAGAGGGTGGTGGGCATAGAACAGGCTCTCCAGCGCAATGGGCACAGCCCAGAAATGCCAGAGCTCAAGCAGCTACCAATTTTTTTTACCTGGAGCAATTAATAGTATGCTCCTTTGCGTTATCGTTGCTGGAAGGAAGATTTTTCTCCAAGTTTATGGTGGAACGCAGTTGCTAAAAAGGTGCCAACACAAACATACTGTTGGGACCCCACGGGGAGGCAGGGCCTATCTACTGCTTCCCCCAGCTGCAGAGTGGAATGCTGTGCCCAGGGGTGACAGGAAGCAGATTCTGAGTGCTGTGTGCTTCAGCAACTTATAAGGACATGGTATTGCAACAGAGATTGGAAAACCATCTTCCTCCCCTCAGCCTCAACGCTCTTACTGAGAGGGGATTAGTGCCTATCACTGATGGAAGAACTGAGATAATGAGAAAGTAAATGATTTTCAAATGCTCAAACTTCAAATCCAGGGTAAAAAAGAGTAGAAGATCTCATCACTTTGTACATGTAAGGGGTTACGTGCAAAGTAGTACTTTACATTTTAAGTAGTACACGGTTGGGAAGCAGAGACAGGCAAGCCTAAGGATATTATATCACCCATTGAAACACACTGCTGACTTTAAGACCCTTGTGTTTTTGTAGGTCAAATGAGTAACACGCAGTAATTGACTTGCACTGTAACTGCATACGTGCACTTAATAGCACTGTCCTCCATGATCACAGCACAGACTGAGTGGTCCTGCAATGCATCTCAATGAATCTGAAAGCAAGTCTCCCAAGGAACACAAAAGTAGTTTTAAAGCATGAGAGGTAACGTTAGCATACAAGTCATGTCCGTGTTTTTATTCAACCATTTTAGTACATTTTTATTTGAATTATTTGCAGTATGTTTTCTGCTTTGAACTTCATGAATATTATCTCAGGAAAATTCATTCACAAGGTTAAGCACACAGACCCTCCCCTTTCAAGAGAATGTTGCTGCTGTTCTGAGGAAGTGTTTTGTTGCACTGTGTCACTTAGTAGCCTGGGGGAAGCAGGATTCAAATGCCAGGACTCCTGAATATGGTTTCAGTCATTAATTGAATGTGCAAGTGTGCAGAAGGTCCTGCAGCCTTTGTAAAAACACATGTAAAACCACACAGTTACACTGCCAAAGAAGAGAATGTTAAATAATAAACAGCAAATAATTTACACACAGAGTTGTAAAACAAAACACAGATGCAGTTATATTGTCCCTTTCTTATATTCATAGCCAGCAACCTACAGTTTCATTTTTGTTAGAGGGAGGGGACCCTGCAGGAATGGCACCAGAGGAGGACAGAGCCACAGCTTCCTAGGTGCTGGGATTACATCCAGACATGAAGGGCAGGTAAAGGTAAAAAGTGCGTGCAACTTAGAGGACTGTCTTCAAGTAATTGATTATGTGTACAGAGTTCTCAGCTATTTTTGATTCACTGTAAATCCTACCATGGGACAACATGCTCTAGTTTTAGGGAAGGTCTGCGCTTATGCTGATACTAGGAAACTGCTTCAAATGGTCAAATCATCCACCGTGCTTTGACAATAAATCACTGTCAATGTAGTATTGTTGTGGCACAAGAACTATCAGAAACTGAAAGAAGGTGGAAGTAACATTTATCAAAGACAGTGGATGACACTTCTGAAGAGAACAAAGGTCAGCGAGGAGACTTCAGTATCTGAAGCATTCATGTTGGTAAACTTCCTTGGCCTTAATGTTCATTTAGATCACTATAAGCAGTTAAACTTAACATAAAAAAGGACAGCAAATACTTCTTTTTTTTTTTTTTTTTTTTTTTTAATTCAATATAAGTAGCTGAGTTGTTGGGTTTGTTTGTTTTTAAATGCTTTTTTAATGCTTTCATTAGCAAAAATTCCAGTTGTTCACTGGGCACATAATGTAACAATACTGAATAAGAGCAACTATTTAAATGTACCTAGATGAATCATCATGCAAGAATGCAATCACCCTAGAAGCCTGCATACACTTGCTGCAAGTTCCCCCTCCCTACCTCCTCACCTCCCCCCCAAAAAAAGTTTGATTTCATCCTCAGAGTTTTATGAAACCAGATTCTGGCTAAGAACAGATGGAGTACCTTCCATGGGTCCAAGCTGTTCCCTAGTGGTTCCTGTCAGTTTCAACCCATTCTCACTCAAGTTGAACTGATCTCCGTGCACTTCCAACTGTCAAGATACTCAGGGAGCCGATGTTTATCACAAAGCTCTATTTCTAGTTATACAGGAACTGTAGTTTTGGTGTGAAAAGTTAAATTTCCTCAGATTCTGGAGTTCTGTATGACCACAGTTATGTCAACAAGTTCTTGTGCAACTCCAAGTTTTATAGACATACCTTAGTCTTTCCAGGTGGGGCTGTGTAAACCTCAAACTTTCTATATTTTGTTACTTAAGAGTACTGGCAAGGCAGAGGGGGATACAAAAACTACCATAAAGTCCTTTTTGGCAAGGCCATGCTCTATCTTTTCATCCCCCAGTTTGCATTGGTAGTGAAGGTTGCCTCAAGCTAGGTGCAAAACCTTGCATTCAGCTTTGTTGAACATCAGGAGGTTCACCTGGGCCCACTGCTCAAGCCTGTCTAAGTCCTTCTGAATGGCATCCCACTCCTTGGGTGTGCTGACCACATCAAATAGCTTGGTGTCATCTGCAAACTTGCCAAAGGTGCACTCAATCCTGCTGTTGATGTCACTGATGAAGATATTAAAGAGTCAGTCCCAGTACTGACCCCTCGGGGATGCCACTCATCTCTGATCTCTACCCAGACACAGCCACTGACCATCACTCTGTGGCTTCAGTCCTGCAGCCAGTTCTTCATCCATTGAAGTCTACCCATGAAATCCACATCTTCCCAATTTGGAGAGAAGGATGTTCTGGGTGACTGTGTCAAAGGCCTTACTGAAGTCCAGACAGATGACACCAGTGGCTCTTCCCTTGTTTATTGATGCAGTTTGTTGAAGTTCTCCTGCTATGTACAGTCTAAACATAAAAAAAAAAAACTTAGAATATCACTTATTTAGATGAATTTGTGATAAATGATCCAGAAGACATAGAAATTGGAGAGAGATTTTTTGCTAGATGAAAAAGCCTTATTTGTCCTACCTCTGTAGCGCACAGGATAAATCCCAGGGGATTTTAACAAAATAAACTCTGGAACAATAACTTCAGGCTAGCTCAAAACCAGACTTTTAGCAATCACAGGCCAATAGTGCGAACACTCTTCCCCACCAGCTCTGTGAAGACAGATAAACTCCTAAGAGGCGCAGCAGTGGGAAGAAGGCAAACTCAGGGACCTACTGATTTTCTGGAGTTGTAGAGAACTCCAGAGTGGCTGCTCAGGCACCACCTGACCCTTTGCAGGTCGTTCACTGCAGAGTGAGTTATGGAATGGCTTGGGTTGGAAGGGACTCCAAGGATCATCAAGTTCCAACACCCCCAGCCATAGGCAGGACCACCAACCTCCAGAACTGGTACTATACCAGATTCCCAGGGCCCCATCCGATCTGGACTTGAACACCTCCAGGGACGGAGCAGCTACAACCTTTCTAGGTAGTCTGTTCCTCACCACTGTCTCTGTAAAGAACTTCCCGCTGATATCCAACCTAAGCCTTCCCTCTTTGAGCTGAAAACCTTTCCCCCTTGATCCTATCACCATCTGCCCCTGTAAAAGGTTGATTCCTCTCCTGTTTATAATCCCCTTTTAAATAATGGAAGGCTGCAATCAGGTCTCCTTGCAGCTTTCTCTTCTCCAGGCTGAACAAGCCCAGCTCCCTCTTCTTCCTCCTTCTCTATTACTGCTTTTCAGAGAAAAGACTTCAGAAAATTCAGGCAACAGAGCATGGAGTTAAAGATGAAGCAATTTGCCTTTTATCCATACGGGTGGTGTCCTGCCCAAGATTCCTCTTTCCTGATTCCAAATGTACACAGCTTCATAAGCACAGACATGCTGAAGTTCTCTTGTGCTCATTCAGTTCTGCTTTCTCCTCCTGGTCTGAGATGCATCTGAGAATTACCAGGGCATTGGCTGGGCCAAGTCACATATGCATATAATGATTATTTTTTAAATCTTGCTCTAAAGGCTATTAGTCGGCTTACAAGTGCATCTGTCTGTTCCTTTAAGTACACAACACTCCTACGCTTTGTAGATTTGATGAGCATACCACTTGATGGATAAGAAATCAGCTGAAAGGCCACAGACAGAGGGTGGTCATCAATGGCTCTGTGTCCAGGTGAAGCCAGTAATGAGCAGCATCCTCTGGGTGTCTGTCTTGGGACCGGTGCTCTTTAACATCTTTATCAGTGACATCAATGACAGAATCGAGTGCACCCTCAGCAATTGCTGACGACACCAAGCTGAGTGGTGCGGTTGACACGGTGGAAGGAAGGGATGCCATTCAGAGGGACCTTGACAGACTTGGAAGGTGGGCCCAGATGAACCTAATGATGTTCAACATGGCAAAGTGCAAGGTTTTGCACTTGGTCTGGAGGAATGCCAGGCATCCATACAGACTGAAAGGAGTGGTCCTTGAGAGCAGCCCTGTGGAGAAGGACCTGGGGGTCCTGATGGATGAAAAGCTTAACATGAGCTGGCAGTGTGCCCTTGCGGTTAGGAAGGACAATGGTATCCTGTGCTCCATCAGAAGAGGGGTGGCCACCAGGGACTGGGAGGTGATCGTCCCTCTACTCTGCTCTTGTGAGGCTCCACCTGCAATACTGTGTCCAGGTCTGGAGCTCCCAAAACAGGAAGGACAAAGAGCTGTTGGAGAGGGTCCAGAGGAGAGCCACAAAAATGATCAGGGGACTGGAGCACCTCCCCTACAAAGACAGGCTCAGGGAGCTGGACTTGTTCAGCCTGGAGAAAAGGCGGCTGTGGGAAATTCAAATGTGCAGCAGCTAGCACTGCAGTGTCTCAAAGGCACCCCATAAGACTGATGCTCAAAGATGCTTCACTTTTGTTCAACGTACCACCACAAACAAACTTCTCCCCAACAGTAGCATGGCCAAAAGCCTTACAAGTTTCCGTACATAACTGTTGTAAAAGCAAAAGATATCTGCAACTGTCTACTCTTACTCTTTCACACCAGAAAACATGCAAAATCAAAACTGCCAATAGAATGGCATTTATCACTTGTATTTCAGGGATCTGAGTTTTAATCACATATTTGAAATTACTCACAAAATCAATCTCCTCGTTATTCAGGCTTTTTCTATTGTAAAAGCTTACATTCCTCAAAATCAAAGATGATGTAAGTAAAAACATCAAGAATTAAACATCAAGCTATCAAAACAAAACAGTGTATTAATTCAATCCTACAAGTATGCATACAGGAAACAAATATTTCATCTATAAACTGGAAAGAGAAAGGTTACATGGACATGAAACATTCCTCATCACTGAGGAATACATCCCCAGAATGTATCACTGGAAAGATAATGTGATGATTAAAGTTTCACACTCCTGGTCAAGCTACAGCCTCACATGGCTGCAGCATACTCCTGATAAACCATTTTCAGCTTGCAAGAGCAGAGAATGCCCTTACAAATTCTTTTATATTCCCATATAAATCAAGTTGTTCAGAGGACTTGAACAATTTGCACTATGCTGCCACCACAAAACGTCCAAAATTCAAAGTTAGGCAGAACACTGACTCAGCATCAGTGCAGTCCTAACAAGCTCAGACTACGCTCTAAAACAGCAACCAGTGATTTTTCAGCCTGCTCTGGGCAGCAGGCTGCCATTCAACAAAAAAGCACAACTTTTTAACACAGTCTTCACTTTGTTGTGCTTGGTGTTAGTGAAGAACAATTAATGGGTAATGTTGGACAGGTAATTGGGGAAAAAAAGGCAAGTTTAATTAAAGTTTTGGTCTGTCTTTGTACAGCAGCACAACTAAAAGGTAAATAAAAATAAATCAGATTAATATTCCCTTTCAGGAGCATTATCAGACTAGAAACCTTCAAAACAAACATTTACTACAACCCATGTGAGTACATAGAGAAAACACTAGGTTATTTTTAGAGCTAAATTTGTTCTCTGCCTTAACTCCTATTCCAGAAAGAAAAAGGAGGGTGAAAGCAACATTTATTCCCTTTTAATCCAAAATTCAGAGATCTGTGCTGGATCTGTCCCAACAACAAATGGATTCACTATAAATTTAATGACATTCAGAATTACTTGTAATTACATCAAGTATGAATCTATCTCAATTTATTAATAAGACTGTACTTTTCATTCTTAAGAAGGAAGAAATTGCAACCTTTAAGGCTTCTTTTTCTTATGTTAAGCCACTCTTTACTCTTCTGCTGCCAAATATAGATCATTACTGTGAACACTGCTCCAGATCCTAACAAGCAGGGAGAGTTATTCATGACACAGTTAATTGCACATCAGAATAGCTCCAAGAATTTGAAGGAAATAATTTGGTTCAAGCAAAATAAAGTAACAGTAGCACATACAATCATCCTGACACCATCCACCTTCTGCATGCAGCCATTTAAGAGACATTTAGTCATTTATCAAGACAGCCAAAAGCTAAAAATACAGGACAGGGTGGTTTTCTAAAACATTCTGCAGTTCTCTTTTCTTTGTATGCAGTGAGTAGATGCTAATATGCAAAGATTCCACACAACCACTTCCACACAACCAAGGCAATAATGAACAAATCTGGAGTACTTCCAATTTCTATAATTGTTGCCTCCAAGGGAAATTACTGTATTTTTGTGTCATTTTTTAGAATTTTTTTCCTGATGAAAAGCAACAGCGTGGACCCACAGCTTGCTTGGTGTCTCAACCCATGCCATCTTTTTCAGTCCTGTCAAATTTTCGGAGCTCTTACAAAACCAACCTCCTTGTAAAGTTCTGATTAGTTCTTAGCTTGTACAGAATTACCTGAGACAGATAAAACAATACAAAAAGACACTTAGAAGTACTATTCCATTATAAAGAGATATAAATACTAGAGAAGAACACAAACTCTTAGCAGTTTAACTACCTGTGTGTGTACACAAACAAGAACAAGATCTGTGTGCAACTCTCCCTCCATACTTTAGGAGATACTAACAACAGAGATATCTCAGGATCCAGTCAGCTCTACAGCAAACTTGGATCAGGAACCACTGAAGTACCAAACCATGTTTCACCAAGGCACATACCACAAGACAGTCTCCCAAAGAACACTAGTGCTCGTTGGTGGCTCACACCAGTATTTTAAATCAAGGAAGAGCTACATTACTTTCTACTAGTCTCTAAGTGGTTTCATAAACAAACATAAAATGCAGAAGTTACTACAAGAGAAACTCAGAATAAAGATAAAGTAAGTTAAAAACACGTCAGAATGTACTTAACATACAGTTACCTTGTACTATAAGGAAGACAGACGCCATGGCAGAGCCATCCTTGTTAGAAGCTATGCAGTTGTACTTCCCAGCATCTGTGAACTGTACTGCTTTCACTTCTAAAGATAGATTGCTCATCACCCTCATCCGTAGGGGCTCCTGGAGCCTCACATCCCTGCCATTTCTCTGCCAGGTAAGATTGTAACGCATGGTGCTTACAACCAGGCAGGTCAGGATGGCTCCTTCCCTAAGGATAGCTGTGACATTGTTAGGAACCTGAATCACAGGTGGAGGCTCTGCATAAAAAGAACAGAATAAAGAACAAAATAAAGAGAGAAAAGATTTAGAAACTTCTGAATCATTTGTGGACTCTCAATAAGTAACTTCAAGCATACCACAGAATACAAAAATTACAATACTGTTTTAATATTGAGTTTCATATTGTATTACTGAAGCCATAAAACAGAGAACCCAGGTCAGTTTACTCATTCCCCAGTGCTAAGTTATCTGACAGATGACAAGAACACACATGATTCACATGGAATAACTATGATATAGAATTATAGAATCATTCAGGTTGGAAAGATCACTAATATCATCTACTCCAACCATCAACCCTTGCATATGATGACCATTCTAGATCACATCACCCAGAGCAACATCTACCTGCTTCTTTAAAACCTCCAGGGATGGTGACTCCACCACTTCCCTGGGCAGCCAACATCTCACCACTCTTTCTGAGTGTTTTCTTAATATCCAACATGAGTCTCCCTTGGCACAACTTAAAGCCATTCCCTCTAATCCTATCACTGACTATCTAACAAAAGAGGCCAATCCCCACCTCACCACAACCTCCTTTCAGGTACTTGTAGAATGTCTTCTGCAAGCTCCCCTTTCTCCAGACTTCACAATCTCAGTTCTCTGAGTCGCTCTCCATAAGACTTGTGCTCCAGACCCCTCACCAGCATTGCTGCCTTTCTCTAAACACACTCTAGGGCCTCAGCATCTTTCTTGTAGCGGGGGGCCCAAAAGTGAGCACAGTACTTGAAGTGCAGCCTCACCAGTGCAAATTGTAGGAGTACAGTACTTCTCTAGTCCTGCTGACTATGCTATTTCTGATAAAAGCCAGAATGCCACTGGCCTTCTTGGCCACCAGGGCATACTGCTGGCTATGTTCAGCCAGCTACCAACTAACATCCCCAGATTCTTTTCCTCTGCACAATCTTTCAGTCACTCTGCCCCAAGGCCATAGCGATGCGCAGGGATTTTGTAATTGAAATGCAGGACTTGACACCTGGTCTTGTTGAAGCTCATCCCCACTGGCCTCAGCCCAGTGATCCAGTCTGTCCAGATCCCTCCATAGGGCCTTCCTACCCTCAGACAGATCAGCACTTCATCCCAGCTCCATGTCGTCTGCAAACTTAATGACGATGCATTCAATTCCCTCTTCCAAAACATCAGTAAGGATATTAAACAGGATGAGCCCCAATATTGACCCCTATGGAACATCACTAGTGACTGGTCAACAGCTGGATCTAACTCCATTCACCACCTCTCTCTGGACCAGAATCAAATATCACATATATGAGAGAGGATATAGTTCTGCTCTTTGACCTAATATTGCACCAGGATAAGCCAACATGAGATTGCAGCCCCACAGCAGATGACAGCAGCAGGTCTCTAAGTCTGATCTATGACTGGAGCATGACCACAAAAGATAGAATCCAGGTTACACTTTAGTTTTTTTTTATTTTTTAAACAGGTGTGCATATTAGAGAGGGAAAATAAATAAAAATGTTGCTAGCATGGTCTTCTAATGGAGACAATGAATTCAAGTAATCAGCTGCTGCAAGAAATCACCATTATGTTCCTCACCTGATGGTTTCTTGGGGGTGCATGAAGGGAGCACATTTTTTTGCCTTCAAGTCCATCTGATTGAAGACTGTATCAAATAAGACAAAGAGAAGGAGAGGCAGGGCAGTAAGCACAGTGCAGACACAGCTCTGAGAGATGAGCAATATCAGGCAGTAATAAACAGGCATGCTAACTGATGGGCTATTAAGAGGCCAGGGGCATCATTTCAAAGAGGAACCAACCTGGACTTGGCAACTAAAACCAAGGCAAACCAGGGTTGAAGGGTGGGAAGAGGTGGGGAAAGAGTGCAACAGCAGTGTATAAAATGGTGAAGGAATGTGCAGCAGAAGTGAGTCTGGAAAAAATGCAGGAATAGACAAAAAGATACAGAAGGGGTCTGTCACGTATGGAGTATCAGTAGCCAGCATGCTTGCCTTATGCAGCCCTGCACGCGATCACTGAGCTTGCCCTATCTTCTCACCAAATCTTCATTCTGTGGCCTCACTCTCTCTCCCACACAGGTGTTGCAAGGGCTCACTGTTGCTGGAGCAAGTGCAAACAGGCTGGGTGCCAGCTCCAGGAGTCTGAGTAGGGTACAGGCATCCTCAGCCTGTGACACCAGCTGCTGGGGAGACTGAGCAAACCATGCCAACTGCTCGAGCAGGTAAGGGTCCCAGCTACAAGCTGCTGGAGCAGGAACTGTGCATGTCCCAAAAGCCTGCTACTGGCAGGGCCCAGAGCAAGCAGAGGGCTCATTACCAGTGGCTGGAGCAGAGCTGCAGGTCATGGGTACATGCCCACCACCAGGCACAGGGAGGTCAGAACAGGGGGAGAGCCAGCATCTTCCCCAAGTCAGGTGTGCAACAGGCAGGTTTGCTAGCCAGCTTCAGGGAAGGGGCATGGGGTGGACAGAGGAGCAGTGGTAGTACTTCAGAGATATTTAAGCGTCACATACCTGTGACCAGAGAGCGCTATGTACTCCACTAATGAGCTTCAGCCCCTACCAGCAGCAGGAGCAACATGGCTGCTATGCGTGACACAAGGCCCACACAGCAGCTCTGCTGCAGTGCCTTGTGGCCATGCTAAGGGTCTCTGAGCACCTGCAATATGCGCACAGCAGGCTAGGCCCTGCAGCTGGCACAACATTGCTCAGCACTTTCCAGGCACTTTTTCTTCCAATCTGTAATACATATATTATGTTTTAATTTCCACTATTTGTTATTGTTTGCTTTCTGCTTTACTGATCTGTATATTTTTAGTCATGGAAGGATGCAGCTGCACTAACTTTATACTGGAATTTAGTTTTGAAACCATAAATGCTAAAAATAGGAGCTCTTGTTTTGATCTTGTTTTGATCCTGCTTGAGATATAGCTGATAAAGGAGAAAAGAAAAATCTCAATGCTATAGAATGCATACATTCCACATATATTTATGGAATGCATGAAGTGTTACACTGTAAAAATCAGATATATTATATATATAAATTCTATTTGTTTTGTTTTTCTTCCCAAACTAGTTCTTACAAAGAAAAATCTGCAATGAATAATGTTCTGACCGAGGTGCTTACGGAAATAAATAGCTATAAGAGCAAGACCAAGCCTTTATCAATGCACAGCAAAAAGTGATTTATCCTAAGTAAAGCAAGCCTAAGAGAAAAGAAAACATATCTGTATTTTCTAAGGGTGAAAGACACACCTCAACTCAGAGCCAACAATAACTTTTCCTCACTAAAGTCTCTTGTAGGGTCTCAAGCAAGGTTCACAAGCCTTCAGCTAGCTCACGGCACGCTAATGAACCCCTCATACACTGCACTCTGGTGTGCAGCTCTGCTTCCGAACACATACAGTCCCTAGCAGCCACACTCTTATTACCAATACAGCGTATGTTAACAAATGCAGAGGAGAACTGCTTGAGATTTGCTTATTGAAACTGGAGTTTCACTCTTGCACTTTAGGGGCTTGAGGGGGTTTTGGGGAAGAAAAGACAAATGTTTCACACAGGAACATCCACAAGTACGCTACTGAAAGAAACTCAGAAAAATAAGAGAAAAACAGATTAAAAACCCTATCTTTTGGCTGTCAGTCCATATCTTTTAACACACAACAGCCTCTTACAACAAAATTGTGCGCTGCAATCCCCTGGTCGAGCTCTTAAGCCAGGTGCTCTGACTATAGGGAGTTTAGTTTATGTGTCTGCAGAAGTTAACAAGCCATTTGACATTAAGATTTAACACTGGTGAGAAAGACAAACTTGAGTGTTTGCTTTTCCTGAAAACAGAAAGTACTGACGCAGTTCCAGTACCTTTCACCCAGCAGCTGGCAAAACTGATAATCTGTGATGTGCTGTCTGTCATCTGGGCAAACTAAGGAAACTTGAGAAGGTTGTCTGCATAAAGAAGTTTCAGATAGTTTTATTTAAAATATTTGCGTACAAGGCTTTCAAAAGTATCTCCCTCACGTTACTCCTCTGACACTCAAGAGAGCTAATTGCTTGTGTTTGCAGTGTGTCACCTGCAAATGGATCTCACAGTGCTTTGTAAATGAGATGACGCCCCAGTCATACCCCCTTGATTCTCAATGCTACCAGCATCACAAGAGAAGAGATAGGATTCTCTTTCATTCATTTCCCTCTGTTAGAGAATGGCTGAAACTTCCTGACCAACAGTTCTTATGCACACAACTTCTGAGCCAGAATATAACAGCTGCCTGTACTCTAAAATATGGGTTGAAACAAGAAAATGACAATATCCTGTTCACTAGAAGAATTTCATTAGATAAATAATGAACTAGTGCTCAGCTAGGACTCAAATAAGTACTGATGTTACTGTTCTATTCTACTTGAGTACTTTGTGTGATTAAAAGGATGTTCCTCTTCTCAGATCTAGATATAAGAGGGCTGTTTCTCTACAAACTTTCCCTTGCACGGAATCAATGATGTCAGGCTGGGTTTTTTCCCCCCCCCATGTTCTCATTCTGCATTTCTGGAAAAAAAAAAAACAAGGTGAAGGGAAATACAGGTCACTACTTTCAGCTACTGAAAGGGTTGTTTTAGAGAAAACAATCTGAGTCTTCTTGGAACACAGAAGTTAAGAGTCCACGGTTGTAATATTCAGCATGGGAAGCTACAGCTAGACTGTTAAGCATTTTTCAAGTGAGGGCAATTAACTACTGAAAAGCTGCCCAAAGAGCTTGACTAGTGGCCTTGGCGACATCCCCTGCTTGACTAGACAAGTCCCTTGGGAATGTGATCAAGCTTGGAAGCCAACTCTGCTATGAGCTGAGAGTAAAGTAGTTAATGTGCAAAGGTCTCTCCAACCTAAATGGTTTTGTGGTTCCACAACTCTGGATAGCTAACCTCAATTAGTTAATGCAGGAGAAAAAAGAAAGACACTCCACATTTCAAACGCTTACAGAAAAGCTTAGGGGTGAATTCAAGCTGTCATTACAAGCTTTAACTAGCCTCATTGCCACTTGGGCTCTGTTCCAGCGTCTTCTCTATTCAAGGGCAATAATTTACCCTTCCACATAGAATCACGAAATTGTTTCAGCTGGGAGGGATCCCTAAAGGACATATAGTACAACTCCCCTGAAATGAACATGGACATCTACAGCTAGATCAGGTTGCACAGAGCCTGGTCCAGGCCTCTCCACGGACAAGGCATTCACCACCCCTATGGGCAACATCAGTCTCACTATGAAAGACTTTTTCCTTATACCCAAATTAAATCTCCCCTCTTCACGTTTGAAACCATTTCACCTTGTACTGTTCACAACAGATCCTGCTGAAGAGCCTGTCCCCTTCCTTCTCATAGCTTACCTTCTCATAGCTTCACCTAGATACTGAAGGGCTGCTCTCAGGTTCTTCTCTTCTCCAGGCTGAAAAGCACCAGCTCTCTCAGCCTGTCCTCACAGGGATGGTGTTTCATCCCTTGGGTCATTCTTGTCCTTCCTCTGGACACACTCAAACGGGTCCACGTCTCTCCTATACTGAGGACTCCAAATCTGGACGCAGTATCCCAGGTGAGGTCTCACCAGCATGGGGTAGAGGGGCAGGATTATCTTCCACCACATGCTGGCCGTGCTTCTTTTGATGTGGCCAGGATACAGTTGGTTTTCTGGGCTGTGAGAGCTGCTGGCTCATGCCTAAGTTCCTATCCACTGATAGCCCCAGTTCTTATTTGGCAGGGCTGTGCTCCATCCTTACATCTCCCAGCCTGTACTGAGAGTGGGAGTTGTCACGACCTAAGTCCAAGACCTTGCATTTGGATTTTTTGAACCTCCTGGCTCAAGCCTAAGTCTCTCTGGATAACATCCTGTCCCTCAGGCATCCCTTAGTGTCATTTGCAAACTTGCTGAGCATGCACTTGATCCCACTGTCAATGTCATTGATGAAGATATTAAAGATCATCTGCTCCAATACTAACCCCTGAGAGACACCACTGGTCACTGATCTCCATCTGGACATCGAGCCATTGACTGGCACTCTCTGGATACAACCTCTCAACCAGTTTCTTGTCCATCCAACAGACCACTGATCAAATCCACATCTTTCTAATTTGGAAAGAAGGATATTGTGGGGGACCCATGTCAAAGGCCTTACTGAAGCCTGGATAAGTAACATCAGTGGCCCTTTCTTCACCCATTAACTTAATTATGCCATCATAAAAGACCGAACAAGCAAGAACAGTTGCTACAAAGCAAATCCCATGTTAATACTCAAAATTAGTTTCTGCTTAAAATTCAACAAACTTATGTACATGAGCAGGAAAAGAACATGCTTCCACTTTGAAGTATTTTAAATAATATCTTTTTATTGTCACCAAGTGCTATTTCTCACCGTTAAATATTTCAGCACAATGAATTAAATCATATTTAAATACAGAATGAACTAGTGCCCACCTGATACATCCAGAAAAGTCTGTGCACGACCAATTCCTGCAGCACTGGTTGCAATACATTCATAGAAACCTTCATCAGACAAGGAGACTTGGTTGATATCCCAGCTCATGCTTGATGATTCTCTAGAGAGAGAAAAAGGTATATTCATTAAACTTCTGAGGGAATCGAGAACATGGTTTCCTGACTGCAGGCATAGGTTTTCACATTAAGAGGAAAAACAGATCCTCTACTGAATTAAACTAGATCTAGCTTTATGGATTTTATTTAAAGATGAATATTAGCATCATACACTTTTTAGAAGTATTGAGAAGGGCAAGCTTTTGCTGTAGATGTTTAAATGAATTCTAAGAAGCCCTTATGTCAACAGTTGCCACAGTAAGGCACTATTTGCAGTCATACCTTATTGCTGCATTCTCTACTCAAGACGCCTATCTTTCCCTAATACCCATCAGCTTCTACATAGAACTAGTATGCAGTACCACACTTACGGCTCTTACTAGCCAGACTTTTAGGTACAGATACGAGCTACACAAAAAGAGCACTGTCCTTTAACAGATAAAAATTAACCCTCTCCTCTCTTTATGCAAACACACTCTTAGGTTCATAGAACAGAGAGGGTAGCATCTAGCACATTAATCACCAGCACATTCATCACTAGCACAATCCCTTAGCCAAGCTCTAAGGACCAAATCACATCCTAGTTATCAGTTCCTGTGAAAACACTGACAGGGAGCACAGCACTAATCATGTTGTAACTAACCTCAGCTCCTGCCCATCAGAAGCCATCCCACACTATCCAACGTCTCCTACCCAGGAAGGAAGGAGCAGCAGCAAGTGAGGGCTTGCACATATGAGCTACAGCTGAAGAAGCCTTCTCTGCTCCTGTCAAACTACTAATACACATCGCTAGGCAGAATACATTTCATCTGGCTTATCAAACCAAACTTCAGCCTTGACTAATGACCACAACAACTAGCAGACTCAGAGTGATTTTTGCCTTTCTTGTCAGTTTCGCTTATTAGTTTTGCTCCCCTTGTGGAGACACTGGTGCCATTTATATCACAGGATGGATTGTGAAGACATCAGCACTTGTTTCTCACTGACTTACCACTTTTTGTCCTTGAGAACCAAAAGCTGGATGCAAGCCAGCAGTGTGTGCTTGCAGCCAGAAAGGCCAGCTTATCCTGGACTGCATCAGCAAGGCAGGGAGGGGATTGTCCCCTTCTGCTCTGCCCTGGTGAGGCTCTATCTGGAGTACTGTGAACAGGCCTGGGGCACCAGCATAAGAAGGATGCAGAGCTGTTGAGCGGGTCCAGGGGAGGGCCACAAAGATGGTCAGAGGGCTGGAGCACCTCTCTTATGAAGAAAAGTGGAGGGAACTGGGCTTGTTCAGCTTGGAGAAGAGAAGGCTGCGGGGAGACCAAATTGTGGCTTTCCAGTACTTGAAGGGAGCAGAGAAACAGGAGGGGGACCAACTTTTTACACAGTCTGGTAGTGACAGAACAAGGGGGAAATGGTTTTAAACTAAAAAGGAAAAAATTAGGTTAGATTTTACGAAGAAATTATTTACATAGAGGGTGGTGAGGCACTGTCACGGGCTTCCCAGAGAAGCTGGGGACACTTCATCCCTGGAGGCATGAAAAGGCAGATTGGATGGGGCCCTGGGTAGCCTGGTCTGGTCAGAGGCAACCAGTTCATGACGGGGGTAGATGGAAGTCAATTTGTAAGATCCCTTCCAACCCAAGCCTGTGATTCAGTGAATAAGGTGCCAATTACTGGATTCAGTCTCCTAAATCAGACTGGTCAGAAGTTCCTACAGACGTTAATCAAAATCCTAATTTCCTTACTAGACTGCCTTAGGACATAGAAATCTAAGAAAAGCAAAGCTTTTAAAATTTTAGAGAAATTTCACTTTTTTTCCAAGATATTACTCATTCAAAATTAGTATCTGCAATTTGTAATTTGAAGCAGACAGCAGTTCTGGAATCAATATTTTAAAAAGTCTGTTAATTTCAAAAAACTCTTAACCTACATTCATTCCAATGGTACTTTCACCCAGACAACTGTCATAGTATAACTACAATATTCAACTTATCAGATATTTACTTTTTGAAATATGCAGAAGAATATTTTAGCAAAAAATGACACCTTGTCACCAAAACAAACAAACCTCAATGGAGAGCAATACTACAACTCTAGTAAACTAGACAGAGGCCATTCAGAACCTCACTACCAGTAAAATGCAGACAAGCCAAGCAAAACTGAATGCTGTATCTGTGATCAGTAACATTTGGCTTGAGATACATTTTGTTAAATTAACTTGTATGACCTTTAACTTGTATGCTCCTTCACCCATTCTGTAATAAGAGAATGAAAAACACATTCTGCTTACTAGGGTGCTGGATATGTGAAAAGCAGGGAGTAGAAGTGTATAGTTTGACAACTAAGAATTCGAAGAAGTTACATGGCTACTAAAGTATGCTGCATGGCTCACTGATCATAAACGGTACATGATAACAAAAACCGCAATAACAGTAACAATAGTAATAATAATAATCTGTAACATCTTATACTGCTGACAATGTGCAGGAAAGCTTCACCATTTATCTCCTGTGGCTTCAATCCACAGAATTCAGCATCCCTAATGAATATTATAGAAATAATAGGATATCAATTGTATCAATTGTACCAATTGTAAATAGAAATCATGGAATACAAATAGAAACTAAAATAGGATAGGGAAAAAAGTCACTACTTACTTGAATAGCTGATCCACTCCTAATTTTACTCCATTTTTAGTAAAGTGTTGAGTAAAAGGTATAAGACTTTCTACATGGCAAGGAACAGACCCTGGCTGTGAGTAATATCCTGGAGTCTTGTTTGGCATTGTAACTTTTGGAGCATCTGAAGAAAGCAAACATTTCCAAAACGATTATCAACAATTATTAACATGCCCCATCTTCTCCTTAAAAGAAAATTCAACTTCTGATTAAGCTATATTTAATAACCAATAAATTTAACTTCACAACTCAGATAAGACATAATTACATTCAATTCAAATTAACATCTCTTACCAGGAGTAATACTAGAAAATGAAACACTTGAAACTCTCTGGAAAAGATAACCATCCTTGTCATAGCCTGTTATTTTAAGAAAAAAAGCTTCATCTGGTGGAATAAAGTCAGAAATGTTCCATAGTCCATACGGCTTTCTGTCAGGATAGTATTTCACAGGCAAGGTCTTAAGAGGTTCCCCTGAAATACTCAGAAGCTCAAGACAGTCTACTCTGGCTGGAAGAAGGATCCCTGTGGTATTTAGCAGCACAAAGGTAGGAATCCCTAGAAAAACAAAAATATGCTATTTCAAGTGTTTAAAAGAAACAACAAATTCCAATAAATTCAATGTGTATTGCTCACCACCCCATGAATGCACCATTCAGTTTCAACCTTTACTTACAAAGTAGCAGGAAAATAAGCTGATCTAGACTGCCATCTGCTTGTTAGCACTGATTAGAGCTTAAATTACTGTCTTCCAACAGGTGTTCCTGAAATAGCAGCCCCTGCATTAACTGCTCTCCATGGCCCAAAATATTCTCTTAGGCTCCAAAACTACCAAAAGCAAAGTTGCAATTTCAAGGCATTTCATAACTAAAAACCACAGAATTTGTGTGACAATAAAAAAAAAAAAAAAAAAGCTAACAAAAATACACGTCAATTTGGTAAGAACATTGGCTGCATATTCAAGGCCCTAAGAACAAGATAGTATTAGCCCCAATTTATCAAAGTTCACTAGAAAGATCATTCTACTTTATTTCTGGTGCCTCATACTCCCAAAAGCTGTTACTGCTTAGCATAGAATAAAATTAATACAAACCTTGCACTGGTCTGCTGGATGTTTTCTTGAAGTCTAAAGTTGGCTTCTTGGAAAACCCAGCTCGAAATTCAATAGTGCTGAGACCCGTGATCCGAACAGAGTGCCTTCCACTGCTCGATGTCTGAAAAGGCAACAGTTGAAGTTCACAAGCCAAATCTGTATTTCAGGATTTGCAGGTTTCTGAACCATCCACTGAGGTCAGTGCGAAGAATTCATAAGAGGTTTACATCAAGAATTATATGAAAAAAGCATTTAATAATTCTCTACTTTTAGACACTGCCACCAATAGCTATAGTGACTGCAAAAGGAGTCAGCTGATTTTGTCCCACAACACAAACACACAAGACCAACAATTACTTTAACATGCCAGTGACAGTAACTAGAGAACATTTCTAGAAATTTGGATTATTATTACTTTTGTTAAGCGTATTACAAAACGGGAAATGAAATGTCATTGGAAAAAATCAGCATACATTTTCTGCTGGTCATTAATATAAATAACTTACTTCCAGTGCTAGAATAATATATTTTACCTTTTTATTTATTATTAAGCTCAATTTTTTGAATACATGTATAATTTTATCTGTGAGGTATATGGAGACATCAATTCCAAAGCAAGTGGCACATACAGAGCAGCCTCAACCAGTGCGGCATGTTAGAAGCACTCCTCTTTCACAGCCAGGGTCTTAGTCACAGAGCCAAGAATGCAGAAGTAGCTCTTTCTGCAAGCTTTATTGCTTGAGGGTACAGTACCTGCTATGCAAAGCAAATCAAAATAATTGTAGGACTGAGGACTTCTTAGAGTTATTTTTTATCATTGCATGCTGAGAAATAAAAGGAATATGAAGCTTTTGTCCTCACCTACTTTCACACTGCCCAGCTGTTAGAAAAACTGCTGTGCTGGGCATAGCATTAGATGTTACATATGCTTAACTGACAAAGCCATGGATAATATTACCCGGAGCAGCAGGAAAAAACTTAAATGACTTCAATGGCTATGAAGAGTCTACAATGCCAAGATCTAATCTGAGTTTAGTAGAATCTACTCTGATTTTTTGTTCTGAGACAATGCAACCTATGAGACACACAACATAAAGAAAACCTGTATTAAAGTAACATTATCAGGATTTTTCTACCGTGAGAACATTAAATAGTCGAACCTTAAAATACAGAATTCCTTCAGTCAGTAAGCCTCTCCAACACAGCTGCATGTGAGTATTAAATTAAGCAGTCATTTCTCATAACTAACTGCCAGGGGAGAGCTGTTCAGACACTGACAAATCACTGTCTATCTGCTTAAAACCACCTGTTTGCTCCTATTTGTTTAGCCTTTCACCTCAGAAAATCACTAATAAAGCCTTTTATATAAAGCAGCTGTTAAGAATATAAATAAATACTTCGGTGTGTCAAACAACTTGTATTATCCAGTGTTAAAATTCCATTAGATAAATGCAGTGACAAAATTATTTTCACTTATGCATCCACATTAGGAATTTACAGCACAATTAAATTTCTCATGAGGTTTTTTCCTAAATTTTTAACCGTGTTCTTACAAAAAAAAACAAAAAGCCAGTGACTAAAGCTAAAGCTTTGTGCCTTGAAGCTCTCATGCTATGCAAATACCTAAAGATAAAATTCATCCCAAAGGATTGCTTTCCAGTGAGTACTTTTCTAATCTCTTTTCAGAATTATCAAGGATCACTGGAATTGTACATTATTGTTTCACCTCCCAGACCAGATGACTGAAATAAGATCAAACAGATAGCACAGTGCAGAAAGCAAACATTTATGTCAAATGCATCAGAAAAAAAAAAGAAAAAAAAAGCTTTATTGCCTTGCAAACAGCAGAACATAAAATTCGTCCAAAGTAAATGTATCAAGAAACAAAAGCTTGAAAAGAGCACTGGTTAAAGACAAGCAAATTTACAAAAAAAAAAAAAAAAAAAAAAAACCCTCTTATTTTAAAGCAGCTCACAGTAGAAGGAAAAACAAGCTACAATAACAAATAGATTTTAAACTGCAATGTTGTATTTATATACTTACATTTACAATGACAGAGACATGCAGCTGAACTGAACTCTAAGTTACATCCCCATATCCCCAGTGAGCAGAAATTACTCACTGGTTTGACATTATGCTCCTTTGAATCAGCTGCTAGAAGACTATCACAAGCTTTTTCGGCTGATCTTCCTACCCTCATCACCTTTCCCTCCTTTTCTCAACTGCATAAATGATAATTTAATATTATAAGATTCACGTATTGGTGCAGAACTTCCTATGCTCCAGTTTGTGGCCAGTTCCCCTTGTCCTGTCCTCACAGGCCACTGAAAAGAGGTTGGCCATGTCCCTTTCACTCCCGCACTTCAGATATTTATAAACATTAATTAAACCTACTTTATACATAGGTGTATCTATAAAAGGTAAATATATAAAAGGTCTATATATTATTGATCTATAAAAAGTAAATACTTCAGCTACAAGAGTTCAGTTCACAGAGAGGCTCCACTCTGTGTAGCAACACATCTTAAGTGCTCTTGGAGGTTATTTTATTTGCACATCTTACATTTATACAACCATGATATGGAACTCACAGGAACATGAGGCTAACAAGCACTGTCACCCAGAGAAAACTGCACAAAAGTATAGTCTGACATAGGGTAGCCTGGGCAAGGAGGCCCACCAAGTTACTACAGGCAGTTCTAAGATGATCATTTCAGACATCTTAATGGTCATTTCATTCTTGGAATTTACTGCTAATAATGTTGTTCTTACCTTTCTAACATTTTCAATAATTCGGGATCCATTCTGCAACTTTATGTGCCACTCATATATATATATATCACTTTATATACTTTATATACCACTCGTGGACAAACTGATTTCTGCACTGTAGGACTTGAGTAATTTACTGATAAAGAATTTGTTGGACTTGAGTAATTTACTGATAAAGAATTAGAATTAAATATTGATTTGTTGACTTCATAGACCTGATAACAAAATCTTTGGCCTATGAAACGTAAATCATCTCCCTCCCCAAGTCCTCTAGACTTGCTGTACATAGCAAAACCTCTCTGTGCCTGGGTTCCCTACAGTCTCTGCTCACTAGACTGCAAAAAATTCAGTGCTCACTTCATCTTTTTTCCATCCAAAGAAAAAAGAATTTGATCTCAGGCAGTAACATCTACCGCCCATCTACCTCTGGGCAGCCTGGTCTGGTGGTTGGTGACCCTGCTGGAAGCAGAATGATACATGATTATTCTGGTCCTTTTCAACCCATAGACCATTCTATGATTGTCTGCTTCTATAACCTAAATATATTAACATCTTGCTAAGAACTTGATGCTGAATTCAGAATGTCACATAGAGCTCAAAAAAGACATTTAGTATAAAACCTTATGTGTGAATATTTCTGATAAATAATGTAGAAGATCATTAAACAACCCCAGATAAGTCATGCATTATTTCTGCAATAACTATACCTTTATTGTCCATGTTCCAGGCTCTGGATCTTTGACATTTACTACTTTTGCAGAGTTGTGGATATTCAGCAATTCGTTCAGTCCCAAACCTTTACTGATCTGTTTACCTAAATAAATAAATAAACTAATTAACAACAGCCAGAGAGTACTGCTTAAAAAAAAAAAAGAGACTAAGTACAGTATTTTCCTTCATATCTGATGTACATTTGACACTTGGCTTACTATTTAGCAGAGTCAATGGCTTTTACAACGGTCAAAATTCCTTGCAATTCCTTCCCAGAATACCAAAAATGATCATTTATTTTCACTCTCTTCGTTCACTTGGGAGTCCTAATACAGCCTTCAGCACTACAGCTGCTGAGTTTCCTACAGCTCTGTAAGTAAAGCAAGTTTTCTTCACAGCGAATAACCAGCTCTCAGTAAAAGGAAGCAGCACAGAATCACGCTTGCTCAAAGGGGATCCTTGAAGAAACTCACCTTAACTAACATGGCAGCTGCCAGCCCACTCACTTTTCTGTCAAGTAGATCTGTTTCAAGTTGGATTAGATCCATAAAAATATTGACAAGCCACGTTTTCCAGGCATACAAGCATTAGCGTGTGACTAATGGTGACTAAATCCCTCACAGGGAATTTAGCCTGTAAGACTTTACAGACCTTGATAAAGTACTAGAAGTTTCCATACTGCACCATACCACACTTTGTATGTACGCTTACACATACAAATATACGGATGGTTGTATGCAAGAACTGGATCCCTATAGAAGCATTTTGCTCCATTAATGGTGACATGTGCCTTCATCACTAAAAACAGCTCTAGCTGTTTCAGAGCACTGAAAAGAAATTTTAAAGTTAGGAACAGAGTGTCTCAGTATCAGTTTTCAAGAGTTTCTCAGATTCGCCTGCACAAACTTCAGTTAAAATAGAATGGCTGTACATGCATGGAGCTGCCTTAGAAGAAAGGAAAACATACAAATGGGATTAAAGCTTCATCTGAGCCTGAGCTGTGATAAAGATTGGTGTTACTATGCTCTCTGAGCAGTTTTTAACAAATCAGAACGCCTCAATGGAGGACAGACCAGATCATATCATGGAAACAATACTGTGCATAGAATATTTCCAAGATAATAAAACTTCTGCAATATTTTCAGCCAAAAACCATTCAGAAAATACAAGGTAGGCATCAGCTTAACAATAACCAGCAGATCTGTTTGAACTATAAACTACAGATTAGCATACAAATCTTCATACACAGTTTACAGATAGAGATTAACACACGAGAGGGTTTGATTCTGAATTCTTTCTTGGTTTACAGAATGGGTGTCCAACCTTTTGGCTTGCTTCTATCACACTGAATGAACAGGAATTGTCTTGGGCTGCATATACATAGGCTGCTCTGAATGTAATGCGCCCTATTTATTTCCATGGAAACTACAACAGACACAAAGAGAACAACAGCACTGTTTGATAGAGCAAATTCTCAGCTACAGAGTGCTGTTTTTCAACAGTCACCAACACTAGCTGTGCACTTCCTCCACCGATGAACAAGAGTCTGCATGCCACACTAGTAAAAATCTGCACTAGCAGAGGTGACCCAGGGTTGCTGTTGTCATTATTGAGACGTGCCAGCCAGCCCTCAGTGTGCTCACATCTATTGTTTGGTCTCCAGTAATGGTTCAGCAAACACTGACAAATGTCAATGGGTGCCATTTTTTTCTGCATGGAGGAATTCAATGACATACTTCTGTTTCATACACACCACTATGTCAGATACTATTCTGTCACACTGCCCCTCTGCTTCCACCTTGCATAGTAAGAAAATGCAATGCAATACTGGCAGGAAGGTTCAGCTCTACGGCTGTACCACCAACATCCATCTCTAATATCATGGGCCAACATAATAAAACAGGAGGCATTACTTTTGGAGCAGCTTTCGTGGATTAAAAAAGCATCTGTTAAAAGAGGTCTTACAAAAGTCTAGTAAAGAGACACGATCAAATTTTCATTTAAGTTGAATATCTGATTGCAACTCTATATATGTTCCATTTGAAAATGTGCTAGCAATTCATGTTGACTGAAAATAGAATCTCACCTACACAAAAAAAATTAATTTTTTTGCAATCTTGAAACCTATTCCCAATTTGTTTTTATCAAAATGACAAGTAAGGTTGCATACTTTTTCACTGTTCACAGGATCGCATTTGTCCAATGTATCAAAATGCATGAAATTATTAGCCGTAACTTGAATTAGCCTGGTGCTGCACCCTCCCCATGTCTTGGTTTCAGCCCAGGCAGCAGATGTTTGCCTGTTGCTGAGTGGTAGGTGCATGCCTGGGGCCAGTCTGCTCGCTGAGGAAGAGCTGCTGCCACAATGGCTTAGGGCTGGGCCAGGCACATGCAGCCCGTAGATTGGACATGCACAGTTTAAAGAATACTGGTTTAGCTCTCACCACATGAGTGAAAAACCATCATATGTAGCTCCTAAACGATGGTTCAGTGACTATACAAATATAAAATATGAAAAGCAGAAGTATCCAGAAATTTGAATGCATGGAAACAAAGAAAATGGAAGAAGATGAGAGGAACTGGTGAGAAGAGACAGGATTTCTGAAATCATGATATTGCTTTTCAAAATAAGAGGACACCAGTCATTCACATAAATATGGCCTTCCCTGTTGAAGACAGAAGAGATAATTTGCCTTTTTTTTTCTTTTTTTTTTTTTTTTTTAAACCATAGTAGTAGGATGCATAAGTTACTTTACCTAATGGATCATGAATTTCAATTGCTGGTGAAGGACCACTCAAGGACACTGTAACCTCTTTCAGGCTTGGATCAAAGGGGATCTGCCAAGTATTTACAGCCATGGTCAAATGGTCTGTAGACAAGAGATGTACTTTGGATGCTTGAACTGCTTCTTCAACCCATTTTAACACCTAGAACAGAAAATAACACATTACTTTACTGAAATACTGTCAAATAGTATTTATTACTGAAATATTTTCTGTTGTCTCTACTGTCTGTAGATGGTTAACATGGAATCTCTACCAGACCACTTCTTTCAGCAGTCATTTTATCATCTGATACTCCATAGTTACCACATTCCTCTGAGAGGGTAGAGGACTTAACTAATACAAAGACTCACTGCATTAACTTCAGTGAACTATCCTAAAGACAGCACAAACATATTTTCCACTCATATCAGCAATATGCAATAGCACAAGAACACAGAAAGAAGTAATAGCACAGCACTGAACTCAAAAAACAAAGCTCTTCCACATTGGCAAAGGCATTCTCCAACTTCTATTGTTCTAATCAACAATTCATATACATAATGTGACAAATTATGTACCTGAAATAGATGGCCTGGAAACACAACAAGCACCAAAACTGTATTGTCTTGCCTCTGCTGTTATAAATTCTGAAGTGAATATGCTTTTTCAGGCAAATATATTTTAAAAAATATTAATACTTAAGAAGATATTACCGAAGCCAAGATCAACAGGGTGTTGGAAGGAAACAGACCTGGATATGCCTCTGGAGACACATTTACACTGTAGAATTAAAGAGTAATTTCAAATGGGAATTAACAATATATGTATATGCATATTTCTGGTCACATATTATTACCAGAAGCAAGAGGGAAAATTTCCTTATCCAGGTGTATTGAGCATTTGTCATCTACAGGCTTTGTATTTCTCCTCTAAAGCATCTGATATAAAGTGTCACTTGGCAGAGAATTCAGGACAGAACAGAGAATAATGCTTTAGAAAATTAATTCTTGTAACTAAATCTGAATCTGGCCTTACAAAAAACCCTTGACTTTAAACATCATCAATCAACAAATATCAGATGTAATTAAAAAAAAAAAAAAAAAAAAGCACTGAAAAGAGATCTATTCAAATAGTAATAATAATAACTAAATAAAATAACTAAATAATAACTAAATAAAAGAACACAGACAGAACCGTAGGCCTCATCAGACTCTGTTACAAAAATTCTCCACTAGAGTGCTGTCAGATGACTTAGTACCATAAGAACCCAGGTCCTGCAGCAACCCTGGGATGGCAGACTGAAGAAGGGCAAAATGTGGGCTACCAGGGAAGAAAAGAGTAAGAAAGAGCCTTGTAGCACCGGGGTAAAAAAAAAAAATAACAATGATACTCAACATCTCTGCAGTAACGTTACTCAAGAGAGAAACATCTTTCCTGTAATAGCTAGTTGCTATTCAGTAACTGTTTAGATGAGCTTTGAATGCTGGAACAGGAACCACAAGATTTCATGAAGATTTTACATTTTACTTTTAGAAATTAGACATTTAGGTCCAAAAATGCTTCTCAAAGTAGCTTCTGTCTGTTCTACTAATATTATTCTACCATGGCCATGCCTCTTTTTTTGTGTGTTAGGCATATGGGAAGGTTTCTAGCTAATTCTAGGGTCTTATGTCCATAGTGATGTTTTTAAACAAACTGCAAGATTTAATGACCCATCTGAATTTTCAGAAGAAAGGAATATTCCTATCTGGATTAAGTTTAAACTTGTTTTGAATTAAGCAAAATACATCAAGTCGCAAGGTAAAGCATCCTTGCAGATGCTTGGATAGTATGTAAATCATACTGGTATTTACACATAAAATTATTTCTTAAACTCAGAAGTGCTAATACTACATTCTTAAAAATTTTGTCAAATGAGACTGTAACATGCAAACAATGAGTCAAAAAAAAAAAAAAAAAAAAAAAAGCCTACATAACAATTTAAGTTCCCACAATAGACTTTTTGGAGGCTCCTCCTCATGATCATTGCCTCTTCCCAAGTCCTCACCGGCCTTCAGCAGGAAGCACAGCAGTGGACATGGTACAGATGGCAGCCCACCCATCCAGTGCTCCGGGACCAGTTCTGTGCTTAACACTTTCGTTTGTAAAGAGTTAGAAGGTCAGACCTAAGTGAGCAGCTTAGCTCACTCTCATACACTAGCTTGCGAGAAAAGCTTCTCTGTAACTAATTGAGCTTACTATTAAAATCATCACAATAAAATTAACTAGAATTTGATTTCTTCCTAGTGCAGCTTTCCTACAGGATCACTTTGCAACATGATTCTGCTTGCTGGAATTAACCCCAAACTGCCTTTTGCCAGCAGTTCTCCCCTCTTCCCACTCATGCCCCCCTTCCAAAAAACTTACCAATCATTTTGTATGAATTAATTTGTTTTTCCTGTTACAAACATAGCTACCCGTATTAGCAAACAGATGAAAAAACCTCAAACAATTACATGTAAGTCAATCTGAAAGCACTACAAAAGCTGAAGAACATCTATCCACATTATAAACCGACACAAGATACCTAGCCAAGTTTGCTCCAAATCTTTTCTGCAATTAATAAGCAGTGATTTAATTTTGTTGGAATTAGAGTGATAAAACTACTAATGGAGAACATGCGTGATCCCAGTGATCCCAAAGCACCTTGTGGAATCTTGACTTACCTATCACTGGGGTCATGCTGCAAACCAGATCATTAAAGGATCTGGATTTTAAAAAATTTCAAAGAGGGATAAGATGTCTTAAAAGTAAACAAAACTCAATAGCATATAGCTTCAGTAAAATAATTTAAGAGAAGTCAGGTCTTTCCAGTTTTGAAAGAAAAAGGCTGTGGGTTCTCCCTCTGACTCTTAGTCCTACATTATATTAATTCTCTGCAGAGCAAATTTTGCTTTCATACAGCATATATAACATCAAGCTACCACAGTACCATGTTACAGCTTAAAAAAATGGGAGGAAAGTGGTAAGTCCCTCCAGTTGGAAATTCATCATCAGCATGCAACTGTTTATTTCAAAAACAAAATCCCAATCTAAACTAATACTTTTATGAACTCCAGATATCCTTTTTGGCAAAGAGTAGTGCTCAACTATGGAAATGGTTCCAAAAGTTTGCTTTATTTCAAAGGTAAATTAAATGAAGCCTTGTAGTCCATCACTGGAGACATGAATAACAATTATTATTTAATGATACCCAGCAGTTTAGCGTACTTTAAGAGAATAAAGAACTAGAAAATGTGTTTTTAATAAAGTGAAGTGATTCCATTCCTTTTCTACTCCCTTTTACTATCTGACCCCAATAAACAGTTTCAGTTAACCATCAAGTCAATTCAGGCAACATTATGACACAAAATTCCATCAGCAATTCAAGCAGCACTGCGAAAAGTGAAGCCTGCCCATCAGCTCAGCTCTGCACTGGTCCATTGCAGAAAAAAAATGGTATATTTGCAAGTGTGATGATAGCCTGGTTATTTTAAGGAAAGTTGTCTTTGAACAGAAGAAACATGTCTGGCATGCTTCCATTCCAGCCTCTTCTGAGCCATCTTTCTTCACACGACAGCCTGCCAGCACCTTCTGTGCATGTTCTTCAAGAGACCAACCACCAATTATTTTGGGGTTTGGAATGGAACCAACTTTTCAGCTCTTGGCTTTCCCATTGAGACAATCCAACACAGTGCCCACTGCATAAAGCCAGGCTGGTTTTGGCAAGGCAATCTTGTCTCTTACCAGAAATGGAAGGTAAGCCTCCCTGATAAATTCCATTAAACAGTTCACTAATACACAATCAAATTGGATAAAAAGTCTAACCTAGAGAGCCCATAACTGTCTGTCTTACTGAGTAACACAAAAACACAGGGCCAGGAGACAGCTTCTGCATTACTCTGTCAAAGTTCGTTTGATTGAACTACTACTACACGATGCCAGATGTCTGCATAGAAACAAAAATAGGTTTATATGTATTCACAAGACAACACATTTCAGAAGTTGTAAATCATAGGGTTGTATTCTGAATGTGATAGCTTACAGCATTCCCAGTACATCTGGGAAAGTTTTATCATAAATTCACTTTAACAAAGTAAGAGAGATATGACACACCTGAGAGAAAACATGTTGAACATACCACCATCATTGCACAATAAAAAAATTGCATTCATATGATAGAAGACCACTAAAATTCATATGACCAGATTCCTTAAGGAAGTCTCAATATAGAGAATCCACTATGTTTTCTGACAGAGAAAGGGAATCACAGAAGATAACTTCTCCATCTCTATCCTTTCCACTCTTCTCCCTCTAGATTTCCATTTTATCTATGAATACTAGATTTCCATTTGTGTATCTGACAGATTGATAATATTTACCTTCTAGTTTTGATTATCTATTAGTATTAATGATGATGCAAATTTAATTTTGTTATCTTTCTTAGAGGGTGTCAGGGACCATACGTGGGTGGTAATCATCCATGGATTGAACTCTATCCAGGTTATCACTAATGAGAGCTTGGTCTTTCTTCCTCTACAACAGCAACATAGTCAGATAAGGACGTGAATACATAGCACTACCAGAGTTTTGAAAGTACCTCCTACTTCTGTAGCTCTTACCACATGTTACATTCAAAAACAAAGAAACAAACAAAAAAACACCTTAAAGTTCGCATGTTCTTCCACCTTAAAAGTCTAAGAAACAACAATAAGTAGGGTCCTCAGCAAAATCTGACAAACAGCAAATGTTAGGACAAAGTCTCAGGCACACATGCCAACTATGTCTAAAATTAGGCAAATAGAAACGTATTTCCTCATATAAAAATAGGTACATATATTTACATACAAAGTATTATTTTCAGATCTCCTAGTTCCTTTATCTAATTTTAGATTGATTAAGCTAACAAGGGTTCTGTCCTCATGCCTTTGTTTTTAGTTTGTGCATTGGCTTCATGTAACTGCAAAACCGTCACTGCCTTAATCCCTTTATACTTTTTTACCAAGACATGAACAACAACACTTTTCTGTCTCACAGAACTGTTATGGGAAAAGATACAGCAATGTTTATGAAGTCTTTGGATACTACGGTAAACCTTAGCTACAAGTCCAGTTTATGAATCCTATGTAGGCTGGCTGATGACC